CCCTAAGAGGTGGTTGGATCTCTGTCTTTTTTTGTATATATTTGTCTTATATCACAGATTTGTAGAGACCAAATTAACAAAGTAGATGGACATAGTAAATTGAAGTTGAATGTTCAAAGCTTATGCATTTAATTTGTGATTATATATTTTGGTTATCTCATTTTACGAAGAAAATTGCAAAAAATATCTCATATTTATACTCTATTATTACTTTTGTCATGTATTTATCTTGCTGATAAAATATATTACACATGTTTACAAAAGTCACAATTTATATCATTTGTCCGCGTGTGACATTCACACCACGCGCCGTTACGCGCGATCACGCCCGGCCAGATGATAGAAATAGTGACTTTTGCAAAAATGTGAGATATATTTTATCAGCTAGATAAATATAGGACAAAAGTAATAATTGAGTATTCATGAGAGATATTATCTTGCAATTTTCCCCATTTTAAGTGTGATTATAAATTTTATTAGTGTAAAGATTTAGTGATTCTTCTCTATAAAAATAAATTATTAAATCACAAAAAATATAAGTCTAAATTATTGTTAAAAAAAAAAAAATCAAAAGAAAAAAGATATAATGAAACTTCAAAAGAACATAGTCTGTTCACTTTGTATATTTGTACACTATTTTTGGTACTAGTATATCTTATCTTAAATACGAGGAATTATGTCATAATATAAAAAATAATATTTTGTATTGAATGTTAATTTATTTTTTTAAATGAATAAAAAATTATATATATTGTGTAAATGTGCGTAAATAATATAGTTTTGATAATATATTTATAAAATGTTGGGTGAACAAACCTGTATATTGTCTCGTTTTGTCTTTTGAATTGTGTTTTTGAGCTAAATAATTGTTAACTTTGATGTTTTGTATTAAAAACATTATATTTTTAGTAAATACAATAAAATTATCTCTTTTCATCGTTTAAATTTATACTTTTTTTTTTTTTGATTGTTTTAATGTACATCATTCTTTCATACATTTTTAATATAAAAAAATAAATAAATATTGACTGAAAATTATTATTCAATTTTATTAAAATTGTACCAAATATTTAAGCACAATATTGAATGACATGATGTGTATTTATTTAATCACAAAAAATATAAGTCTAAATATTATTGTTTCACTATAATATGTAGTATATTGATGCATGTCACAACAGCCAGACATTTTTTCAGTCAATTTCATTTTTTTATAGGTTATATTGCAAACATTGCAAATGTAACCGGTAGTTACTAGTCTCTAATAACAAAATAAAAGTATTTTCATTTAACAATATTTAAGCAGTTATTTACAACGAGATATTGATGTTTTATGCTATTCAACAAATTATCAAATGGTTTAATTTAATTTAATTTAATTTATTTAATTTTTTTTATAACATGGGAATCCACAGACACTACTCTTCTAATGTATTTTGGATAAATTCATAGCCAAACATAATAATTTGCAATAATTGTGTGTCAACTCCCCCAATATATATATTCACTATATCAGTTAATTTTTTATTTTTTTATTACGTTCGTTAAATTTACCACATTACTATATTTGGCTAAGTTAAAAAAAATAAAAAAATCACCATTTAATTATTATATTCCATTTAGCCCTCATTTACAACAAATAACACCAATTTTATTATCTTATATTTCTTCGTTCTCTTTAATTATTAATTTAAAAATACAATTAACTATATTTTTATTTTTCTATTTTTTTAGTGAAATAGTTATTTTTTTTTAATATTCGTATAGGATCAAAATAGACTAAATATGATGGACCAAAAAAATATAAAAGAATACACTAGCCATTGACTTAAGTTTGGAAATTTCAATCCAAGTCTACTTATATACACCAAACAACAATTGAAAACTTCAATTTACATATCATTTATTTTTTATTTTTTTATGATGTGGGAATTTGCAGCTGCTACACTACTCATGCATTTTAAATTGATGGGGTGTGTTCTTTCTATTTTTTTCACACATATTTTTTCGAAAAAAATTAATACACTATACATATTCATTATTTTTTATATTTTCTACACAATTTTTTATATTTCACGTAATTTTTTTTTCCTTTTCTACCATTTAACAAAACAAACACACCCGATGTTCTTACAAGATTTTAACAATAGGATATCAACAATCTAATTCAAAATAGGCAAACTAACAGATGAATAGTTGTGGACAGTGACGAAACTAGTATTTAAATTTCGGGAGATCAAAATGTTATAATTTATTTAATATTTAACTAATAATTTTAAATAAAAAATAATGACATAATTATATATGAATTTAGATAGTTTTAAAGGAACGAGGCAAATTGTATATAAATACATAAAAATTAATATGTTTAACACTAAGAAAATAAAAATAAAAAATTGACAAAGGACTTTATTTAATTCGGTAAATCGCAAATAGAGAACGTAACATTTTATTTTTTTTACAAAATGTATTATTAGCCACTACAAAAAAAAAAATAATATATTTGTAACGGAATTTCTTCCCTAAAGTTCAAGTAGCTAACGTAATTTATTTCTAATTCCGTCTCTAATATGATTAGTAACGAAAAAAGTAGATTTAGAAACATAAAATATTTTGTTACAAAAATAATCTTTTCTTCCAGTAAGCTTTAAAATAAAAATAAAAATCGATAGATACAATATACAATATGTTGTTGCAACTTGCAACTGTGTGATATCGAATAAGTTGGCAAATAAAAGTTAGAATTGACTCATCGATATAAAAATTATTTATTTATTATCTTACTTGTCCTTATATAAAACTCATGCATAATATTCTTTTCTGGATTTTTATTATTTAAATTTTTTTTAATATCAAATCAAATAATTAATTTTCTCTTTTATATCATACAATAAATTTATGTTATATTTAAAATATCATATCAAACGATTATTTAAATTCAAATTTTTATTATTCAAAAATCCAAACTCACAAACACACAAAGGGTGTGTTTGTTTGAGGGATTTGTTTGGATTTCCACTATTCATCCTATTTTTTTTCTCAAAAAAATATTAAATCAAACACCTATTTTCATTTTTTTATATTATACTAAAAATCAATTTACATTCAAAACATCACATCAACACCTATTTATATCACATCATACAACTATGCAAATTCAAAATTTTTACTGTTCAAATCACAACTCAAAATCCAAACCCTCAAACAAACACACCCAAAGAGTGTGTTTACTTGTAAGATTATGGTTTTTTGTTTTGATTTTTATGGAGAAATTTTCGATATTTGGTTTTAGATTTGGTTATATCCATTAGATTATGTTAGTTAGATCTGAATCTATTGAGTTTGTTTTACGCTCCTTATTATGATGATTAATAATGCAACCTTTAAAGTTTCCGCAAAATATTTTAACAGTTTTGAATAGTAAAATTTTAAATTGAAATAGTTGTTTGATGTGATATAAATATGTATTGATGTGATATTTTGAATTAAAAATTAAATTTTAATGTAATAAAATAAATAAAAAATGAGTGTTTGATTTGATATTTTCATAGAAAAAAAAAATTAAAATAATAAAATAAAAGATAAAATCTCTCGACTAAACACATTCAAAAGTTTTTAACATTTAATAAATAGAAAAAATATCTATATATAAAAATGATTAAAGAGAAGATCAATTTATGAATTCATATTTATTTTATGCTATATAATCATTAAAAATAAAATCCTTTTTAAAATACTCCTGTTCCATATTTTTTCAGTTCATATTTCTGTTGTAGTCTGTATTTTCTAACTCATTTTTTGGAAAAATTACAATTGAATTATATTTTAAATTTATTGATATATAATTTTTAAATTAAATTAAATGAAATTAATTATTTAATCTATAATTATTAATACTTCCTCCGTCCAAAAAATAAGTATTCATTTGCTTTTTTACGTAGTTTTAGAAATATTAATATTATATTAGGATATAGTATGAATAAAGTAAAAAAGACTAAAATAACCTTATTAGTATATGTGATATAAAAGTAATGATATTTGTATAATATATTGTAAATTGTAAAAATATTTGTAATGTAATGTAGATAGTACAGTTACTAAAAAAGAAAATGAATACTTTGTTATGAGACGGACTAAAATGAAAAAATGGATATTTTGTTATAGGACGGAGGGAGTATTATATTATAATTATTTTTATTAATACATTTTTTAATAATTTATTGATTATATCCCTTTTCAAATTTTGTATCTATAATGTAAAAGACATGACTCATGAGAGAATAATTTTTTAAATTAATAAAGAAATATAGTACTTTCTCAATCCCCATAACATCGATTTCATTTTCTTTCGTCTCAAAATAAAATATTATTTTTTAATTTAATAATTGTAGTACCTACCTAATATAATAAATACTCTTCCAATTTATAATATATTACACAAATATCATCACATTTATATTACAACATACTAATAAAAATATTTTCGTCTTTTTTTCTAAAAAAAAAAAAAAAATATTCTGAATTATGCGGTAAAACTAATTGCTTTAATTTGGTTTGTCTTTTCGAGAAATAATAAAACTCTTACCAGTCCTGCAGAAAAGCAGAAAAAACTTCAACTCAATCTGAAAAATTTTCATGTCAAACTGAAAATTTCCATTAATTTCTAACAAAAGCATCAATTTTACAGAGAGAAAGAAAGAATTTTTATGAGGTGTAAGAAAATTACAGCTGTTAGATTAATAGATTCATGAAGAAGAGAAGAGAGGAGGAAGAAGAAGAAGAAGGGTTCACTTTGACAGCTGGCAGAGTGATTTTCAAGAACGAAATAAAATGAAATGATCATATAAATCATAGTCCAAATTAAAAATAAATAAATAAATAAATCCTTTTTGCCCTTTGCAAAAAATAAAAATAAAATTAAAAGGGCTTTTTAATTTAATTCGATTCTTCATTTCTTCCTAAATTAATTAAATCACAGCAACAGAACAAATTAAAAAAACTAATCACAAATCCATGATGATCTAATTAAACAAATTGATTTGTGAGGTGTTCAATAATTCCACAGCAGGGTTTCGAAGCAGCCGGAGATGGCGACGTCGCCTTCGTCCCACGGTGGCGGAGGGCCGTCGAGCCAACCGGCGGCGGTGTCGGCGAACACGAAGTCGTTCCGCAGCTCCACCGAGTCGAAGCACGACTCGGCCAGACTCGGTAACTCAACGATTTCGCTCAGTTCTTCTGACGTGGCAGACAAGTCGCCGGAGGACGACACCACAGACGACATTGACGACGACGATGAAGAAGACGACGGGGAAGACAGGCCGCCGAAGTTCTCCATCGCCGCCGCCTTCGCGGCGGCGGCCTGAACGTCGCGGGGGCTGAGGGACACCGGGCGCGGCAAGGCGGCGGCGAGTTCGGGGAAGTTGAGTATCGCCGACGCGCCCTTGATGCTCAGCGCCGCCACATCGTGAGCACGCGCCGCCTTCTCCGGCGTCGAGAAGGTCCCGAGCCATATCCTCGATTTCTTGCGGGGCTCCCGGATCTCGGAGACCCATTTCCCCCAATTCCGCATACGTACGCCCCGGTACACCGGGTGCTTGCTAGCGGCGGCGCCGCCGTCGCCGGAATCTCGAATTCTCTTAATCTGCTTGGCGGCGCCGCCGCCGCCGGAGGAGGAAGACGAAGAAGAGGCGAATGAGAAGAATGAGGTGACGTCAGATATGGCGTCGGAATTAGGGATTTGGAGGCTCATCATAAAAATCAAATTACCAAAGATGTCTTTTTTTCTTTTTTTTTTGCGTTTCTATAAATGGAAATCTAAAAGTCTGAGTTTTTAGGGCTTTTTGTGCATGTGTGATTCTTACATTTCCATACTAGGAAAGATGTCCGGATTTGGGAGTGATTTTTGCCCTAAACAGAAGAGAGAGATAGAGAGAGAGGAGAGAGAAAGGGGGTTTTCTTGGAGGTGTAAGAAAGAAAGAAACTTGTTGAAAAGCTTGAGAAGAGAAATGGAAGGAATATATAGTACAAGAATATGAACAAATGGGTTGCCCTTAAAAGATCTACCCAACCCAACCAAACCCCATTTTCTTCATCTTCTTCATATTTAGAGAGAGAGAGAGGGGGGGGGGGGGGGGGGGGGGGGGGAGGAGAGAGAGAGGGGGGGTCCCATTGAAGAAATGGGGCATTCTTGAAAGAGGGTGTAGTCGAATGGGGTCCCCTTCTATAACACACCACGCTACCCCTCATTTAATATTTTCGACCCTTTTGGAAGCTCTTTCTATTTCTCTCTCTAGAGATATATATATATGTATGTATATGTATATGTATATATCTTTCTCACTCTGGTTTTACCTATTTAACTCTCTGGCTCTGTCAACATTACTATTCATTTATTCCCCCCTTATCATCATCTTCTTCGAAAGCCAATTTGAAATGTGTGAAATGGGCTGTCGACTCATTATATTAATGCTACTTGGGTTAAATTCCATTTTTCTATATTTGCACTTAACATAGGTTCTTTAATTAGGTTAATACAATTATATGTATACATATATATAAATACATATACATATACATACATATAAAACTTTTTAATCTGTGTATTAGCAATTTCTCTAAATTTACGGACTTATTCAATTGTAATTTGAATTTTTATTTAAATAGTATTTTGATTTGATATTTTATATAAAAAATATATTTTATTTAACAAGTTGCAAAATGAATAATATTAATTTCAGTTTCAATTTTTTTTTTTTTAAAAAAAAAACTATAATATACTCCGTCAGTTTCACATACCGTGTCTGTTACACTGTAGACACGGTATTTTAGAAGGGACGTAATTAGTAGATAATTAAAAATATATTAGTGAAAATAATTATCCTATAATATAAATAATTATAAATTAAGATTAAGATAACTAATTAGTTTAATTAAAATTTAAAAAAATAAATTAAAAAATTTAAAATGAGATTAAAGTGTATAATAATTTTTCAAAAAAGGAAAGTGACATAGTATGTGAGACGGACAGAAACGAAAACAGCAACGTGACATGGTATGTGAGACGGAGGGAGTACATTTCTTTGTTTTGTTTTGACAAGTAACAGTAGTTTTACAAAGTGGATCAACTATTTTGGGCTTCCTATTCTTGAAAGCATATATTAATTCACATAATTCAACAGTACATTTGCATTTTAATTCAATATTTTATATAGTTTATAAGTATATTTATTCGATAAATTATATATATATATGACTATAGTCACAATATAAATAATTACAAATATTTTTCAAAATAAATTAGCTTATATAATAACCGGGTATTATTTAACACATTACTCGTCAAGTTTAACCGAGAGTGCATTCGATATTTTTATTCATTAATTATATATAACGCCATGTTTTTATGGTTAACAAAATCACTACATACATATCAACGTCAAGTGTACATATATCGCCTTCAACAATATTTAGACATCGATCAGCAAGATTCAAATCCAATCAACAAAACATAAATCTTTATCAATACGTGTCGCGTGCTCGACAGGTTATGATGATATATATAATCAATGATCGATTCAAAAATATTAAAAGATTTAGGTAATAATAATAATAATAATAATAATAAGACAAAATTTCAAGTACCTATGGTCAAGTTATATATGTTTAGCTTAGTATGACTAGCTTTCTAGTCCTAATTTATAAATTATTAAATTCGGTCTGACGTTTACTTAGAGTGCACTTAAAGAATAGCAATGAGATTCTTAGGTCATAAAAAAATAAATAAAAAATAAAAATTTACACTTATTTTTTACATGGTTGAGAATATTATTGTTTATATTTTCACACTATATAATAATTGAAATAAAATATATTTTTTTTCTTAAAATTTAATTCTCATTCAATATATAATATATACATTAAATACAATACATTAAATACATATAAAGCATCAAATTAAAATATTTTATTATTATTATTATTTAAAAAATAAATAAATGCAATACCTTTAAAATGTCCAAATACTTCAAAGCATAGCAATGAATTTTTTTAATGGGCTCACCAGCCATGTTGTGCTTAATATTTCTTGAAATTAACCGGTGGCATAAATATTATACAATATATATTTAAATATATATATATTATACACACAATGTAAATTAAATTAAATTAAATTAAATGTAAGTAACACACCAATTTGAGCTAGGGTAGGAAGGATAGATTTATTTTACCCACCCCATTACCTATTTATATATAATAAATGATGGTAACTATCAAAGCCTCTTACAATTAATTGAATCCTGAATAAATATAGGTCAATCTCAGTGAAATAAATTTACCATCTGAAGTAGTAAATTGATATATATATATATATATAATATAATATTGTATTATGTGTTTTGAAATTTTAATTAATAAGCTGTTTTGAAAATAATATAATTTGAATTATGATGAGTTTTTGAAATTATATTGGTAGAGAATTCAATTTCTTATATTTATATATATATTAGAGGTATTCACAGTGGTAATAATGTGGACAATGCTGGAGTTGGTTCCAACTTAAATAAATAAATAAATAAATATTTATATTTATAAAAGAATATTTCAATATATATATATATATTTATATATTCAGCCAATGGGTCCAATTAATTGTGATTTATTCTAGGACTCGTTTCTCACACTAGACTAGCCTAACTAGACAGATATATCATTTTTCCATAATATGTTAAAAAATAGTATATTATTATTATTATTATTATTATTATTATTATTATTATTATTTTGTCAAATGGAAGTAAAATAATAATTGAATATAATAATATATGTGGGAGATTTTATTTGTGATACTGTCGACAAATATTAGGGTGGAGACAAACCCATCAACGATCATCATCACTTTCGATCCAACGGTGAGGACATACACACACCACGAGTTTGTCCATATATTTTTAGTAACACTTTTTTATAAATATTAATTTACAAAAAGTAAATAATATATATATATATACATATGTTAAAATTTACAAAAAATAAAAAAATATATATATACATATTAACATATATATATATATATTATTTATTCATAAAAGATCAATAATTTAAGACAAAATATTAATTTTGATATTATCAATATAATTCTTTATATCTAATATAAAAAAATACAATATTCGTACTATTTGCATGTTGATATTTCAATATTAATTATTATATCAAAACGTAGTACAAATTAAAAAAAAGTTGCAAACATAGTTTTATTAGTATTTTATAATACTAATAAAAGAATATTTGTACAAATAATTATATAAATATAAAAATATTTTTAATCTTAAGTACTACGGCGCAAAAGGTAAATAAGACCCTTAGAGATAGACGGAGAAAGTATATATTTAAAATTTTAAAAATACAAAGTGGACAAGCCCATATATATATATTTATATTCCAATTGTGCTATTATTACTTTTGTACGTGATATTAGACAGTCGATATTGTAAAATTATCAATTGATAATTAGGGATAGAAAAATTTAAAAAAAGGTTACATACTTTTCGAATATACAATTTATAGTAAATAAAAGAAAAAATATATATAATTTTTTATTCCAATACCCATAAAAGTATATCCCATTTTAAAATTTATTTTCTTTAAAAAAAATTAAATCAACACAGTTCCCAATTATATAAAAAAAACCAGCCATAGAGTATGAATTTGTTCAACTAATAATTTTTTTTTTATACGATTTTTAATATATATATATATAATTTTTATATATTATTAATCATACTATATTTTTTTCTAAAAAGTTATAATTTAATTATCCATTTTTTATTTAAAATATTATATAAATGTTTTTTTAATTAATTTTTTTTTGTGTGAATTAGGTCAAAACGATCTGACAAAATTCCCAATCTAGTCTACTTTGAAATTAAATTTTCGTGGCTGTCTGTGGGCCAATATTTGTCCATTTTTGCTGTTTATATGGCTTCAGTTTTATTTGTAGCCCTATTTATATATATATATATATATATATTACAATAACATTACAACATACATAAGTAAAACTATTGTAATAAGTTTTAATCTTTAATTTTTCGAGTGCGCTGTAGATAAACCATTATCAGCTGAATTTAATAATTTATAAATTAATTAAATTCGACAAAACAAGTCATATTAAATTAAAATATTATTTAAATTAAAATTCAAATAAAAACTAAAGAAACCGTAAATATAATAGTGTAAGGTTAATGATAACAATAATAGTATTCCCTCCATCGACGGAAAATGTAACTGTTTATAGATAATACTACTTCCGTTCCACATTAGGTGTCTTGGTTACCATAGACACGAGAATTTAAAATAAGTATAATTAGTAGATAATTAAGAATTTATTAGTGAAAATAATTAACTTATAATATAAATCGTTATAGTTTAACATTAAAATGATTAATTAGATTAATTAAAATTAAAAAAAATTAAATTAGAAAATTTATAATGAGATTAAGATACTTAATCATTTTTTTTAGAAAAAGTGATAGGAGATGTGAAAAGTAATACTGTAATAGAAAAAATAGAAAGAAAAAATATTTTTATTTTTAATTTTATTTATTTTTTAATGACATTATTTGTAATATTGTATAAAATATAATGGCCTTTTTTTTTTTTTACAAAAATAAGAAATACAATTACTAAAAAAATAAAACAAATACATGTATTAAAGGTAATATTCCCTCCGTCTCATATCTATATATCCATTTGTTTTTTTCACGGAGTTTTAGAAATATTAATATTATATTGGAATAAAAATAGAAATAAAGATAAAAAAGACTAAATTAACCTTATTAGTATTGTATGGTATAAAAGCAATGACATTTGTGTAATATATTGAAAATTGGAAAGGTATTTATAATGTTATGTAGATAGTACAATTACTAAAAAAAAATGAATATGAGACGGACCAAAATGAAAAAATGGATAAATTATTATGGGATGGAAGAAGTATACGATAAAATAAATACATTAAAAAAATATAATAAATAAAATTGTAGGCATGGACCAAATAATGAGACCCAATTTGTAGTTTGTTAGGACCATTGAGAGTACATTATATAAGAATAAAAAAAAGATATTTCTACAAAAGCACATTAAATTATATAATTATTGTATTTAAAATATTACATAAAAAAACACATTTTCAGATATTTCAATTACTAAAAATATTTTTTTTAAAAAATTAATTCGAAGTTATAAAAATTTCTATAATAAACCAAAATACTAAAAACACTCTAAACACAACACTTAATTTAATAATAATAATAATAATAATAATAATAATAATAATAACTATGTAAAAAATGATCTAATGACTTGAGATAAATTTTAATCTTATTTACTAGACATAGCTAATCTAGAATGACTTTTCTTACTCAAATAATTTTATAGACTATTATAAAAATTTAAATGTATAAAATAGTATTGAAGATAACTGCTATTAGGGAAAAACAATATTCCTCCCGTGTCATAATTAAATATTTATTTGTTTTTTTTTACGTAGTTTTAAAAATATTAGTATTATATTAGAATGTAGTAGGAATAAAGTAAAAATAATTAAAATATCCTTATTAGTATGTGTGATATAAACGTAATGACATTTGTGTAATAATATATTATAAATCGTAAGGGTATTTGTAATGTTAGGTAGATAGTACAGTTACTAAAAAAAACAATTGATACTTTGTTATGTGACGGATTAAAATAAAAAAAAAATTGATACTTTATTGTGGGACGGAGAAAATATATTTATACTATAGAACATATAGGACCCGAATTTGACGTTTTATTGTTAATTTATGCATTTATCAATATTAATGAAACTTATATATTTTTTTTAATATAAAAATTTTATAAGAAAATCTGTCTATACTTTAATGTGATAATAATAAAATGTCATTTATTTTGACCATATCTATATATCTATTTGCTTTTTACACAGAGTTTTAAAAATATTAATATTATATTAAAATAAAGTAGAAATAAAAGTAAAAAGACTAAATTAACCCTATTAGTATTGAATGATATAAATGTAATGACATTGATGTAATATATTGAAAAATTAGAAGAGTATTTGTAATGTTAGGTAGATAGTACAATTACTAAAAAAGAAACTGATACTTTGTTATGGGACGAACCAAAATAGAAAAATAGATAGATTGTTAAGGGACGGAGGAGGGGAGTATATATTTGACAAATTTTTTATTAATATTATAAAAATATAAAATATATACTCACATAAAATATATAATATATTTCTACCAAAAAAAGTAGTAATTTCATATAAAATATAACTTTTATATTACTAATAAACTTTTCCTAATTAGCAAAAAAAAAAAAAAAAAAAAAAAAAAAGGTTCAAATTAAAAATATAAAACAAATACATCAAAAATCAATACAATTAGCTCATAACTACAACTTTAAGGGTATTTACAATTTACAGCGGAGTTAAACTTACTAACAAAGAAAATATATACATATTTTTAGACAAATAAAAATGATAAAACGTATTCCCTTCGCGTTATTGTATTTAACATTAAAAATATCTTTATATTTGTATAATTTTTTTGTACAAATATTATTCTATTAGTATTATCAGATACTAATAAAAGTATTTTTGTAATTTTTTCTTAATTTGTACCACGTTTTGATATAATAATTAATATTAAAAAATTAACACACAAAAAATAAATGAGACATTTAGAGTCGGACAAAGATAATATATTCTACAAATAGTCAAATGATTATTATTATTATTATTACTATGGTTAATTCTCCAAAAATCCCTATTTTGCAAATAGTTTTCCTTGTCCGTCCCTATCTATATATTTGTTCGTTGTAACTCTCTATTTATTCTTTACAACTCCCCATTTATAATTTTACATATTTTCACCTATAAACTTCCAATTTTGCCCTCAAAATAATATTTTATTTATAATTCTAGTAATAAAAACCCTTAATTTATGTAACAATTATCAATTTTATTATTTCTTATTTTTCCAAAATGGCGACCAACAATACAAAATATTCAAAGTACATGTTCATTAATTTATTTATACTTTATTCAATCAAAGATTAATATTCTTTATAAATATTTTGTATTAAAATTTAATAGTTGAGCACATTTAAATATATATTTATTTGTAAGTATTTATATATATAATTAATCTACTTATTGTTTAAAAGTATTTGCAAAATTAATAATTACATACATTGATTTTTTCTATAAATATTTTATATTATTATTTAAGGGTTGCAAATATATATATATATATATTTATAATTATTTATTTTTTATATTGTTGTCTACCTATTTGTTTATTTTTTAATGGTAAAAAAAATGAAATTATATGGTAAAATTTAAAGCTTATATGTGAAAATAAAAAAAAAAAAAGAAAAATAAAATTGAAGTTAATAAGATAAAATAAAATAAATAAGTATATTATAAGAATTTTAAGTAAATAAAAAATAAAAATTAATAAATTAATAAAAATATAGAGTAAAAAAGAAGAATTTAATATATAGTGAGTAAATAGAAAATTAAATTTAAAATTAAAGAATTTAATAAAAATTGCTCTTATTATTATTATATTACGTAGGACCATACCGTGTAGAGCATAATAGCCTATAAATCACGTCAAATGGAAAGACAAGCTTATGTCACAAGGTCCACCAAACCACCAATCTTGTGGTCATCAGTCAAACTCGATTATCCATAGTGAGATTATATCTTATCTTTATATATATATATATATGACAAATTAGAATTAGAATTCGCAATCGTTATTTTTCGAGTATATTCTTAGTATCTTAGTAAATGTTTAATCAAATCTAATAATTTGTAAATTAAATTCAATAAAACAAATTATCATAGAAAACCATCTGTGAGGTAGACAACGTTTGGAGATTTCGGATTTTTATATTTAATCTTGTATATTAGAATAGTGTTAGGGTTAGCCACGATTCAGATATTTACAAATACGCAGGTATTTGATATTCGAATCAAATCGAACGAATATCCGAACTCACGAATCGTATCCAAATCAAAAATTTATGTTAATCGAATTTTCAGTTAACTGAAAATATTTGCAAATAATTTGAACCGAACCGGAAAAAAAAAACTCTAATTAAATAAAAATATTCGCAAATATTTCAAATATCCGAATTGCAACTGAACCAAATATAATTATTAATATAAATTTTAAAATATAATAGCATAAATATATTTGGTTCGGTTAACCGAACCGAAAAAAATATCGAAAATCGAAATCGAATCGAATCAAACAAATATCAAATATGCAGTATTTGTATTCGAACCGAATTTGCTCGATTAACCAAAAATTCGATTCGATTTGGTTCGATTCACCAGTTTGACGGTTCGGTGTTTTGGCCCACCCTAATTCCTGCATGCCTGTTCTCACAAAGTTGGGATTTTTATTACGATTGCTGCCTCCCTGCACTCTCATTCATGTTGGCCCCTACAGAGATTCAATGACACCCCCCCCCCCCACCCCTCTCTCTCTCTCTCTCTCTCTCTATATATATATATATATGTATATGATATCGAGCTTGGTAATTAATTTATTAATGAATCAGTCTCTTTCTTGACCTAGCTATTAATGGAGGAGATGAGCTGCCACACATTACTGTCGTACGTATTTATAACTAACTGCTTATCTCTAACTCTAATATATATATATATATATATATGTTCGAACATCGTCGATGTCTTCTTGATCGATCGAATTCGAACATATATATATATATATATCTTGGAAGGTCCACCATGCACTGTGCATCGTGAAGAAGTCGTCTTAAATGATTTCTTCTTCCTTATATTAATGGGGTTTTCATTAATTTGTTATTTATCTGTCGATCCATCGATGTAGTATAGTTTAATTTCTCCATTCAATGACCCACCCCCCACCCCCCACCCCACTGGGGTTTTTTTTTGGCTGTTCCATCACATGGTCGCACGATGGCCTGCAGGAGACGAAGAAACCATGCGATTCTTGCATTCTAGGATCACAACTTTCTTTAAACTTAATTTGATGTAATATGTTTAATGAAAAATAAATATATATGTCATCCCTTCTATTTTATATTCCATTTGTGCCGAGTGGACGCAATCAACCTGTTGTTGGTTAATCATGTAAATTTGTATATTTTTTTATATTTTTATTATTTATTATTCGATTATTGACCTTAATCTGTCACAACACTATCATAGCTAATTGAATTTATATTACTTGCAAATGATTCACAACTTTGCAATAAAGTGATCAAGATCCTCGCAGGGATCACAAATTTTGATTATCCAATTCGATCAAACTGATCTACGTTTAGCCTCTCAAACTAATAATTTCATTACAACATAATGAGATTGATCAAACCTTAGAAAACTCAAGTTTTGGCGACAAAATATTAGCGATTCTGATTTGAACCGCCAGTTTAAAACCGTTAAAAAGACAGGTAGAAGTCCACGAAAAATTAGACAAACAACATAACAAAGAGCTACCTTTAATAAACAGTTCCGATCAAATCGAATCGATTCGACTTTTAAGTTCCACATTACATAGACATACACAATCGACGAACAACAACACAAACAGCGATAGCTCCGCGTATAGAACAGTTGCTATAATTAATTGATAAGTAAAGAATGTCTCAATTTCATTTCCTCGACAATTTTTGCACCGAAATCGAACATGAGGCTCTTCAAGCTCTCTTCCTTTTGTAGCTCAGCACAAAATCGTCGTCGTCGTCTGAGTCATTCTGTATCCGTTTCTTCGCCTTTACGTCGCTGATCTTCGGAGCTGACTGCATCTTTTGCGATGTCTCGGTCTTACCTGATGATGATGGCGCAGATTTTGTAAGAACACGAGGGGGCGGTGATTTTACCGGAGTGCCCATCCGGACCTGCTTTTGCTTCCTCTGTTTTTTCTCGTACGCCTTCTTGGCTCGCTCCGGCGATAAAATTCCGTGCTCCATTAGCCTTAAAATGTAAAACATTCGAACAATTCAACACGATGTTAAATGTGTGAAAATATTTTATGGAAACTGAAAAATTGCGCTAAATTGATCATCCAAATAAGAGACCTATGTATTGACAACATATTGACAATATAGAACAGATTCGATGGACTCAACTAAATTTAAATCTGAATATTTAAAATATCTCAACAAAATGTAATCATGTGAACTCATAAATGCTCGAAAGCTTTGTAAGATTATTACATTGCTTTGTGATGGATAAGGTGAAATATTCGAGCTCGATGTAATGTGGTAAAATTCGACAGATTTGATCGATAGAACTCACCAAAACTCAGCCATTTCGCTCGATGGTATCTGTTTCGACAAGGATTCGTAGAATATCCTCAATGGCTCTCTCTGCAAATCGTAGATGGAAATAAGTATTGATGAAATAAATTAACGATTTTTACATTTGAAGAACAAAATCCAGACCTCCTCAGGAATGTCGAATTTCTGGCCAGGTAAGGAATAAACCTTCTTCACCCTGGTTTTGGCTGTGGTTTTCACGCTCGTTTTCGATGTTTTCTTTGTCTTCGCTTGATTAAAAACATGTCCGATTTCCATTAGAGGTGATTGTGAGAAACAATTTCAGCTTTGCAGAAGAAATTCAACAAATCGACACTCAAAACACACGCACACAGACATGTTTCAGATTCGATAATTAATGATTCTTGCAATTATATTGGGAAAGGGGAAATTCAACAAATCTGTTTCACTAAAACCCAATCTACCCATCAAGAAATTAAATTCACCAGAAAATAAAAAATTAAAAATTAAAAATTAAAAATCGATCCTTGCAGATAAATACCACTTTGGAGGCAGTCGTGGAGGTGGATCTGTGCTTGGAATCGGTCTTGATTGATACCTCGACGACTTTCTTCTTCGAATCGAACTTGGGCTTTGAAGACGATGGCTTGTCTGCACCGCCAGGCTTCGACTTGGACAAATTGCTCGATTTTGAATCTGTGGCCATATCGATGTTTTCGAACCGATCTGATCGTTTAATTTGATTCCTATCTCTGTTTGTTCATAGGGTTTTGTTTCCTCGCAAATAAAAAAGCTCCAGCCGTAAAAAGATGATACTTGGTTTTTTTTTACTGTGAAGCTTACTTACTGACAGTGACGATTTTCGACATTTGATTGTGAATTACACACAAATTATCTGCAGCAGTTCTATAGATGCTCTAAATCCAAAAAAGATCACTATATATATATATATATATATATATATATATTGTAGGGATGGTTAGGGCGAAAAAGCCATGTTCATTTTTCAATTCAGCAGAGGTAGAAAACTGTGTTGGTTTTTTATAATAACAAAGTTCTGTATAAGAGTATGAGATAAAATTAGCTGTTGTGTGTTCTCTGTGTTCATCTTTTATATATGTATATATATATATATATTATATTTTTATAAACTGTCGGCCGAACCTAATACTTTGCAAAATAGTCCGACGGAAAAATTACAATAGGCGAACCATATGTGGTAGGTGACCTGAGGCGTCGGGGTTAGTTCATATGTTATATTTGTATTATATTAGCATTCATGTTGATATATTTGTATTATAATAATATATATAGTTTGTTCTATGTAGTAATATCATATGCTGTTAAACAGCACACCATGTGCTATTCAGTATAGTGTTGAATTTAAAATTAAAGACCGTAACCGCCACCATATATTGTTAATTAAATATTAACGATGCGAAATACACGATTAAACCACACGGAATGCAGAATCATATGAAACACATCGAACTTCACAGGCTCAGAATGCCATAAAAAATGCTTCTGCACTTCCCGAACTCTTCTCTGCATCTCGGCGTACGTCGCCGGGGGTATCGCCGTTAAAATCCTCTTCAAGTCTCCGATATCCGACTCCAGCACGAAAACGGCGAACGCTTTCCAATTCAAGACCTCGAGAAACGGCGGCACGTAGTTATCGGAGATGATAACGGGGACGCATTCGTAGAGGATGGCCTCGACAACACGGGGGCTGTGCACGGCGTAGCCTCTCGCGCAAACGCAATACTTGCTCGATCGCATGTGCTCGATATAGTTCTTGTTTCCCTTGACGTGAGGCAACCGGTCGAGTATCCGCATGTCGGGATCGTTGCCCCAAAGCTTCACGAGCGCCGGACGGACGCGCCCGTGCATGTATCCGGCGAAGAACGCGAGAATCGAGCGATTCGACGCGGGTTCCCCGCCGACATCGCGGAGGGGGTTCTTCGCCGAGCGTACATATACGGTGGGCAACGATATGTCCTTCCCGATTACAAAGCCGGCATTGATGTCCGCGTTGCATAGCGCTCGTAAGCAACTCAGCATTCGGCCTCGGGTTTCCGCCGGAGCCTGAACAGAAGGTGAACAAATTTAGGTTAGTCGGGTATGCGAAACGAGAGTGCTGGTGGACTCCCGTTTATAAAAAAATAAATAAACGATGCATATCCTAAAACTTTTAGATAAGATGGTCATTTAATTTATCTAACAAAAAAGACAATCATTTAATTCATCTATCATGATATCGAAGTTTAGGTCTAGAGTTCGAGTCTCGTCGTCCCATGTTTTTGTTTGTCGTTGTCCACGTGCAAATTTGGCGTTTAGCCCCTTACAGGTGGATACGGTTCGATTATTTGTAACTATGCAAGTATTTGATATCCGAACCAAACCGAACAAATATCCGAAACTACGAGCTGTATCCGAATCGAAAATTTCGATTAACCGAATTTTCAATTAACCGAAAATATTTGCAAAGAACTCAAAACGAACCGAAATTAAGAAAAAATACATTAAATATAATTAAAATTCTAATTAAATAAAAAATATTTGCAAATATTTGAACTGAAAATATTTGCAAATATAATTATAAATATATTCAATTCGGTTAACTGAATGGAAAAAAAAATATCAATAACTGAAACTGAACCGAACGAAACAAATATCAAATATGTAGTATTTGTATTCGAACCGAATTTACTCGGTTAACCGAAAATTCAATTCGGTTCAGCGGTTCGATTCAATTTTTTTACCCACCCTTATAAGCTCCTTGCACATGAAGGGTGTATTAGTAGACTCCCGTTGGTAAATATATAAATGATGCATATTCCAATATTTTAAACTTTTAGGTGAGACGATCATTTACATTATCTAACAGAAAGTAAGCGTAGGATTCGTGCACGCATACATACCCAATCGTGACAAGCGGCCAAGAAATGGTCTTCGCCGTTGGTCCGGTTCCAAAAAGGATGTTTTCGGACAAGCAGCTCGACGTAGTCCCTCGTGAATTGTACGAGGTTGTCGCGGCTGTGCGAGTGTCGAACATACAGCGTGAGCTGCAGCAGTCGCGAACTGAACGGTAAGAAGAATAAATGAGCTTTCGCCGGATCTTTCGTGACATATCGACGGTTGGCTTCTAACAGCTTCAGAAACCATCCCTCGGACGCGTATATTCCCTCGAGGATCGACTCGTGGAATATCGGTTTGTCGCCTTCTTCGTATACGTATACTTTTAGCATCTTATCCATCAGCTCGTAGCTCCTGAGAGCGTAAAAATCAGCATCTGAATAACCAGACAAAAATTGTGAACATCAAGAAGTCGCAAACCTTAAGAACTTGGAAATGTTGCGATAGAGAGGAGCGTAAAGGCCCGAATTTGATTTCAGCAATGGCGCGTTTTCGATCGCTGATTTTACGTACATTAGCTCGTGGTCGACGGCTGAAGGGAGCGATGGTCGCTGCAAAAAAAAAACATACGATAAGAAACGCGACAATGTAGGATTATAGACGACGCCAAAATCCTCGGACGATGCAAAATTTTTACATACGCTCGAGCTCGGCGAGGCGTGGTTTTGCTGCAAGAGCTCATTCATTTGGGATATCGACACCACCGGAGAATTTTCCATCGGAAATTTACGGCTGCTGGAGTTGGCGGCAATGGCGGGACTTATTGCCGCCAATTTTTCGGGCGAGCGAGGCGATGAAGCCGGAGATGGAAGGGGCTGTGCAGAGTAGGATGTTCGGACAAGGGATGGACTGTCTCCGCCCTGCGCCGGCATGTCTGAATCCGGGGCGGCGCCGCCGAGGAAGGCGAGTTTTCCGGCGGACAGTAGCGATGCGAAGAGGTTGTCGTACGGTGATTTTAACAGGAATTGGAGGAGCAAAGCTAAGGCGATTGCCATGACCAATACAGACAGCAATTTTGGACTCCATAGCATAAATCGATGATCCACCATGTCACTGTTTATTAAAATCCTCTCAGATCGGATGAGAGATATTAACGACAGTCAGATCCCCCTTTTCGTCGATTGCTAGGAATCGAAGAATATCTCTGAGAGATTATAATTCGATTCCTTACGTTAATAAGAAGTTAGAACACCTTGTCGATTAACAGCATCAAAAGTATATCGATCGGATCAGATGATGAGAAAGATGGAGATCAGAAATTACTTGATTAGTGAAGATGTAATGATTGGAGGATTTCGATCTGATCGAAAGAATCCCAAGTGTCAGTAAGCACTGTTTATTGTAATTGTAATAATTTTATGAAACAAACTTAGCCCACAAGACGTGTAGAATGTTTTGCGGAAGTAAAGCCCTTAACAACTAATCGAACTTTTTTCCGAGCCCATCACTTTGTAATGAAACTATAGACTATTTACAAGAAAAAAAGTTCAAATATTTGTAAATGTTGACTGAACTCGTCTTAATTCTCTTTGTTTATTTGAATAGATTTAGAAATATGAAATCTCTAATATGTAATATAGTCGTCCTCGATAAATCTATTCATTATTTCTGCCCCTGGACGTAGCCAACACGTTATTGCTGAACTACGTCTTCTTTACTTTTTTTTTTTTTTGTTATTCGATCATTAATCTTAATCCGTCACAAACAGTAAGATCTCCCAACATTTCTTCATTCATCCTTACAAAACTAAAAAAAATAGCCAAAATCTCATCAAAGGTTTCGAAAAGCCGGCGTCCCGGCTTCACCGGGGCCGGATTTGGAAGACTCTATTATGCCATACCGAATGGAGTATCATGTGGAAGACGTCGTATTTAACGGGCCGCGAATGCCACAGAAAATGCTGCTGCACCCGCCGCACCCGCCGCTGCATCTTGAGATACTTCGACGGAGGTATCGACGTCAGTATGTTCTTCAATTCCGGGACGTCCTTCTCCGCGACGAACACTGCAAACGACTCCCAATCCAGTGTCTCGAAAAACGGGGGCACGAAGTTGTCGGAGACGATCACCGGAACGCACTCGTAGAAGATCGCCTCGACCACGCGCGGGCTATTGACTTCGAACCCTTTGGCGCATATGCAGAACTTGCTGCTCTTCATGTACTCTGCGTAGCTCATCCGCCCTTTCGCCTTCCCCATCCGACCAAAGATTTTCATTTCCGGATCTTTGTTCTCCCAATGGCTCAAAAGGATCGGTCGGAGGTAGCCGTGCATGTTTCCGGCGAAGAACGCGAGGATCCGTCTCTTCGACGGAGGTTTCCCGCCGAGCTGCCGGAGAGGGTTCTGAGGCGTTCGAACAAACGTTTCGGGGAGAGACGCGTCTTTCCCGAATCGAAAGCCTTCCCTGATATCGGAATTGCATAACGATCGAATGCAGTTCGGCATTGTCTCGCGAGTCTCGGACGGTGCCTGCAAAAGACACAAATAAGAATAACAGCTTTACGAGATAATAACAAGATTCGACGGATATCGTAGAGTCGAGTATACTAAGCTCTCACCCAGTCGTGACAGGCGACGAGAAAATGGTCGCTCCCGTCAGTTCGATTCCAGAAAGTGTACTTTCTTCGGATCATATCGACGTAGTTGCTCACAGCGCTGATTAATGGCTTCCGGTCATGCGAATCGGGGACGTATAAACTCACTTCCAACGCGCGCGAACTGATGGGTATGTAGAACAAGTGAGCTTTTCTCGGCTTTTTCGTGACGAACTGTTTGCTTGATTTCAGCTGCTTCATGAACCATCCCTCCGATGCGTAGATTCCTTTAAGCGGCGGCTGATGGAATATCGGTCGATCTCCTTCCGCGTAGATATACACTTTCAGCGTCTTCTCCATCAGTTCATAGCTCCTGCAATAGAAAACCTCATTACATATCAGTCCCAACAATATTCCGCAACTTGAACTTCAAGTCGCACTCACCGGTTAAATGCAGAAAAGTTTCGATACAGGGTGACGTCAAACTGAGGATCGTTCTCCACAGGCGGCGCACTCTCGATTGAAGACCCTGCATTAAGCAATTCTTGATCTGCAGGGGAAGGCCACCGCGGTTTCTGCAAGCCAAAAACAAGTGTCACCGGATGTACAATTTCTACAAGGCAATAAATATCGACGGCTTTAAGCGCGAATACAGTTACCTCTGCACGGTACGAGAGGCGGCTCTTGAGCAGCATATCGATCATTTCAGATATAGTCACTACATTATCCGGCGACATCTTCGATGGCCTCTTTGCATTTACAGGATCATTTTCCGGCAAACCAGAGGGAGTCTTGTTGATCTCCGGCAGCTCATTATTCAAAACTTTTGCATTTGAATGATTATTTTCCGGCGCAGCATTTCCGGCGTTCCCAAGATCCGTCGAAACTTTGGCCGGAGAAGAATTCATAGCAGCAACGGAACTAGGAAATGTGCGGCGCTCAACAGGATCATCCTCAGGATCGATATCGTCGATCACAGTGTCGTTGACGGTCTGGTTATGATGAAAAACATATACAGCTATCGGTGCTTCATCAGTACCATGTGGATTGGTGAAGGTTATTCCGGCGAAGGTATCGCCGGCGCCGGACGGGGATTTGTCCGGCAGAAATAGAACCGAAAAAATTTTACTATACGGAAGCTCAAAGTACTGAACCAACAAAATCAATCCAAAAACCACCCCCATCACCAACAGCAATCTCCTGGTTTCCACCAGGCAGGCGTACCGGATTCCAATCCCCATTCCGAAACCCTAGAAATTTCAATCAATTCACAAAACATGCGCCGCGATGCTCACAGATCGCTGAAATCCAATCATAACGAAAAGGTCGAACTCATTACAACGATTATAACGAAGATCCAAATCCACAGATTCAATACAATCGATTACGACCACACTCGCTCAATCTCCCCTAAAATTTCAAATTCGCAGCAAATCTAAACTTACTTCGGAAATCCAAAAACTCGCAGAACAAAGATCTGTCAATCCGCAGAGCCCACGAGAATTGAAACCGAAATCATACCAGTTGATTGAGATTCTTGCGCAATTTTGTTGACGACTTCGTGCTCTGGTTACGTGAAGAGTTGAATAATACAGTAGAACCGCCATTATTAAAGACCTTTTTAGTTGGAATCTATCATATAGTCAACACTAATTACTTCCTTTTTCCGCAGCTGACAATTAATTTTATAATTCACAATAATTTTTTTTAAAAAAAACCTTCAATTAGCAGCAACTATTATATTTACGAGTACGAGCCGAACTTGAACTCAAGTTCTTAGCGATGTTGAATTCGACGTCATCGATCACGACGGCCTAATCTGAAAAACTCGGGTGTACCAAATCGAATGAAGTATCATGTGAAAGACGTCGAATTTAACCGGCTTCATATGCCACAAGAAGTGCTTTTGCACCCGCCGTACCCTCTCCTGCATCTTCAGATATGTCTTTTCCGGGATCGACTCGAGTATTCTCTTCAAATTCGGCGTATCCTTCTCAAGAACGAACACGGCGAACGACTCCCAGTTCAGAGTTTCGAAGAACGGCGGCACATAGTTGTCGGATATGATCACCGGGACGCACTCGTAAAAAATAGCCTCCATCACGCGCGGCGTATACGCCTCGTAGCCTTTCGCGCTAATGCAATACTTGCTGCTCTTCATGTACTGTATATACGTCTTCCGGCCCTTCCCCGGGCGCAGCTTCCCGAAGATCTTCATCTCCGGATCCTTGTCTTGCCAGTAATCGAGCAATATCGGTCGGAAATAACCGTGCATGTTTCCGGCGAAGAAGGCGAGGGTACGCCTTTGGGACGGCGGTTTGCCTCCGACATCTTTGAGAGGATCCGAGGCGTTGCGGACAAAGATTTCGGGTAGCGACACGTCTTTCCCGAACTGAAGACCTCCTCGTATGTCCGCGTTGCACAACGCTCGGATGCAATTCCTCATTATTCTTTTCGTCTCCGATGGCGCCTGTAATGACAACCGTAACCGATGAAAAAAACGAAATGACACTAAAAGAAAATATCATTTTTGCAACAAGGTTTTTTCGTTAGTAATGACATTAGAGACGAAATTAGAAATGAAATTACGTTAATTATATGAACTTTAGGGACGAAATTCTGCTACAAATATACTATTTTTTTGTAGTGTGAAAACTACGAGCAATTTGTTACGTACCCAGTCGTGACAGGCGACGAGAAAGTGATCGGCTCCGGAGGTTCGATTCCAAAACGGATAAGCCGCGGCGATTGTTCGAAGGTAATCGCTCAAGAATGCGACCATGTTCTTGCGACTGTGGGAATACTTCACGTACAACGTCTCTTGCAATACGCGCGAACTGAACGGTAGGTAGAAGAGATGTGCGTCGCTAGCGTTTTTCGTGCGAAAACGCTCGCTTTCTTCTATCTGCTTCATGAACCATCCCTCCGACGCATATATTCCGCTCATCTCCGGCTGATGGAAAATTGGCCGTTTTCCTTCGTCGTAGACGTAAATCTTGAGACTCTGCTCCATCAACTCATAGCTACTGCAATGGCAGACGGAGCAAATCTCATTAAATGATCATCTCAGCTAAAAATTTAACCTTATAGTAAATGCATCATTAATTACATACTTCTCGTGTCTGCCTCTAAGGGTCACATTTACCTTTTACGTCATTGTAATATTTTTATATTTGTATAATTTTTTTTTTTTTGTACAAATATCCTTCAATTAGTATTATAAGACACTAATTGAAGTATTTTTGTAATTTTTTTTTAATTTGTACTATGTTTTGATATAATAATTAATATTCAAGCAAAAAATAAATTGGACCCTTCGAGCCGGACAAAAATAGTATTATATAGTCGAGCAACTTAAAGAGATTACTTTGTTTACCGTACGAATGCAGAGTAGTTTCTATAAACATCATCGTCGACCCGAGGGATCTTGTCGACGATTCTCACACTCTCGATCAATTTTTGCGCATTCAATAACTCGCCATCGGCTCGGGAAGGCCACCGAGGTTTCTGCATCGGCAAACAATAGAAAGGTAATGAAAAGAATCGGCGAAAATCAATAGAATTGGATTAAACTTTCTAATTAGAGACTTATTACCACCGCAAGATACGACGCGCGACTTTGACGCAGCATATCATTCATTGCGGATATCGGCACGACGACGGCCGGAGGTCCCTTTATCCATTTTCGCTTCGCCGGAGACTTAACTGCGCTCGAAGAATTATAAACAGAATCCGCGAGATCGGTTCGCGGCCCTGCATTTGAATTGTTTACAAACATAGACAACGAAACACTCTTGTTTCCTGCCGATGTCTCATCTTTCGAGCTGCGATTTTTCACCGGAATATCTTGCGGCGGATAACCGGCGGCGCGACCGTAATTAGCAGCGCCGGAGGAGGCGTTGGAGGACTTATTCGACTCATCGGTTCGATTTCGATTCGGCGGATCGGGTAGCTTAGTTGCATTATGAAGAACCTCAGTTGTAGGATTGATGTTACTTGCAGCGGCGGCGCCGGCGAGGAAACCGCCGGCGGAGGTGACCTGAGACTTGCCGAAAGATAACAGAGACGAAAGAACATAACCGTACGGAAGTTCGATGTACTGAAGCAACAAAATGACTGAGAAGACCAATGCCATTGGCCACAGGAGCTTTCTGGTCTCCATTAATGGAGTGATGAAGAAAGGTTAGGGTTTATGATTCAAAATAGGTAAAATCTGCAAACTTCATCAATGTCGAATTCATTCAAAATCGACGCAGTTAGATGAAAAGATGGATAGAAATTAGGGCACAGAGTGTTGTTCTTGAGTGGAATTAGGGCAGAAGAGTTTTACAATCGAACGATTAAATTCTTCTGGTTTGGTCCAAATATGCCCTAATCGAAGTACAGGAATTGACGAAAAGCAAGATTAAATGAAACCCCAAGAAGGAAACAAGCAAATTTCAGGAAAACAAGAAAGTTAAGAATGAAGACGATGAAGCTTAGCTTACTCAGAGAAACCCCAAATTGTCGAAGCTACGAAGAATCTCCATGGATTTGAGATTGGGATTCTTGGAAAACTGTACGCCGATAGTCACGAAGAAGAAGAATGGCTACTCATAGGGTTGCGTGCAATTCGAACAACCTCAATAACTGCAAGAAAAATTCAAACTTCGAAGTTGAATCACAGTAATTCCATGTGAGGACTCTGTGTGTGTGTCGATAATGAGTATAGAGGAATGACCCTTGATTTTCTCCATGGATTGATGAATTACTTCAAGAAATGATTTGGCAATTAGGGCATCGATTTGAGCATTGAAAGAAGATTGAGATGATGATGTTAATGGATGATTGAATGATTTGGTAGTGTGTGTCTGACTGCAACAGCAGAATTTTTTAATTCTTCTATCTGTAGATGATGACGATGGTGGTAAAGAAAGCCAAAGTCCAAACTTTATTCTGTATTACATTTTTAATACTAATATATCATTGCCAACCTGGTTTTATTTGATTCTGTTGAAGAAATTCTGGAGATGGGTTGGTGGGTCGGGTCATAAAATGGATCCGATCCGATCATACTCTACACACTGCTCACGAAATTCTTCTTTCGAATCGTCACGTAAAATTGCTGCTTCAACTTCTCCATTTTCTCTCATCACCTAAAGTACCCGTTGCACAATTTTTAAATTAAAAGATTATTTAACACAAAAATAAAATAAAATATTAAGATCTTTTATTTATTTATTTTTTCTTTTTCTAAAGTGTAAATACTCAACAAAACTCGTAACATTGAAGATTTGAACTTACAATATTCAACAATTATATTTTAACAAAACAAGAAAAATGATAAAGATAAATCAATTTTTTTAATCGGCTTGGTGCTCGTCTTCCTCGGGCCATGGCCCATTGGGCTGAGCCCAATAGTTTTAATATTTGAATGTCTTCGATGTGAAATAGTTATTGAATGTAAATAAAATGAATGCATAGCTCAATGGACATGTGTATTCTAGATTATGGAGTTATTTAAAAATATATTTTATATATATATTGAACATATTACTTTTGTCCCATAAATAGGTAATTATTTTTAATAATTATATTATCTATAAGGTGAACCATGTGTGGCAAGTGATTTGAGGTGTCGGGAGTTTGAACTCATGACTTTACGGTCACACGTTCAACCCCACACCACCATGTCATTCTTTATATGGAATGTATTCCACTCTCCTCTTAATATACCAGCTCATGGATGGTTTAAAAAAAAAAAGAAAAAGAAAAACTCTTTTTCTATATACAAATATATATATATTCTCTCCGTCCCATTGAAAGATTGTTATTTTTCATTTTCGTCAGTTCCAAAACAAGGTTACTATTTCCTAATTTAGTAATTGTACTATCTACCTAACATAATAAATACCCTTCAAACTTACACTATATTACACAAATGAAATTACTTTTATATTACATATAGAATATTTTTGTCTTTTTCACTATAACTCATTATAATATTAATATTAAAAAATTTACGTGAAAAAGTAAAAGAGAACTAGTAGTTATTAAAAATTATAAAAGTATTAGATAATAATGATAGTTTTGTAATTATTAAAATTCTTTAAGAAAATATAATATAATTTTATTGAAAAATATAATTAATTTTATTTTATTACGAATAGTATAACGTATAAAATAATATACTGATATTTTTAGACGTGTTCACTTAATCATTTTTAAATTAAAAATATTATTAAAGATTATAATATATATACATAATTATTCGCAATATTATATATATTCTATTAATTCACAAAAAATAATAATTCATATAAAATATTATTTTCAATATTATACACAGTTTTTTATATATAATATGAAAAATACATTCGTAAAAAATACAAAAGAATAAAGCGCACCCTTAGTTTTTGATAAAATTATTATATAATATGATATTTTATATATCAAATAATTTTGGATTTGTGTGCTTAGTATTTTTACTTCAATTTTTTTATATGAAATATAGAGAATCGTGTTGATAGCATAATATATATATATTAAATGTCGATTTTTGTGAAATAATAAAATATATACTAAGAATTTTATCGAAAAAAAATGATGGACGAACAAATCCCTTATGTTAATTACAATGGATCTATTACATTTGAAATTTAATTGTTTACCCTACAATTTTATAATTTATGGTTAACATTCAATTTGATAAAATGAAATTTATTATGTAATCTTACAAATATTACATTAAAATATTATTCGAACATAAAAAAAAAAAAAAAAAAAGTATACCAATATTTTATTTTTTATTTAAAAAATTTAAATAAATCCAAAAACCCTCTAAAATTGAAACACCATACAAATTAATGATGTATTGACATTGGGCGTTTGAGTAGACGGCTTCATATTTATTTGTTTGGTTAATTATGAGCACACCTCATTACATGCACACACATTTATTTACATTAGCAACTACCACACCAGCTGTCGAGTTACACTTTTTCGGGTCTTGTCGTTCGTCCAGTGTAATTTGTTTTATTATATCTAATTTATAAATTATTATATTGGATTAAAAATTTATTCAAGAAACACTTAAATAATAGCAAACTGTAAATTTTTATATTATAAAAATAATAAAAAAAAAAATGTGAAAAAGGTCAAAAGGTTAGACAGAGAGCTTGAATGTCGTTTTAAAGGGAAACTAACATCAATATGTTCGCTTAGCTCTTTTTTGGGTTTTAAAATTTGAATTTGATTTAAATGGAGTATTATTTAATAATAACTCGGAAAATTTAACGTGTTAGGTAAGCATTGAATATTGTTCCACATTACTAAATATATACGAACTCCTATAATATATAAGAGTGAATGATCACTCTACTTATCATCAATTGATTTTAGGTTGGATATCCAGATCAGAGCCATGGTATTCTTTAGCCATCAAATTTCAATTTTTTTATTATTTAGACTCTAATTTTATTCTTTTTTGAAATTTTTTTTTTTTTTTTACAAAACACTCCATTATATATTATTTAATATCAAACTCAAAACCAATATTTTTCAAATCAAATCAAAAGTTTAATTTGCGGCGGTTTTTTTTTTTTTTGTGTAATATAAAAAATAATATTTTATATTGAATTGTTAATTTATTTTTTAAAAAAAATATAATACAATTTATATACTGTTGTATGAATGTATGCATATATTATATGTTTTATTAATATTTATCTAGACTTATATAGCACAAAATTAGTATTGAACAAACCCATTATTATTATTATTATTATTATTATTATTATTATTATTATTATTTGAGTTATTAAATGAGTGAAGAGGATTCTGAAGCAGCAGTAGCTTCTCCTACTTAATGCATTCATTTCTTCTTCCTACTTTGATCTATGCATCTATACCTACCTACCAACCTATCTTCCTTCCTTCCCTCCAAAATACATGTGTTTATTTTTGACATATTGATTTTGAGTTTTGGTTTTAAATAGTAAAATTTGAATTAAAAATATTATTTGATGTGATATAAATATGTTTGATGTAATATTTTGAATATAAAATTAAATTTTAGTGTAATACTAAATGAAAATTAGGTGTTTAATTTAATATGTTTTTAAATAAAAAATTGTTGGAATAGTAAAAACCGTCTGGGGTTTAAACCCATAACCTCACGGTGACAAATCCAACCCCTATACCATCGGACTATTCCTTACCGGACACCAATTATTGGTATTTGGTACATCTATGTATGTATATTGCAATTCTTGAATTTACCGGCAACAATAATTCATCTTATTTGTGTTAAAATTGTATGAACTCAAAACTAGTATAATATTATTAGTTTTGATCGAACCTAACAAAAAAAAATTTGGATTAAAATATGTATTTAATCTGGCATTTATTTTTTTTTGTAAAATACTGTGGTAATTTTTCTTAATATTATAGAATTTACATTTATCAAAATAAAATAAAATAAAAACATGGCTATTATTTATTAATGTCTTAAATAACAAAATACTACTACGTCCATTCTTAAAAATGGACAATAGGGTTTAAAAGGTTATTTAGGCACTGTTTGGATATAATTTAATTTTTAAAAATTTGGAGTTTTAAAAATAGTTAAATTTAATTATAAAAGAAAAAAAAAAAGTGTATATGTAACATAGTTGCTCAGATGTGTTTTTTTTAATTGAGTTTGAAAAAATTTTATTTAATTTTGATAATATAAGATATTTTGTAAAAACAATATATATATTTTTTAAAAATATAGAGTTTAAATAGTAAATGTTACGATTTATGGAATAAACTCTATTTTTATTGAACACAATTAGGGTACAATATTATATTTATACAAGAGATATATTAGGTAGAATATATATATCAATATATAAAATATATATATACTATATATATATCCACATCCCCCCTCAAACTCAAGGTGGAACGGTGGAGCCCAACTTGAGTTTGTTCAAAAATGACTGAAAACGGCCGGGAAGGTGAGGTTTGGTGAATCCGTCGGCCGTCTGATCAGCAGAGGAAATAGGAGACAAGGAGATGCTTCCATGAGCAACGTGATGACGTACAAGGTGACAGTCGATCTCAATATGCTTCGTACGCTCGTGGAAGACATCATTTGTCGAAATCTTCATGGCGCTCTGACTGTCGCAATGGATAATAGTGGCAGAGGGCTGAGGCACTCCAAGATCAGCCAAAAGCCAGCGAAGCCATAGAAGCTCAGCAGCGGTATCGGCAAGGGCTCTATATTCAGACTCTGCACTGGACCGGGAGACAACCGTCTGTTTCTTGCTGCGCCATGAAATAAGCGAGTCGCCAAGGAAGAAGCAAAACCCGGTTGTCGAGCGGCGATCAGAGGGATCTCCCGCCCAATCAGCGTCAGAATACCCGGTCAAAACTAAGGAGGATCGAGCGGAATAATGAAGTCCATGAAGCAGGGTACCTTTGACGTACCGGAGAATCCGTAGGACAGCAGAATGATGAGTCGTCCGAGGAGCAGACATAAACTGACTGACGATATGGACGGCATAAGCAATATCCGGTCGAGTGACAGTCAGGTAGATGAGACTTCCCACTAGCTGACGATACAAAGTCGGATCATCAAGGGGAACGCCGTCCATCGGAGTAAGACGACAGTCAGAATCAAGAGGTGTAGGAGCAGTCTTGGAGTCAGTGAGACCGGCAATAGATAGGAGGTCGGAGGCATACTTGGCTTGAGAGAGATAATATCCGTCGGAGGTGTCGGAGATCTCAAGTCCTAGGAAGTACCGAAGAGGCCCTAAACTCTTCATCTCGAAGTGGCGGTTTAGATGAGCTTGCAACTCGGAGATACCTGATGCATCATCTCCCGTAATAATCATGTCATCCACATAAAGCAATAAAATAGTAATTCCAGCTGACCCACGTCGAAGGAAGAGAGCCGAATCATGATCACTAGAAGTAAAGCCAAGCTGGAGTAGAGCAGAGCTAAATTTCGAAAACCAAGCTCGAGGTGCCTGTTTCAAACCATATAGGGCACGGCGAAGTTTGCATACCTTGGAAGAGGTAGGAAAACCAGGAGGAGGAGACATGTAGATATCCTCGGATAAATCACCATGCAAGAACGCATTCTTGACATCAAGCTGATGTAGGGGCCACCGACGAGCGGCATCGATGGCGATAAGACAGCGGACAGAGGTGAGACGAGCAACCGGGGCAAATGTCTCCTCATAGTCGATACCATACTGCTGGGTGTAGCCTTTGGCTACCAAACGTGCCTTGTAGCGCTCGATAGATCCATCAGAGTTAGTTTTGATTCTGAATACCCACTTGCAGCTAATAGGTTTCTTGCCAGGGGGAAGATCAACCATATCCCACGTATGTGTTTTCTCCAAAGCCTGCAACTCCTCAGACATAGCCTGCCGCCACAACGGATCCGCATACGCCTCACGAAAGGTCCTGGGCTCATGATGGGACAAGGTGGCAGAGAAGCAGTGATAATCAAGTAAGTGAGTAGGAAGGTGACTAACCCGAGTGGAGCGACGAGGGCCAGGATCAGGGGCTGAGATCGAAGTCGTGTCAGGCTCTGGTGGTGGTGATGTATCGGAGTCGAGAGCAAGAGTAGGCTCGGGGATCAGCTGCGGTTCAGGAGGCGCAACCGAGACAGCGTCAGGAGCGGGAGATGGAGACGGAGCCGTGTCACTGGAAGGGAATAGGGGTGGAGAGGACAAGGTAAAGAACGGAGACGAACGATCAAAGGGGACTCGGAAGTGAGACAAGGAAGAGAATTTGGTATCCTCCCAAAATGTGACATGACGAGAAATACGTAGCCTATTGGAAATAGGATCCCAACAACGATAACCCTTATGTTCTAACCCATAGCCCAGGAAGCAACACAGACGAGCGCGAGGTTCTAACTTAGTGCGCTCATGAGGAGGGAGGAGGACAAAACTGACACAACCGAAAGGGCGGAGAAGACTATAATCAGGGGTACGATTAAATAGTCTTTCAAAAGGACTGACATTACCTAGGACAGAGGAAGGGACACGATTTATAGTGTGGACAGCGGTGAGTGCGGCTTCTCCCCAAAAGCGATCTGGACAAGAGGCTGATAAGATAAGGGTGCGGACTGTATCGAGGATATGTCGGTGTTTGCGTTCGGCGCGACCATTTTGTGGAGAGGTGTATGGGCAGGAGCGTTGGACAACAGTACCTTGATCAGATAAGAAACTAAGAAATGATGTATCAGTATACTCAAGAGCATTATCTGTGCGGAGAGTTTTTATAGTAGAGGAAAATTGGGTATGTATCATTTTAGCAAAGGTCATATAAATAGATGGAAGTTCAGAACGATGCCGCAGAAAGTAAATCCATGTAAAACGAGAATAGTCATCAATAAAAATCACAAAATAACGAGAACCATTCATAGACACAGTGGGCGAAGGTCCCCAAATATCCGAGTGAACTAAAGAAAATGGAGTATCCGCAATGGAAGTACTATGAGGAAACGACAGAGCAGGTTGTTTTCCCAACGAACAATCTACACAATTAAAAGACTCAAACTTAACAGAACCCAAACTACCCTGACTAATCAAGGACCTGACTTTATTGGAAGACGCATGACTGAGACGACGATGCCACTGAAGGCAGGATGGTGTAGAGGTGGTGGCAGCTGAGATAGAGGGACGAGGGACCTGGAGTGACGTAAGTTCAAATAAGCGGCCCGTCTTCCGGCCCTTCCCAAGAGTCCGCCCGGTTTGCGCGTCCTGAACCTGCACACCAGTAGAAGAAAATAACACGGTGAGACCTTGATCAACTAATTGACCAACGGAAATCAGATTTAAGGTTAATTGAGGGATACAATATGTGTCAGGGAGGGATAAGGATGAGGTGGATGTATGTCCGGTATGGGTGATGCGCATATGGGTACCATCGGCAGTAAGGATAGGGGGTAAGGATGGTGCGGTGGATGTGGAGGTCATAAGGCGTATATCAGAGGTCATATGATTACTGCAAGCAGAATCAAAATACCAAGGAGAGTTACCTGATGTGGTAGACATGGCGGTATTGGAAGATAGAACCTGTTTAAGAAGAGCTTCCAGGTCCTGAATCGTAGGAGGCGCAGGCGCAGGCGCAGCAGAGGCTGTGACAGAGGAGGTACCAGACTGAGGTCCACGAGAATTCCGAGGCTTGTAGTTACTACTTCCAGAGCGAGGTGGTCTAGTGGGGCAATACTGTATAGTATGGCCTAAAACATGACAGTAGTGACACTCCACCTTTGGGCAATGACCGAAGTCATGATCAGAGGACTGACATCTTTTGCAACGATGAGAACGACTCTGAGTAGGAGTTCGGGCAGTGACCGCAAGAGCAGAGTCAAGCTGAGGAGCCTTAGCTAGGTGGAGACGAGTTTCCTCAAACAGAATCTCCTGAATAGCTGCATCCAAGGTAGGAAGTGGATGCCGATGTAACAAAGAGGCACGAACTGCCTCATACTCTGGACGCAAAGCTATTAAGACCTGAATGAGGCGAAGATGATCAGGACTGATCTCTGCTTGATCCAACCGATGCCAAAGGGGTTGCACTTGGGCAAGGAAGTCGTTGATAGATTGTCCTGGTTCCTGTTTTAGATCGTGGAGAGTGCTCCATAACTGATAATAATGTGCCAAACCAGTAGCACGGAAGCGGACTGCCAAGAAATCCCACGCTGCCTTGGCAGTGTCAAATTGGGCAAGCTGAACATGGATCGCCGGAGTGGAAGTATTGCGCAACCAAGTGAGAATTTGATGGTTTTTACTATCCCAATCTTCCAATTTTTCAATATAAGATTCAACAACTGTGGCGGTAGGCGTAACTTCTCCTATAGAGACTGGAGCAATGGGGGCAACTATATCTCCCGTAACAATTCGCCACAATTTCCGACCTATCAAAAAACTTTTCATCGATTGTGCCCACAAACTGTAATTATCTCCAGACAAAACAACATTGATCGGAATATGTACATCCATCTTTTCCATAGAAACTCAAGAGAAAACAGAATCTCAAACCTCAAGCCGAAAGCCGAAACGAAAGAAACCGAATCAAAACCCGAAACACAAAAAATCAACCGGATACAAAAAACTGCTCAAACCGAGGAAGTGAAGATACCATCGCGGAGGAAATCAAATTCCGAACACGACGGTGCAAAGATCGCCGCCAACGGCCGCCGCACGCGCCCCCACGCGCCGGCGAGGCGTCCGGCCGGAAAAACACGTCGGGCGCGTGTGACTCTCACGCGCCGCCGTTCGCCGAACTGTTCCGGCGTCCGGCCGGTCTCGTGACGGCGAAGACGATGGTGGTGGCGGTGACGGTCGGAAGTGATCGGAAATATGCTATCTGGAATTCGTGGGTTGTTTCGATTTAGTCGGGAAAAAGCATGGCTCTGATACCATGTTACGATTTATGGAATAAACTCTATTTTCATTGAACACAATTAGGGTATGGTATATAAACTCTATTTTCATTGAACACAATTAGGGTATAATATTATATTTATACAAGAAATATATTAGGTAGAATATATATATCAATATATAAAATATATATATATACTATATATATATCAACAGTAAAATACAGAAATACTGAACTAAAGGAACACACCCAATATAATTCACATTTTTGTCTTTTTTTTTTTTCTACATAAATTTTCTTATTACTCATGCTTTTCTTTAAAATTCTCGACAAATCTAACTAAATAAGAAATAACTAAATCCCAAAAGGGAACATTACAAACTAATTTAATTAATTAATTAATTAACGAAAAGGGATTACTGTTGGTCTGTATCTTCTTCTCCACCCACGACGGCGACAACACAGGGCTCATTTCATACTCCGCCGCCGCAGCCGCGCTACTAACAACCTTCACAATCGCCGTCGTCCCCTCCAATTTCTCCTCCGGCATGATCTTAATCCTCCACACCTTGAACGTCTGGTCCAACCCGGCGCTGTACAGCAGAAACCCCATCACCACCACCTTCTCTATCTCCATCGCCGCCGCCAGACACTTCACCGGCCCTCTGTGCGCCTCCACCACCGCCAAACACTCATGGATGCAGCTCCCCTCCTCCCTCCTCCAAACCCTAACCGTCGTGTCCTCCGACCCGCTGAACACCAGCTTCTCAATCGCCGCCAGACACAGCACCGCGAACCGGTGGCCCTGCAAAAAACCGCCGTGATTAAACCTCCCCGACGTCCGCTCCTTCTCCCAGAAATTAATAAACCCGTCGGAGGTCCCGGAGTACAGAAAACACGACGAATTCGCCGCCGCCGTGCTTAACGCCAAGGCGTTCACCGGCGACGGCTGGAATTTCAGCGTCATTGTTAGAGTGTGCGAGCTCTGTCCGTACACCCGCCGCCAGATCTTCACGGAGCCGTCCGATGAGCACGTGAAGACGCAGCCGTCTTCCTGGTTGACCACCAGGTCGGTCACGTGACCCTCGTGCGCCGGGAAGGAGTCGACGCAGCGGTGGTCGGAAACTCTCCAGGCCTTCACCGTCCGGTCCCACGATCCGGTGTACAAAATTCCCTCCGTCTGATTATACGCCATACAAGAAATCGAATCCTTGTGCTTGAAGCTGGTCGTCTTCGTCGGAAATTTGAAAATCGACCGGTTTTTGGGCAGGTTCGCGACTTTCCTCGCCTGAAAATTCTCCGGCCCGGCGGTGATGTTCCAGACTCGCACTTTACAGTCCTTGTGGGAGGAGAAAAGCGTGTTTCCGTGGGCTAAAATCGCGCGGACGTCGCCATGGCTGGATTTGAAGTATCCTCGGTCGGAGCAGTCGGGCTGGCGCCATGCGCGGATGCGGGAGCTTTCGGAGCCGGTGAAGACGAGGCCCTTGGCGGCGGCGATGGAGAAAATGGTGCCGTCCTGGCGGTGGAGGGAGGCGATGCAGTGGTAGAGGAGGGAGGGGGAGGGGGTTTGGTGGGGGGAGAGGGTCCAGGGGGAATCGGGGCTGCACGGCGGGGGGAGGGCGGCGGCGGCGGCGCTGTTGGTGGAGGATCGGGAGGGGCTGTAGAGGAGGTTGTCGTGGTGGTGGTCGTAGCTGGATTGGGTTAGGGATTTGCAGGAAAGGCGGGCGGCGGCGGGAGAGTGGATTGTGGTGGTTCTGGCGGGGTCTTGGTGGTGGTGGAGGAGGAAGGCGGAGAGGGGAGCTGATCTGTGTTGGTCCATTGATGGAATTAGGGTTTAGGGTTTGGACATGTAAATTAGTTGCAGCGATGGTGTTTGGACTGTAAATATTTCTGTCTGTCTGCCTGCCTGCCTGCCTGCTAGTGTTTTTTTATAGACACAAGAAGCAGAGAAACAACATAGAATGTTTGTGGTAGGGATGGCGATTTATCGGGTCGGGTTTGGTTGGATCGAGACCCGACTTGAATACAAATAATTTGGTTTTATATTTGAATAGATTTTAGGCTAAATGGTACAAAATTTACTTATAGTTTCATAAAATTGCGCCCGTATTTTTAAAATTGCATCAAATTTGTTTATAGTTTCATAAACTACGTAGCTAACCCTAGTCATTCTTATTCAAATGTTGTTTGATTTGCAATTTCATAACATCTATTTCAAAACCATTAAATTTACAAATATATTCATTTTTTTTATATTCAACTCCAAAAAACTGGAAAAAATTCTTAAAATAAGATTTGCGAGAGAAATAAAAAGAGATTAAATCCCTCGCAAATATCACAATTCTAATATTAGAATTCAGAACAAAAATCATTTTTGGTCTCATTCAATATCACAATTATCAATGGTACCATTCAAAAGAATTTATCAATTTTGGTCTCATTCAAATGAAAATTTATCAATTTTAATCTCAAAATAGTTGACTGGGACTGAACACAGCCGTGTTGGCTTGAACACGGCAGTGTTGAATGACTCAGAAGGTGACTGGGCGTCCCCAGGCAGCCAACACGGCCGTGTTGATTACCCTGCACTTCTAAACACGGCCGTGTTCTGCCCGTGTTCTGAACACAACCAGGCAACCAACATGGCCGTGTTGATTACCCCTCACTTCTAAATACGACCGTGTTCCTGTCCGTGTTCTGAACACAACCATGTTCTTGTCCATTTCCTACGCATGTTCTCAGCACAGCCATGTTCTAAGTCATGTTCTAGGCATGTTCCTAGGCCATGTTCACAACCATGTTTTCAATATAATCATATTGTAGGTCATATTTATTATTATTTTTACTTTTTGGTTAAAATTATTTGATATAAATATATATATTTATAATTCAACAAACATATTTTTTATGATTATTTTATAATATAAAAAATAATCAATTTTTAATATTTTAAAAATATATAAAAATAATAATATATTAATATATATTTTTAATAATACTCACTCCGTCCCAATTACCATGTCTACATTGCTGTTTTGTCCGTCCCACATCCCATGTCACTTTTCTTTTTTGGAAAATAATTACACACTATTTTTTAATTTAATTTTTTTTAATTTTAATTAGTTTTTTAATCTTAAGTTATAATTATTTATATTATATGATAATTATTTTCACTAATACATTTTTAATTATCTACTAATTTTACTTATTCTAAATTCTCGTGTCGACCCAGACATCCGTGGGACGGAGGGAGTATTATTTTAAAATATTATTTTGAATAATAAATTTAATTTATAATTTATAGAAATAATTAATTTAAAATAATATTTTAAAATTTTTACTATAAATTTTTAAAAATATATATAATGATTATTAAAAATATATATATTATTATTTTTACATACTTTAAAAATATTAAAAATTGATTATTTTTTATATTATGAAATAATTGTAAAAAATATTTTTGTTAAATTATAAATATATATTTATATCAAATAATTTTAACCAAAAAGTGAAAATAATAATAAATATAACCTACAATATAATTATATTGAAAACATGGTTGTGAACATGGCCTAAAACATGAATGCGAGAACATAGCAGAAACATGGACAAGAACATGACTGTCTTCAGAACACGGGTATAAACACAACCGTGTTTATAAGTGCAGGGTAATCAACACGGCCGTGTTGAGACCATATGTATTACCGATCATATGATAGGTACAATGTTTATGAGTGATCATATGTATTAGCGATGGTTTGAAATCTTTGGCTGTTTATTTCACAATAATTGATTACGTAGGTTGTTAATTTAGCGAGGAAAAAAAAAAAATCTTACAATTTTTATTATTATTATTTTTGTGTGAATAGTAAAAAAGCAGGATAAATACAAATGAATTATTTCCTTATAATTTGAAATTGATTTTAGTAGGGTATTTATTTTATTTTTATTTAAATAATATTTTAATATAATATATTGTAAAAAAGAAATAGTATATATTTTAATGAAAAATTGCAAAGAATAGTATTGATTTCAATTTGAAATCACAAAAGACAATAGTTATTATCTTATATCATCTATTAATTCTCTCTTTTTTTGTTTTTTTCAAACCATCATATACTTCATCCGTCCCATAAATATAGTCTTAACTGGGTTGAACACGAGATTTAAAAATAATTATTGATATTATATTGGTAGTGGGTAAAAAGTATGGATAAAAGACTTTTTTGCCCTTGCGAGTGTATTAGTATAAAAAATAGTGATAATTGTGTAATAAAAATGAAAAAGTAGGGTAGTTTTACTGTGCTATGGTTATTTATGGAAATAAAACTATTGTTTTGAGATAGAAAAAAATGATAAATAAGACTGTTGTATTGTGACGGAGGGAGTATATAAATAGTATATATTTAATATATTACACAAAAAAATACATTGGAGTTAAATATATATATATATATTTTTTAAAGTTTTAGAAACTTTTGAAAATAATCAAAAATTGAGTGAAAAATAGATATTTTGAGTGATATAAATAGAAACTTATGTAATGTTTTATATCAAAAAGTTGATTATGTGTATAATAATTTAAATAAAAATAAATAAATGTCAAAGATGATATATTTTAGAAATAATTTTTTTTTTAAAAAAAATAGTTTAAAAAATAAGTTTATAATATGTGTATACATTGGCCAAGAATTTTGGATTTGCTTTGTTTTTTTTTTTTTTATTATTACGAATCCAAATTTATCTTGTTATATTTTGGATTTTTAATAAAAGTATAATATTATTTTTTTTATATAAAATATTATATCAAAATAATATTTAAATCAAATTTTCAAAATCATACACACCCTCGTCTCGTTTTGTTTAGCAGAGAGCATTACTTTTGGAAAAATTTTAAAAAATAATAATAATATTTTATTACTAATGTATAGAAGTACACGCATATAAAGAAAATTTTGACATTATTTTTTGCGATTTATTTATAAAATATAATATATTTATAATTCATATAAAATTAAATTTTATATTATATTTATATAAAGAGTATTTTCACTATAACAAAAATAAATAAATTTGTGTGGAACAAACAAAATCTACAAAATGTATTATTATACAATTAGTTGAGGTAGAAAGAATATAGATCATGAAATTATTTAGGTTCTTTTTTTTTTTTCCAAACCTCTTTATTTATTATTTAATTTTTTTCTTCAAAAATATTACATATTTATTTTTATGTGAAATATCATATTAAATATTATTTTTATATTTGCATGTGTTGATGAAAATTTAAGAATTAAATAATTTTAATTAAAGTACCATACCTAGTTGCATAATATATAGTTAATTAATAATTGGGTATAAGTCTAATTTGAATTAAAAAATAAATAAATTAATTAATATAGGCATTTTAAATAGACAATTAGAGGTAGAGGTTGTGTTTGCTTACAGTTTCTTATTATTCTCAATAATCATTTTGTTTTATTTATTTAATTTTTTTTAGTAAATTCAAGAATTATTAATTAATTTGTTGGAAGGCAATGCATATAATTACTCATTATTAAGCTACCTCTAATGATCAATAATCAGGCTATTATTGCATTGCTACCTACATTAAGTTTTTGGAATTTTAAAAATTGAAAAAAAAAAAAAAAAAAAAAGTAATATGAGAATCCGTAGCCGTTACCCGAAAGTGCACACTGGGTAAACCTCACGCCGAATCTAATACTCTGCAAACTAGACCCGACAAGACAAGTCATACTAGACAAACCTAATATTTAATTTGATGTTTTGTGAAAATATATATATATATTTGATGTAATATTTTTTAAAAATAAATAGTCTTAAATAAGTAAAAATTGATTATGTAAACAGAGCCTAATTTGTATTCGAAATAATTACTATTTATTATATACTTTGGATATAAATTTTATTGAAATAAGGTAATTTTCATTTTGGTTTATTTTTATTTTTTATTTTTCACTATATAATTATATGGAATTTTAAGTTAGTTATTTTTATTATTATTTGAAATACAAAATAAAAAGACAGACCCAAAGAATATATATTGCCTACCAAATCTATTTAATAGCTAGCCAACACTCGATTGATTAATTATTAAATTCCTACCAAGTCTATTAATTATCTTATCTATTCTCACTTTTTATTTTTTTTTTAAATTTATTTTGATGACGTTCATTTTTTCTTTATATTTTTAATTTAAAGTATTTTTATACTATAAAATATACTCATATTATCATTAAATTGGACAATTTTATTAAATAATATTTTGATTGATAGTTTTGTAAAAAAAATATATATATATTTTTATTGCATACTATATTAGTTAATAATAAAAAATATATATATTTAAAATAAAAATACAAACTCTCTTTAAACTTTTTCCTTTGTTTTTTTTTAGTATGCAATCTTTACAATTAAATGGCTATAAAATATATGGAGTGTATAATTTTTATACATAGTATCACATTTTTTAAAAAAATTATTTAAATAAAGAATTAAAGCCACAATATAGGAGAAAAAATGTCCAAAAAATATTTAATATTGAACCTACATGACTTACCATGCAATTATTACATGGTAATGAATAGCAGGTTTGCCGACAATATTAATTAATGTATTCGTTGGATATTTAATTCATTGCTAAAATGAGAATAATTAAGGTTTTGATTAGCTTTAATCACTATATAAAAAAATATATGATTTAATTAATACTAACATATATATAGTATAGATTGTTATTTACGTCTTTCGTACATTAATATTAAAATATTATTGATTTTTAGTTATATTGCATATATATATATATATTATACATATAATTAATTTATACAGAAAATCAAATGACATAAATGTCAAAACATTTTATTTGATTAATAAAATACTACTACTATTATTATTATTCAAACAATATGCAAATTTAGCATATGTTGAATGCCCTCTACCCACATCTGCTTTTCCTCCCTGCTTCTGCATTCGAATTCGATCACCCGCTCCGCCGTCTCTATAGCCATGTACGCCTTCTCCTCCCCCTCCCGCCCCACCCAAGCGCCGATCTCGCTCTCCACACCCGACACCACATCTGCACAATAAGAACTTCATTAGTCATGCACGCCATTTTTTTTGCATGTCTATCGCAACGTTACATACGTAAAGCTATATACGTACATTTCTTCTTCTTCGTGAATGTTCCTCCCATGTGCCGGCTCTTCATCTTAGCCACAACCTGTTTCATCGAGATATCATTGCCCCGTCGAGACATAATAAGGCATGAATCAATCAAGGGGAATTGTACTCGTCGCGCTAACCTGCCAGTTCGAGTTTATGTTGATCGACACTTGCTTCCAGTGCAGATCCCCTGCATCGATCAGCCGAGAGAATCGTAGTTGAATTTTCAGATGATCTGCAGCGTCGAATTCAATGGAGTTTGATTTTTCGAAAGAACTTTTACCTTTCCTCGTGCGCTTGAGAAGTTCGCCGCCTTTGGATACAAAGTTCAGAGCGATCGAGACGTTCGATTCGTCCGTCGCAGAAATGGTCGAACCTCCGCCAAGCTCCTTGTTCAGCCTCGCGCGTAATGTGGCCGCACCTCTTAAGGCTGCAATCGCAACGTCGCCATCAGTTTATGGAGAAGGTTAAATTTTTCGAAGAGTTCAGCAAAAATGACCTGTGGCAGCCCCTGCCGTGAGTGTCATGACATCGCCATTAGTCCGGGCGTTGATTGCAGAGTTCACGACGGACAAAATGTGGTCGTGCTCGGCTCCCATGTCCTCCGCGATCTCGATGCAGTGAGACGCCACTAGAGCCGCTGCAGATGCAAATGCAGCAGACAATTTCGAAGGCTGTTTGTGCTTTTCCGGAGAAGCCACCGACAAAGCTGCGAGAGCAGCCACGGCAGCCGCAACGCCAGCCACGGATACAGCGGCGTGGAGTTGGGCGTTATGGGCTCTGATCTCCTGCTTCTTTCTCTCCTTCTGATCTTTCATCCATCTCCCCATTGTTTTCCGTTTCATGATCAGGTTTCTATACACCTGCTACGATTGCAAGAAAGATTGACAAACATGAATGATCATCTTTCGAATTTATGCATAAGATTTTAAGAACATATGGTTCGTATCGAATTCATACCCCGTTGTTTCTGATCAATTGTTGGTTAGAGATGAATTCGGGATTGAGAGCTTGATGTAGCACAAACAATTCCTGCACATGTCGATTCATTAGGACTACATAGCACACACATTAGCTCCATGTCTCGCTCTAATTACACCATGTTGTAAGAGAAACAAATACCTTGGCTTCATCACTGCTTCTCGGGGACTCTGGAGGACTATCCGATGCCAACAAGGGCTGATCATGCTGCAAAATAGAAAAAACACAAATCAAATAATCGAACCATAGCAAAGCTGATAACAAATGTATAAGGCTTTACAAGGAATGGGGAAATTAGAGAGTAGGGAGTTTACATGTTCGTGTTCAGACCCCAATGGAGGTTTCGCGGCATTACCATTTGTGTTCCAAAGAGCCTTGGAGAGCTCCACGGCGGAAACACTCCACGATCGAGCCAAGAACTCCATGGATTCCGTAGGGGTTTGAGGTTGGGGGCAACTGATCTGCTGCTGCTGCTGCCATTCAGCAGCAGTTTCTTCCTCCTTGATGTTCTCGAGCAGCCTATTGGCCCGGAATTTCGAACCACCTGAATTCACAGACACTGAAACAAGAAAGCAAAAACAGCTCAAATGAGAGTCACTCATCCACATTTAATCACTTTCTGACATGAAATTGAAGATCACATCACACCAAACTTAACTTGATATATGAAGTTTTCAGAAACTATGGAACAAAACTTACTGATGATCAGATTCTGAACAAACCCTGCTGCTATTTAAATGATGAGTAGATCAAAAGGAAAGATTCCATGGGAAATTAAAGCACTATGTATATCTATATATTGAAAACTATCTTCCAAATTAAAGCTCCAACTGATACTGACCCCCTTTGGAAATTATCTTCCTTTTGAGGGCTGCGCGGCGGTTCATCATTACAAGATGTAATCTTTTTATCCGCCATTGACACCACTTTCATGGAAAAGCAAGCACTTCAATGGATCCCATTGCTTTGCAGTATAGCAGGGATAGTTGTCTGGACAAAGCTGACCCCAAACTGCATCGAGTACCAACCATTTGGACTCTAGTGGAGTTCTTGGCTCTGGGAATCTTTCCTTTGGCAGTTTTCTGCATTGACTTGTCAAACAATCTGAATTTAATTCATCAATCACTACTGAAAAAGGAAAACATATAATATTGGCTGAGTTTTGGTAGACTGTGTAGTGGAGTCTCTTTTGCTTTTCCATTCGTGCAGAGGCATTAGTTTACTCAATAATAACAATGGCCACATTGATGAACATAATTATGATGATCAAGTATTATAGACTCGCAGATAACCCCACTTTCCACTAATCATAATTTATTATAAGCTTCCTCTAATGCCCACTGCATATCCTCTATTAGAACAGGATTATCTTTTATGGCCTTAAAGTGATCATAAATCCCAGAAAAAAAGGGAAAAAAATATTAGTTTTTGTGCATATAAAAGTGTGGTATTAGTAAGTAAATTAAACTTTATAGAAACAACAAATTTCAGCTAATGTACAAAGGGTTGTTAGAAATTGATGGCAATTAATTTCAATCAATGAATGATATAAGGTCAGGTTTGCCTCCTGAAGCTCATAAAGACATGAATTTGAACGAACAGCATTTTCTTCATTTAGAAAGACAACTTTCATTAACTCATTATACCAATGATAACTTGGAAATCAAATCAAACCGCATAGCATAAATCTATGTCAAGTTTGATGTTACCTGAGTCTGAAAATGAGTGCCTCAATTTTGAATTGGCAATGGCTGGCAACAACAGAGTGCAGAATGAGTTTTAATTATAGGAGCTTTCAAGAGGCACGAATACCAGTTTGGATAGACTGAATCTCTGTTGGAACTTGTAAGCCACTGGTGTGATGGATCCTGCTGATGGTGCGTCAAAGTCGAAGACTTAGGTCATCAGACCTCGATGTAAAGCGAGATTGACAGTGGAAGGTTTGATCACTGTACTTGGTTCAACTGGACATGGAGTGGCTAACATGATCAGTTGCTTTGCTGTTTGTAAAAAGTTTCATGGCCCTGAATGAACCTGCAAGGAATCGGGAGCCTGATTATTGCATCCGATCCAGACATTTTGATAATAATCTCTGGAAAACAAGACACTAGAAATACATAATATAGGAGAGTGCAGGAAGATGACTAACCTATTTCCATTACTTGTTTCGGTTCTGACCTCAGAGCCATTTTCGCAATAATACCTCTTAAAAGGGACTTCGCAGCAGATGCAATCAAAGAATCGCATCAAACTAAATAAAGGGGCCACAATTGCCAATATAATATAACATTTTGTCATGCAAGATAAAGATAAGTAAGTACATTTAGGCATCAAACAAGAGGAAGGAATGCAAAGTAATAAATAAAATTGTAGAAGAAAATATAGTTCCATTCCATTAGAGTCTCCAAAAGCATCATTTAAGTAAACAATGGCTTATCAAATCCACTATATTTCAGTGCATGATACAGTGAAAGAACTTTGTGGAGTAACATGTTACATCAACAGGTCTAAGACCAAATGTAAAATCCGGAAAATATGATCATATGTCTTTCCACTGATTCACCCCTTCTTGGGCATGGCAGCAAGTCTGGTATACATCCGGGCCATGGACTGGTAACCTCTAATATCCCCTGACCGTAGAAGGTTGCCTAGGCAAAGACAAGAAGCCATCAAGTTCACTCAAAATCTACAAATAGAAACTAGTGCAAAACAACAAACTCACTTGAAAGAAAACCTTAAAAATGCGCTAAATACAGGTTCTGCAATTGCAAATATGGGTAGGTTTCCAAGCAAACGGACCGTTATAAACCTTTATCTACCAAGAAACCCATGAAGGATTCAGTCCATGTTTTTCCATGTCTCTAAAATATGTAACAGTGTGCATGTGTTGGGTAAAATTCTCGCTGGGGGTATGAGTGTGTGCGTGTGTTAAAAAGAAAAACTATGGTCATTTTCCTTCTCCTATGGTGATTTTAACTCCCTTGAGGCTAAACGTTTTGATAAAACATAATTGTACATCATAATGTTTAGAAAAGAAGCACAAATAAAAATACCTGAATCGCAGTTCAGAGGACTATCAGGTTCTGGATGAGCCATCAAAGCAATTATAGCCCTACAAACTGATTGCAGGGTCCAAGCTGGACTCCAAGCATTTTTCAAGATATCAAGGCAAATCTCGCCTGTCTGCATAAGATGAAAGGGCATAATTAGCAACTAGTACCTTACAACATCACCTTGCCTTAATATGTAATGAATTTATGATAATCCATTACTAGAATACATTATAGTAGGTACACTACATATAATTGCTAACACAGACAAGCTCATCCTTTTAATATTATTTACATCTGTTGTTATTTCTCACCCATTTCATTTGTCAGGGCTAAAGCTTCGCAAGTAAACTTATCACATAAAACAGCAATAGTCTTTATATCAAATTATCAACATTGTTCACTGTTCAGCACTCCACAACTTATTTACTACGAGACTCATATTTCTCATTTTACTATGGAACTCATATTTTTCATTATACTCTAGGCATACATTCATTGTGGAGATCATATTCAAAATAGGATATGTATTCTATATACCAAAAGAATGAGAAAAGAACAATAAAGTGAATTACCTTGAAATGTACATTTGGATGGAATATTTTGGTTAAGAACCGAACTTGAGGAGGCTGCAGAGGATAATACTCAGGCACAGAAAATGCAAGCTGGAATACTCCACCTTCATAAGGAGTTTCTGATGGTCCCTAAACAACATAAAATCAACCAAGCAACTAAATTTATCTAAAAAAAAAAAAAAAAAAATCGAAAGAAAACCCTATCATAAGATATACCTACCTTTATAAGAGCCGTCCACTTAAATATATTTGTATCATCGCAAACAAGTTGTATATCAGGATCAGCTACTTTCTCTCTCTGCACTTCTTTGTATTCCTTAAAAAGCCGAGCCCTTGATGCCTATTTCCAAAGCACAGATGAACTTCAAATAAATCCCAACAAAAGTTCAATGCAAGATACAGTAATGACTTGAAAGCCTCTCCCAAGCTACCACGACACTGCATATCCACATCCAACAAATTGAAATTCTCTAAGTATACATGTCATCATCTAAGTTTCACTTTCCAAACTACAGAATATCACCTAAGTCTGAATTTAGAGCGGCATACTCATTCCATTCATTCAAAGACGCCATTAATTACATTAAACATGTCTTTTTCAGATGACTAGCCCCCTTTCTGAAGATCCAAAAGACTTATTCTAAGAATATCATACCGGAATTCTCATATTTAACTTATATGAATCTGCACACGATCCTAGGTAGCCATATGATATATCAATTGGATTGTTTGTACGACATTTACTTGTTTCTTGACATGATAGAATCATCATCATCATCATCTTAAAGCCTTTGCACACAATGTCTTACTGCATCTTCTTGGCGCCATGAATGGTTGATACATTGAGTCCGAATAATAAAATAATAAGATCAATTCGATATTTCATGTTATTAATGCTTGCATCCGATGCAATAACGATCAGAGAGGTTAAATTCATAACAGCCATCGAAATAGAGATACCAATCGATTATATACATGTTAACAGCTAAACATGTTCAGACCCTTTCTTCAACCTGCTTTGCTCTTGATTTGTAATATGATTCAACAAATTTTACCTGCATAACATACTTTGCTATTGATATAAAATGATAAAATTACCATCACACCTGCATAACATATAACCCAACACCTTTAATGAACTCCTAACATATAATGGGAACTGAGAAGTACTTTATCATCCTTATGAACTTCTTATCTCCTATCCTTACTAACCGTGGATAATCCATGCCTTTACCCCAAGTTCAACAGCACACAATCAGATCGTGAACAACGCCAGGAAATTACAGCAGAAACTACGATTGAGGTTATGGACTAGGAATTAAGAATTTAAGCGAAATTGAGAATTCAATTCGCTAGAGTTACTGCTATAAAAAGGAATCCCCATGAAAAGAAAACAATCAGCATCCACAAATACAGAACTGACCTGCATATTCAGCGACAACTTCAGCGATTAATTGACGTTAATGAGAACTGCATCAATTGATCAAAAATTGTTTTTTAGTTAATAATATAAGAATTAATTCTAGCCGCAGCCCCAAACACCAAGAACTAGAAAAGTATAACCTAAATCGAAAGCCCACACAACTTTCCGGTATAATTTCTTCCAAAAAAAGATAAACCAATAAAATTGATTCAGCAGTAAAATCGTCGGAGAGATGAAATGCAATCACGAGCTAAACATAAACTCACCTAGCGAACTCCCGACGCAACCCGAAATGGACCTTCGGGGACGATGACCCTCACGCAGATAAAGGTTCCTCGTCAGTGATTCAGTGTAATGCGGTGCACCATATTTCTGTGTTCCCGTATTAGTAACCGTTGATATAGTTGACCTGGTCAATATAGCTATAGCATTAAAAAATGTGTTACATTTGGCTAAATTGCAAACATCTACATGCAGTTGGCAAAATTGTGCAAATACCGAAAATGCGAATAAGTTTTAAAATTTTTATTTTTAAAATCTGATTTATTATTTAATTTAAAAAAAACAGTAAATATAATCATAAATAATTGTTTTTCTCTGATTTAAAAAAAAAATAAAATTTAATATTGTTTGAGGGTAAATATACTAAGGGTGTGTTTGTTTGGAGGTTTGGATTTTGGATTGGAATTTGAATAGTAAAAATTTTGAATTTGAATAGTTGTATGATGTGATATAAATAGGTGATGATGTGATGTTTTGAATGTAAAATTGATTTTTAGTATAATATAAAAAATGAAAAATAGGTGTTTGATTTGATGTTTTTGGGGCGAAAAAATTGGATAAATAATAAAATTTTGTTAGAATTCTACAAACGAACACACCCTAAATGAATATATTTATAATTAGCAGTTTGAGCAAATCAAACATCCTTAAATAAGGATGGTCAATTAGTTGAATGCAAAGTTTATAAAATTAGGAATTTGACTCAATGGAACCTACAATTACTATCCGAAAGTGTACACCGGGTAAAACCCCGACCGAACCTAATACCCTGCAAACCAGGTCCGACAGGCAAGTCACACTAGGCGAACCATGTGTTGCAGGTGACCTGAGACATTGGGGTAAATTTGACTCAATTTTGAAAGTGCTATAAATTTTACTCAATTTCGTAAAATCCCAGGTAAATTGGTACAATTTAACCCTTATATTTTATTAATTTGAAGTTGAATTTATCTATAAAATAGGTCCCTTCCCCCAACTTTTCCCCGAAATATATATTCTATCTGTCATCAAAGTTTATTTCCATGACAAATTTATTTTTCTTAAAACGTCCGGTCAAATAGAAACAGTTTTTTTTACTAGGGAGGGAGTACTTATTGAGTGAGTTAAAAATTAAAATAAATAATGTTACTATCTAATTTTAAAAAATAAAAATTAAAATTAAACTCTGAAAAATCGAGAAAGAAATCCAATCAAATCCACGACTTTTATTATATGCTTATTACAGAGAGCATCACTACTGCAACTGATCAAGGACCACTTATACTATACACAATACACACCAACCAACTTCAACCAGCAAAAACAAAAAATCTTTAACATTCACCCTCCACTAGTAAAGAAAACTGTTTGTTTCTCCAACGAATTTCAGAGTTACCATTTCTGTGCTGTTCTGAGAAGAAATACTGACAGACAGACAGCAATGGAAGGAGGAGAGGGATTATGATACCCACCGACAAAGGATAAACCAAAAGGAAACCAGTATAGGACCAACTCAACCATCCATCATCATCATCATCATCTTTACATGCTCCCAGCAGCTGCACCAGGTGTGGTTTTGGGTTTGAATTTCGAGATATCGACGAGGTCTCCGAATAGTTTGTCCTCTGGCTTAGAAGAAGGCCTGGCATTGGAGGCAGCAATAGAGTACGGAGAGCTTCGCAGGCCGCCGCCACCGGAGGCAGCATCCCTCAGAGACAGGGCCGACATGCTTTGCTGAAGGAATTGGGGGCGGCTTTGAGGTTGGGGTTGGGTGTGGGTGTAGTGATACCCGTAGCCAAATCCGACCATCTGGTTGGCGTAAATCTGCTGCTGGGGATACATGTAGCCCATCGGGTTGATCTGCATCGGCTGGGGATACATGACCATGGGCTGTGGGCTCTGGAAGGGATACGGATTTGGATTCAAGGCCGGCATTTGGTTAACAGGCATGGCGGGGTGGGGGTGGGGGTGGTTGCCCATCATTGTAAGATGGGCGCCGTTGTATGGTTGGGTTTGCTGAGGCTGGGTGAAGGCTGAAACGCTGTTGTCAAGTTGGGCTTCCCATGGTGGAGGGGGTAGGGCGCCACTGCTCTGAGCACCTGTCAAACAAGTCGAAAAAGCATACTTCTTGCTGTTCAAGATTGTTTATTTTCGAAATGTAATAATGCTATGTCATAACCAGAACAGTAAATGTAAAAAGTGGGAATACGAATGCATACTGTAAACTGTAGAAGGCGGCAGCTGCTGAGGTGGAGTTGTCTGGCCATTCCAGACAGAACCAGAACCTTGGAGATTAATGCTTCCATTTGGGTACGGTGAGGAGGGTTGTGGGGGCTGAAAATTCTGCTGTTGCTGAAACTGAGGCGATGAAGAATAGGGTTGTGGAGAGTTCAGAGGCCGAGTATCATTTGTCTTGTGATTATTGTCTGAGAACATGTCGAAAAGCACTAGAGCATTTTGCTGAGAAGCGACGGGGCTTGCTGGTTGAGGCTGTCCGACGGGTACAAGTGCCAAAGAGTTGTAGTCATCTCCACTCAAAAGATCTATCTTGGGATCGGCTGCCTTCGTTGGAGTTGTAGCCTGATTAGTAGTCGGAGGGCCAGAGACTGCCAACGGTATCTGGGAGCTAGTATTGGATGTGGATCTGCAAACGATCAATTCAAAGCAAGAAAAAACAAATTAAACAAATTAAACATGTGAATATGATCGATCAAACAACAAAAAGCAGAAGCAAAACTTAGTAACTTACCCCTTATCTGCTTGTTTGCTACCGGTATCAGCAGTGCTGATCAGAGGAGTATCAACAGGGACCAAAGCTTGAGAAGATTCAGGTTTCGGCTTCTCTGATTGAATGGTTGCAGTTCCAGAAGCAATTGATTCGTGCTTTGATAGTACACGTTGCAGGTCATCATTCAGGGCTAGTCCTTGGGACAACAATGCTTCATCCCTAAAAAACAGGTAAATAGAAAGCAAATTTATAAATACAATTTCACTTGGATTGAATTTATCAGAACCATTATAATTTTAGACACTGCACTGGGCTGTTCTAGTTGATTATCCATAACAGAATCCATACAAAAGATAAAATTAAAGGATGCAACATACTTCTCTTTCCAAACATACTAGCCATGCCGTAGGTATTTCAAATTCATATAAAAATATCCGCACAGAACATAGGCTCGCTCAATTTGCTAAATAAAACTGCTCACACCTACGGCCAGCGTTACTGGAACTTGTAGTGCGAAAAAAATATTTTATACAGTTAATTAAATGTTAATTTTTAAGTGGCTGTGTTTATTGTTTCTTCTCACTGACTCAAAAGACTATTTAATTCTTCTCTTAGCAATTAAACCATTTGGATATCTAATGAGTAAACAACATATAAAAGCATTTTCCTAGCCAAGCTTAGCAGACATACTTGAAAATTTTATAATATCAAGTTCACTAATTAAAATTTGAAAAAGATAATCAGAAGATGCACAGTAAAAGTTTATAGCTGAAAAAAAAAAGCATATGCAAGTGTGTGAAAGAAAACAAGGCCGTACGAGGTCGAGTTAACCAGTTGTACCACTCTTTGCTTAAATGCGTGGCACTGTCCAACTAGATCGACAATGACCTCCTGCTTGAGTCCCTATCAAAAGATTAAATAAATAAACAAAATTAAGTTAACATCTCAAATTTTTCCATTTGGATGAAATAATCATCATAAATCTTGCCTCTATAAAATAATCATACCTCCTTGTTACCAGGGTCTAAAGCATTCAGCATTTCAGAAAGAACATCCATGATACCACGAGCATTTTGAAGTTCAGTCAAGCTGAAAAAAAAATAAAATAAAATACAGACAGAACAAGGATCAAAAACCTATAAAACTTGATTCATCAAATAAAAGTCAAAATATATTAGTGATCAAATTTTCACATTCACAAACAACTGGAAACCATATGGTACAGAAGAAATATAGATATTATGGAACAATAATGAAAAAATAAAAAATTCAAGGAAAAAAATAAAAAAAGAATTGCATGCTTTTATAACACAAGGAAAAGATATTAAGAAATGCAACACTTGTAACCACTGAGCAATTCTTACAAATAAAAATTGGAAAGGCTCCCACGTGAAAATTATGGAGAACAGTAATAGCCAGATGATCTATAAATTTGTCATTCTATAAGACACAAAGACTAACAATTAACCAAATTCATCCACGCATAATTGATGCTGGTTCCATATAATAGAGGTTTTCTCCCACAACAGAAGTTAAATTCCACAAAAATCTATCAATGTATTTTCAATAAGGAATTTATACATAATTATAGACTATCACAAAACAAAGAGAAAAAAACTCGCGTTAAGGTTTCATAAAAAATAATATATCAATTTAGGGTATCATTTTGCTTAAAACTAATAATCCTTTCCACACCCAATAAACAGAAATTAGTAAAAATCACAGTGCCATTCCAAAGCCTGCAATACAAAGGAAATCAAAATGTACTCAATCCAGGATACTAAACCTCAATGTCGGAAATTCAGCTTGTGCAGAAGATTCAGCAGCACCTGGCATAGATTCAGGATTGTGAATATTTTGGGGATAAGATGTCAGAGGATGTGATTGTGCTGGAGTGAAAACAGGAGCTGAATTTTCAGATCTCTGAGGGAAAACTGCCCCAAGACGCTGATAAACAATCCATAAATTACAGATAGATAAACAGATTAAACACTTCAATTGCAAGAACAATATCAGAAAATCAAAAATTAAAATTACAAGAAAAGGCCTAGCAAGGCTTACCACTAAATCCTGGTATGCTATGAAGAACTGGGGATACCTTGCCCTAGGTCCTCCAAAAGCTTCTTGCCAAGTATCAATTAAAGTTAATATCTTCTCTTTCACATGAAAGTCTGGCTGCAGTAATAAGTTTGCGGCATTAATATATCAGCATCATTTTAAATGAAAGGGGCACTAGCAATAATCTACAAATAAGATTACCTTCTTTTTAACAATTTTTACCATCTCGTGAGGTAAATCTTTCTCAGCAACATGCATGTGGACAATATCACCACAATTCTTTACAACGGTCTCTAATAACTATAAACATTTGCAATTGTCTTAGATAATGAAAATTCCTTCTACTGCAAGAATATGCAAACTCTACAAGAAAGAAGGTAAACACTCAATTCTAAAAGTGAGCATATAACAAAGGAAATGTGCATCTCAGATGTGAAAGATTCAAATCTTCTTTATAACATGAATATGTCATTACACTTTCATCTTAAAGGCAATGATCGACCCCTAGCAAAAAGCTGATTATGCAAATATCCATAAAATTGGGCGCATCATTTAGTAACCATTAGAGCTGTCGCAAAAACTAATATACTCACACATGGATATTTAAATATGAATCATGCAAGTTCAACAAGCAATGATGGTACATGTTCACTCATTTGGATCAAACCATTATTTATATTGCTATTAATTCCGTTAGCTATGAAAAATCTTCAAGCTCCATGAGGTAGTAAATAAATCTTCTAGGCTCAATGAACATAGAGAGTCAATTGATAGAATCTCACCTATGCCACATTTAACTCAAATGTAGTCAAAATATGAAGACATAACTTGTATTATGTTTCAGTTGTACATAAACAAAGCACCTTAAAAACAAATTACACGTTAAGTGACCAATATATATTTATGACTAGTGAACATAGGAAGCTGAACTGGATTACTAGAAGCACTACTATTTACTCCATCCCCATATGAAATTTGTTTAATATCAAAAAATCATTTCATGATTCTCTTTACTTTAGTTCCATACAACTGATAGTATTCTAGGATATTACAATCCGGCAATTAAGCTTGCTAGTAAGAACATCATGCATCCTACTCTCAACTGGTTTAGGAGTTTACAACTTATCTCCCTAATTACAATTTCAAAAGAATGAATCTTTATTCAACATCTTTGCCTGCTGAGACTCTAATTAAAATGGCCTATGGTCATCCTAAGCTGAATCCAAAAATTGTGCCTGCAGAGGATATTTCAAACCAATTCACACAGACCTGGCTTCACATTAATGAATAATGAGTCCTTCATCGAAGCCCAAAGCACCATAGCTGGTAGATGTGATGTGATGTTCAGAACAGAAAGAGAAACTCACTGTTAAGGCAAGAAGCTGGACTTTCGAATTCTTGCTACCAAGACGCTTTTTTATACCTCTCACAATGTCTTTTGCTTGTCTGGTTCAATTAAAAAAAAAAAAAAAAACTGAAGATGAGCTTACAAACAGCATCTTTGCTTAAACAGTAACCACTATATATTTAATATATATCAAAGTAACAGATCAAGTGCCATATTCCAGCAATCAAATAGAATTCCTTTGAGCGATCATAGCATTCCCTTGTTCACTCAAATTTACCCAAAATGTATAAGAGAAAAGATAAACCAACAAATGCCATCCAAGAAGAGCAATAAAAGCACACTTATCTCCTCTAGCTTATCCTATAATTACATGCTATCCTGCATTTCAAATTTCCATCATTAATTATCAACTTAATCTGTTTACTTATGATTTAAATTTGTGTTTTTGTGTACTATTTAAAAAAAAAAAAAAAAAAAAAAAAAAAAATCTCTCTAAACAACACATTCAAAATAATTTTTATTTAAAATATTACATCATAAATTTATTCACTGTTCAAAACATTAAATCCACCAAGGGTGTGTTTGTTTGAAGGATTTTGAAGGATTTCCACTATTCATCCAATTTTTTCCCCCCAAAAATATCAAATCAAACACTTATTTTTCATTTTTTATATTATACTAAAAATCAATTTTACATTCAAAACATCACATCAAACTCTATTTATATCACATCATACAACTATTCAAATTCAAAATTTTTACTATTCAAATCTCAATCCAAAATCCAAACCCCCAAACAAACACACCCCAAATTCATTTCCTATTAAACTCTTTACTATTCACAAACCAACCAAAACTCCAAAATACTTCATGAACATATCTACACTTATCATTAAAAATTATCCAACTGCTCTATCCCTTTATAAATTACTAATTCACTACGTATTTATCATAAAAATCATTAAGCAATCTGAACAACTAACTTAAAAACATATGGAAGTACAGAAATGTACCAACACTATAATTACAATATATATTCCTATCTCTTTTATCCAAACTGAGAAAATAATAATAATAATAAAAAGAAAAATAAAAGCAAGACTAAAGCAAGGAAACCCCCCCCCCCCCAACCAACCCTAATAATTAAACCCTACAACGAACATCCTTCTCTTCAACAAACTAAACCCCAGTCAAAAATTCAAACGTAAAAAGTAAGGAAAAGCAGGAAATTTACGCAGGATCACGATTGCAAATGTCACAGATCTCAATATTCATCGCCCAATCAGGCCCAATCAGCAAGTCGCTGGTCGCCCTCTCCACCATAGAATTAACCATCGTTCCCTCCCCAAAACCCTACCGGAGAAAAAGCAAAAATCGAAGCCGACCCCCTTGCCGCAGGCACAAAAACCTATCAAAATCACCCAGGCATCTCTTCCAAACAATCGAATTTCCCTGCGTGAATCAAACTGTAGAGCAACAATTACCCCAACGTTGCTATCTTGGGCGGATCAATCGCTGGTTTTCTATCCAGTCCGTTATTAGATTTTTGCTGTATCAGGAAATGTGGGAGAATTGTTCGGAAGAAGCCAATAAGAATTCGACGCGTGGCTAGTGATCTGACCGTCCAAGTTGGCGTTCAACGCCGCCGGCGTTGTAGATCTGACGGCTGAGGTTTGACATATTTTTAGTGGGTTTGGTGGACACGTCAGCCTGTGGACGATAGGTGCTTTACAGTTGTTTGACTATGTTTTATGTCTCGTAGCATGCCCATAATATTATTTTTTTTTAAATACTAGTATATGATGTAGGTAATATTTTTTTAGGTGATAATATTTTTTTAGGTGATAATATTTTTTATTTAAAATAAAATTATGAGTTTGTTAATCCAATATATATAGACAGTTTTGGATTAAATATATACCTATATATATTATATTAACTTATATAAAAAAAAAAACTAATAACTTAATACGAAATATTAGTATATTTTATGAATTATATTTATCTATGACAATTGCTCAAAAAATATTTTTTAGATAATCTCATGTTAAAAACAAGCTCTAAAAATATTATATAAACACTAAAAGTTAATATAGAATTAAATCCGACAAAGACAAATTATATTTGGAGACGTCGGAGTTTAAACCTATAACCTCAGCTTACAAGTATAACATATTTGATAAGAATTTTACAAACATAGGTTTTCTTTTTTATTTTTTTAATTCGTTTTCAATATTTATTTACACAATTTAAACTTGAAAACAACTCTATTTCTTTAGTTTTATTATTATAATTTTCATTGATCAGTATAAGTTTTGACAAATTTGTTTTATAAATGAAAACATAAATATTTTTGTAAAAATTATGAGAATTTTTATATATAATTATTTTTTACAAAATTATATTTAAATAGGATAAACAAAAACAATAAAAAAAATATTAAATTAGACAGAGAAAAATATATTTTTTAAAACAAAAAATATTAAAAATAGGCTATATAGAGAGAGTATATACATAATAGTTGATAATACCATGCTGTATTTATTTTGTATTTTGATTTGAAATTTTATTTTATATAGAATATAAAAAATATATAAATAAAATAAAAATAATGAATATATATAGTATATTAATTTATTTTATTTTTTTTAAAAAAAAATAATCCAATAATTTCTCATAAAATTATAAGACAACTATTCACCTGGCATAATAAACAACATGAGCATCAAAATGCAAGGGACGCCTCCAAACAATCCACCAACTCATTGCTTATAAGCATTATCAACAATCTTAGACGAAACGAATCGAGTTGAGCTTAATATTTTAGTTCCATAACAAAAGAAACGAACAAACCCGAGTTAATACGAAACCGGGACTCTCACCGAGGATGGCCCCGATTTCATATCCTCGATAACAAGATCCAGCAGCGCGCGACTTATCGGACCTTCTTTACCTGCCGGAAAAGAGAACAAATTCATCCCACCAACAAAACTATATAATACGCAATTAACGATGCATTTTCTTAATTTTTAAATGAAATGGACATTTAGGGTGTGTTCGTTTGTAGAATTTTAACAAAATTATACTATTCATCCAATTTTTTCCCCCCCCAAAAACATCAAATCAAACATCTATTTTTTATTTTTTATATTATACTAAAAATTAATTTTACATTCAAAACATCACATCAACACCTATTTATATCATATCATACAACTATTCAAATTCAAAATTTTTACTATTTAAATCCCAACTCAAAATCCAAACCCCCAAACAAACACACCCTTAAAATACTATAAATGCAAATCCACCTTATATGTGACGAATGTATTAAAAGAAAGACAAAATTACTCATAATTGCCCGTAGTTTCGAAATTCAGCATAAATCTCCCTATATTTAAAAAATTGTATGACGTTTCTTATACTTTAAAAAATGTTGCATGAAACTTCCGTCGTGCAAAAAATATAAATAGAAAATTATCGTCTAATCACACAAAAAATGTAAAAAAAAAAAAAGTAACGTTTTTAAAAATATAAAATAGTGTTATGCAATTTTTAAAATTCAGAAGAGATTTAGGCACGCAGTTATGGACAATTTTGCCTAAAATAAATTACCCATCCATTTCCCTATTAACTTAAATTTTTAGATAAGATGATCATTTTAACATAATATAAGTGGTAAATCCACCTTACATTAGAAAGAAACTAATATTATATTTCCCTATAAACTTAAAATTTTAAATAAGATGATCATTTAACATGGTATTAGAATAGAACATTCTATGTTCGAGTAAGTCTTACCATCGCCGATGATTTGGTCATCCCATTGTACTATTGCTCGGACAAGAACTCCACTTCCAATAAGCATCATTTCGCTCGCCTTCTTACCCTCCTCCACCGTAACGTTCCCTACTCGAATCCCTTTGAGCTTTCCCTCCTTAACCAAACGTTCCGCGAGCGTCAACACCCTTCTCGCCGTGCAGCCGCTCAGAATTTTATCAAACTTCGGCATCAAAAGCTCCCTTTCCTTCGTCACAAACGCCACGTTCATATTAGGCCCTTCGGCAACATACCCCTCGTCATCCAGCCAGATCGCTGCATAAGCGCCGTTCTCTTCAGCCTCCATCTTTGACAGCGCGTTGGGAAGATAATTCACACTCTTCATAACAGCAAACTGAGGGGCCTTTATAGGAATCAAAGAGGTCACTACTTTGACGCCACTGTCATCCCGTGGAGAGTGATCTTGGATAACAATGGCGTACATTGACGATCCATGGCAACCGGATGGAGACAGCTGGAAATCGCCGGGGCCGGCCGAGAGCCAATACCTTAACGATCCGACCCTGCACTTGGACACACTCACGGTTTGCACGAGGATTCGCCTAATTGTGTCCCTGTCGAATGGAGTTTTTATTTTTGCCATTGCTGCTGATCCTAAGAACCGGTTGAGATGCTGGTCGAGCTCGTATAGATAGCCATCGATGATGGCGGCAGTGTCGAACACGCCGTGCCCACGGTGGACTATGTGATCGTCTATTGGAAGCACCATTGCTGTTGGATCTGTTGTGATTCCTCCAAAAATGCTCGAATACATTGCCAGATATTGCTGCTTGCTTTTGGAGGCTTTTTGAGTTGTTCTTAACCTATCAATGGCCTTGAAAATCGACAGGATTAAAGAAATTTTAGATTATTGCAACGTCTTCCTCAACAGTCTCATAGGGAAAATCGAATGAATTTCACACGCATCTATTTAAGTTATCTAGCCTGCAACTGATTGCAGAAATGGAGAGAGAAGACGAACCTCTGAGCAAGTAAGAACAGGAACATCAAACAATCGATTCGACTCTGTTTCCCCAACATCAGAAACAACAAATCACGATGCAATCGGAATTAAACATCAGGTAGTTCGTTGAATTTATTGTTAATTTTGAGGAAATTGAATTACCTGGGGAGAGGTCGGTTTGGATCGAACAGTTGACGCAATTCGATCGGAAACGAGACACTGTTCCATTAATCCGTCTGGTGGCGCAGCGATTCAGCGTCGGCGAAGGTTGCGAGATCGGAATCGCCATAGAAGTCGGTAGAGACGACGCCATGTGGAGTGTGCGTAGCGAGAGGGATTAATCGACGAGAGCACGCAGCAGAAGAGTGACGAAGAGATTCCTCCAATTAAGAACAAAATTGGGCGAATCATTTGGGGATTGTTTCAGCATATTTAATGTCGATGGGGATAGGGATTTGGGGTGGCGCGGAGAGTGGGAAGTAAAGAATTCATATAACCACCCAAAAGCGGCCATGAATGAGATTGAGACATCGACAGGGGGAGAGGGACTTGCCGGCCATGGAATCCACAATCAGACGAGATTTGAGATGGAAACACAGAACAAGGCGGTGTGAATTTGGGGATTGAGCGGCGGAGGTGGAGGTGGAGGCGGAGGCGGTGACGGCGGACGGGACACCAACGCCGGCGACTGGTTCCTTTCTCCATTTTAAATTCATTATTCCTCTCTTTTTTCTCATCGTATCAAAATAAATATTTATTTTTATTTTTTATATTATATTAAAAATTAATTTTACATTAAAAAAACATCGTTATATCACTGTTCAAATTAAAAAACTCCCAAACAAACGTACCTTTGAAAATAGATTACATGATATAAAAATATAAAATTAATTTATTTGATAAAATATTTGAAATTTGAATAAAAATATATTACTATTAAATATATTTTATTTTATTTTAAACAATTGATTACAACAAATGTTGGGTATTCTTCATAATGTTTAAAGCATCCTTACCCAATCTTCCATCATTTAAAATTAACTTTAATATGTCCCTAAAGGATGATCTTCCATGAGTCCATCTGATATTCTGTCTAACTTAAAAGGGTGTGTTTTTTTAACTAAATTTTTCAAAATTTTATTATTTGAATGTTTGTATTTTTCAAAAAAAAATAATTTCTTTTCTTTTATAAAATTCTTATTATACATTATTTTAATATTAAATTCAAATCAAAATTTTTTCAAACTTATTGAAAAACACACCCTTAATTTGCAACTTATTAGATTTTGTCTAAAAGTTTACTGATTTTTTTTTTTTTTTGTGTTTTGATTAGAAGAAATTTTTTTAAACTGTAAAATATAAAAAATTGTATAATAATGAATATATATAATATATTTCTTTAGTTCCAAAATAATAGTTGTATCTCCCAAAACAATAGTCTTATTTGTAATTTTTTGGTAATTAATTCTCTATTTTTTTATAAAATTATCTCAATTTTTTTATAATAATTACATAAAGTAAATATTTTAGTGTTTTAAAAATACTTTTATACCCATCTTAAATATCCCTAATATTTTGAGAAGTAGTAATTTTTATTTTTGTTTTTTAAGAAAAAACAAACTCTTCAAATATAAGTGTATAAATATCTGATTATTCGTGTAGAGATTAAGGGTGCGTTTGTTTTGTGATTTGATATTTTTTACGATATATAGAATGAAAAATGTGTAAAATTCTTTTTTCCTAAAAAAAAAAAAAAAAAAAAAACAAACAAACAAACAAACAAAGCAAGCCTAATACGTTAATTGTGGACTTTTCAAAATGCCAAAATTAATATTATTAGTAAAGGGTGCAAAATAATCTTTGAAGTAATAGAAAAGCAATGTGACAACGATGAATCGCCTAACTGCAAAGCTAACTTCTCACTGCTCTTCAAAATTCCCAATTCCAAATCAAGAACCCAAACCCTAGGCTAGACCCCCCCTCTACTCGGAATCCTGTATGTGTGTGTGTATGTGTTGCCACAATTTGATCCGTACTAATGGCCTTAATCGGGGACGCCTTGCGGCAGGCCTTCATGCCCAAGCACGAATACCAGACCCTCCGCGAGGAAGACAAGGCATGGAACAAGCTGCAGAAGCCATTGATTTCCCTCGCCCTAACCCTGCTTTCGCTCGCTGTTCTCGCCTCCACTGCGATTAGTTTGAAAATAGTGTTCCCAAGCGACAGCTTGCGGCGGCCGTTCTGCCGTGATTTCAGGATTCAGCCTCTCTCGATTAATTTCACCACCTCTTCGGCGGCGGCGGCGGCGGCGAGTGAGGGACGCGAGCGGGAGTCGGATCTTTTGACCGGCGGCTTTGTTTTGACGGATCAGGAGACGGTGGATTACTACTGGATGGTGGTGTTTCTTCCCTCGGCTCTGATTTTTGCGGTTTCCGCCGTATATTTGGTCGCCGGTGAGGAGATTTTTGAATATGCATTTATTTTCCAATCTAATCGTCCGTTAATTTTATTATCATTACTATGAAGTTTTTTCAATTGAAGAAATTAACTCCATGGAAATTCGATGTGTTGCTGTAGTTATTTGTTGGTGTTTTCTGAAAGTGAGTATTGAATGGAAAACTTCAGTTGTGAGTATTTTGGAATCAGAAATTCAGTCTAGAATGCAATTGTGAGTATTTTGTGAGTATTGAATGGAAAACTTCGATTTGTGAGTATTGAATGGAAAACTTCGATTTGTTGGTGTTTTCTAGAATGCGATTTCAAGATATCTTGACATTATGACAATCTTCAGGGCTAAGATTAGGGGGGTTTATGTATAGACAATCTCTGATAATCTCCAATTTATGATATACTCAATGTGATACCTGGAGTTGGGCCATTGTTTGGCCAACACCCATGAATGAGCCGATATCATGCCATGCGAAATTGATTAAAGGTTAAATAGAGTGAATAGACTATTCATAATGCATATTCTTTTTCGGAGGTCTTACTTAAAGAAAATCTAGAGTTAAACATGCTTGCCTAATTTAAGGATGGGTAATCCCCGGGAAGTCTCTTAGGGTGCGTGTGAGTGAGGAACAGAAGTGCGTTGGAAGGATTCATTTTGGCCTGTAGGGCCAGTCTACAATCCCGACATGCCCGATTTTGCGTAGTTTGCGGGTCGGGGTGTCGCACCTAATTAATGTGTAGTTGCCGTTGGAGTGGCCATGTAGGACTTAGAAGGGCTTTTGCTGCATAGATGAACAAGATGCAGGGCAGAAAGATTAATAGCAGAAGTCTTTACAAGGATGAGTAATATGATTGTGTATGTCTGCATTTCTCGTGTTTATACATGCCTATGCACTTGGTTTCGCCTATCCACTATTCTTCTTACGGGTTGAATTATAATTTTGGTCAGCTGGATCACTTGTAGTAAGTGAATGTTCTGCAGGACCAATCACGGGTGTGCCAAGTGCCGACTAATTGTGTTTTTTTCTTTGTCTTTCTTCTCATTGTGCTCTTCTATAGTTACAATTGGATATATAACCGTATTGGTGTTTTTCAGTTCAGACATTATACACATATTGGCTATGTTGCAGGCATTACCGTTGCTTATACTGCTCCAGTTCGACATGGATGTTTAAAGGTGGTTGAAAACAATTACTGTGCTTCCAGAAGAGGTACGCCACGTTTTCTATAATCTTCATTTACTCATGTATTCAATGCTGATGGTTTTAATCGTAAGATTATTTCTTAGTGTGTGGTTCATTGGAAATTCCGGAAGGAATGGTGCTGTATGAAATAACATGTATGTGTCATTGATGAGATCAATATATATACCCTCTTAGGCCGAACATAAATCGAATGAATCCAATATTTAAATCTCAATCTAACTCTTGAGACATGGTATACTTCAATGCTCGTCTTTTCTTGCATTTGGATTATGAAGAAGTAAAAATAAAAATTCAAGACCTGATTAATCTAAAACATTTGATAAAAAAAGTAATTGCTGTGGCATAATTGGGCAGTTTTCATTTTACGGAAGTTTCCTGTGGCCTAACTTGGGTACTTAGGGCGTCTCTGATGTTTTTTTTGTTGTTTTTTGATCATGATTAGCTGATCAAGCTTAAATATTATCAAGATTGTATTTGCATTTTTTCCTAATTTTTTTTAATATTAAATCTATAGGTGGCGTCCGCTGTCTGTCTATATTGAACATTGCATTTGCCGTCATATTTGGTCTTCTTGCACTCTTTCTTGGTTCGACACTTCTCACACTAGGCAGCAGCTGCTCCTTGCCCCTATTTTGGTGCTACGAAATCTCGTCATGGTGTTTGGTCATTCTACATGGAGGGGTTGCTTTCTTCCTCAGAAGACGAGCAGCCACAATACTTGACGAAAGTGACTTTATGGGGAGGAATTTTGGTGTAGAGATGCTCGAAACAAGCCCGCCCGAGTTCCCACCAGATACGGAGAGGCGTGTCAATGAAGGCTTCAAAGCATGGATGGGCCCATCTTTTCTATCTTCCGACGAGGAAGATGATGAACCTGACGATTACATAGAAGTTCCCGACTCAAGCCAATCAAACTCAGCCCGGCAAAGATTATGAACCTATTGACTCCATGGTATACGCCAAAAATTCTGGTTCGAAGAGCCGTTTTCCTACCGCAGGATGAACATGGACTCGGACCAAGCCAATAGACTACACATCTACAGTGAGATCAGACCAGGCAATTACGGCATCAACCATCTTCGTACTTGGATCGAGGATTTTATCATTTTGGTACCGGCATTACTTAGGAACCCACCCTATTCGGTGACTATTCATTGCCGTAGATTCGTGGTTAACTTGAATTTCCGACCTACATGCATGCCCCTAGTCGCAAAACACGGATTTTCTGATAGAGGTGATAGATAAGCATGTACAAAAAGTGGTGAGACTATCTTTTGTTTGCATTTAAGGCATGATCGTCTTATCTGAAATCTTTCCTGTTCTTTTAAGCATAGCATTCGGCACCGTTGAATTATGAGTTTCAGTAGGAGCTGTAACGGCGCAGCCTGATTTCCATTTAATGCTCATAGCTTAGGTGCTTTTCTTTATATCATTCTATATATTACTGTGCTATATAACTTCGAACAGGGCCTATGTTTTGTGTTTGTTTTCTACTATCATAATCTTAGATCAGGCAGTGTAGTTCGGTCCCCATCTACACGGAAGAGACGAAGCGAAGCACGCGAGCAACGCGAACCAGGTGAATTCTGTTACATTTTCTTGTCTATATGCCTAAGAACAATAGATGAACACTGAGGACAAAAGGGACATTTTTATTTGAGCAAAATGAATTGTTTTTGGTACCTCGTTGTCTGCGTGCTTACCTCTATCTACCTACCTACCCACCTATATATCTATTTATCTGTATCTATATATATACATACATATATATATAGGAGCCTAGGTTAGCAGATATGCAGGGTAGCCATTGAATATCTTCTATAAAAGCATGAGATTCTTCATTTCTTGAAGCAGTTTAAATTTCATTCAGCATAAGAGCTAGGCAGTCGGCAGCAACGATGACCAACGGCAACAGCACCGCCACTCCAGCCGTCATTACGTGCAAAGGTATTTCAAATAATGACGACAATCTTGTAAGAAATGTATATGAATCTTGTATCATGTTTGGTGCAGCTGCCGTGGTGTGGAAATCCGGGGAGCCGCTTAAAGTCGAGGAGATTCAAGTAGATCCTCCCAAGTCGTCGGAAATCAGGATCAAGATGCTCTGCGCCAGCATGTGCCACACCGATATCCTCTGCAGCAACGGCCTACCCATCGTAAGCATCTATCCCCATTCGGATAAAAAATGTAGTTTTTCTGTTCCATTTACGATCCCTTCTTTCTTGCAGCCTCTGTTCCCTCGGATCCCCGGACACGAAGGCGTGGGGTAAGCATCTTCTCTCTCCCCCCCCCCCCCCCCCCCTACTTTTGTAAAGTTTCCATGGACTGCATATTCTTCGGTATGAAACTACAGGGTCGTCGAGAGCGTCGGGGATAACGTGCGCAACGTTAAGCCAGGCGACACCGTGATGCTGCTCTATCTAGGGGAGTGCGGAGAGTGTCTTAACTGCGGCTCGGGAAGGACCAATCTGTGCCACAAGTACCCGCTCGGGTTCAGTGGCCTGATGCCCGACGGCACGTCGAGAATGTCCGTCGCCGGGGAGATAATATACCACCACTTCAGCTGCTCGACTTGGTCCGAATACGTCGTGATCGAAGCTAATTACGCTGTCAAGGTCGACCCGAGAGTCTCCCTCCCCCACGCCAGCTTCCTCTGCTGTGGATTCACGACGGGGTTCGGATCCACTTGGAGAGAAGTCAGCGTCGAGAAGGGCTCGACTGTTGCAGTTATTGGGCTCGGCGCGGTCGGGCTAGGGGTAAGTAGAAATAACTCAACTAGACATTATGAATTGATCTATTAAATTCTCGACGTTGATTTTATGAATGCAGGCCGTAAAGGGGGCTAAACAACAAGGGGCCTCGAAGATAATTGGGATCGATGTGAACACCTTCAAGCGCGATAAATCGAAGGCCTTCGGTGTTACGGATTTCTTCAATCCTAAGGAGACTAACAAATCTGCGTCGGAGTTGATCAAAGATGCGACGGGAGGGCTCGGCGTGGACTACTGCTTTGAGTGCACCGGCGTGCCTGCCATGCTAAACGAAGCGATCGAGGGCTCAAAAGTGGTAGAAACTATTACACCATCTCTTTCGATTTCCTAACAACATGTCCTCTCGAGACTTATGGTTCTATTCTACTACGACACAAAAGGGGCTGGGGACAGTGGTGTTCATCGGGGCGGGGATGGAGAAGAGCGGCGAGCTCGACTACATACCCCTGTTGTGTGGGAGGACAGTGAAGGGATCCATCTATGGTGGTGTAAGAACTCAGACAGATCTCCCGAAAATCATCGAGAAATGTGTGAACAAGGTATGTTTATATATGTGTGTGGTATATATGTGTAATGTATTTTGTGTAAGAAGAGTGAAGTTTTGTGAAAATTGATGATGAACAGGAAGTAGATCTTGATGAGCTGATAACACATGAGATTAGACTGGATGAAATCAACAAAGGCTTCGAGTACATGAAGCAGCCTAATTGTATTAAGGTTGTCATCAAGTTCTAGATCATGCACTAAATTTCAATATTCCTTTTTTTCCTTTGGAGGCATTTTCATCTTATGTTCGAAGATGTGGCTTGTGTTCTTTTACACAAATATTGTTATGAAGACGAGTATTTGAATATATAAAATATTTATAAATGATTAATTTACATGTTCATAGTATAAGCCATCAAATGCATCTAATTTTAGAAATACTATTATCGTCATTTTTACACTGTTTTCCATGAATAATGTAATATACAAATCCAAAGATTATTTCATATTTACTATTCAATCTAGAACCAAAGGGATTTGAGTAAACTTTTTTGCAAATGTTTATTTATTTCCTATAATATCACTCTTTTTCCTAATTTTTATCTAGTTAGCATAATCATATTTTCAATTACAAAGATATTAAATAATACTGTGAAGGATGTGTTTATTTTGTATTGACACAGTAGTTCAATGTGATTGTTCATGGAAATGGTGTTTTTTTTATTAAGATCATGTAATTGCATAACAATATTTTTTTTTAAAAAAAAATATATCCAAGGAAAATATAACCAAATATATAAAAGATTTAAGGTACAACCATGCACATATATAGCTAGGATTTAGGAAGGGTGGATTGAAAGGTCCAACAGTCATGACACGAATGAAATCATACAAAATATAAAATTAAACATCTCCATCAATGTATATTCAGTTAAACACTTTAAAAGAACAATGAATATTCTGATATTCTTACATTCAAAATATAATATTCCTGTACATTTCAACAAATATTTTCATTACACCATCCAAATTACACTGCAACTCAAATATTTGAATCATTCTAAATTGTGTGGTAATTCATGATCAAATTTTTGCATTAATAGAAAAATTGATTTATGCATCTTTACATAAACCATCAATTTCTATTATTTATACCGCGAAACAGCGGTCGAGACATAAATCAGCAAAGAAGAAGATGGTTGAGCCTCGAAATTTTGACGAAACCAAATCCAATTCACAAAGCAAACCATACCTTAGAGAGAGATCCGTAGGCTTCAGATTTGCCTAGTGTCGCACCCCTCACAAATCGCCTTCAATCAAAACTAAGCCTCCTCTGTATGTATATTGCATAGATACAATTAGGGTTAGGGTTTTTAGTGGGGAGGCGACACCGAAACCGACGATATCTAATTTAGGGCTCTTCTGATTTCTTCTGAGTTTGGATATGACTGACTGACTAACTGACGCTGTGTTGTCCTTTAAAAGCCGAGTCCCAAGTATTACGGGTTTATTTCTATTTTTTTTTTAGTTACAAAAAAAAAAAATTAATTTAAATTTGATTAAAAAGAAATATATATATTTAATTAAAAATGTATTGTATTATTTTAAATTAAATATATGAAAATATTCGAAACACCCAAAATTATATAGAGAAGTGTATATGATTACTGGTGTAAGTTTAAAGTTCTATAAGAAATAATTTAATTAGTCAATATTTAATGTATAATCCACCATATATGATTAAAATTTTTTAAAATATATGTCTAACTATTTTAAAAATTAAAAGCTATATTTTAATAAATTATATTTCCTATTATTTCTATTTTGTCTTTTTAAAGAAGAAATCTATCAAAATCATACTGAAAAGATAAAATATTTCATGTGAAAATTAATTTAACCAAAATGCTTTCCCAAGAAATGATAGAAACACCAAACCATAAGTCTAAGAATATGGGAGGGGATCACCAGCACCCCACCCCCCTCTCACATACACTGTATGTATATATATTAAATGGGGTTGGGGGGGGGGGGGGGGGGGGGGGGGGGGGTGTGATCCCATCCCCTAAGAACATGTAGAGGCAATGCTATCAAATGCTTTTGTAATCCTTCAAAACCAGAATGTCAAGTTCAGTTCTTCAAATAGTTAACCCTATGAAGCTTTTCTTAATTGTCCAAGGTTGTTCCATATATGTACTGACTTGGTTTTCTTGGAAAGTATTCATAATAAAAATCGGAGTATCTATAAATAGGCAGGACAGATAAAACCAAATCTAAAACAACTAAATAACTAAAATATCTCAACCCCCGGTAGCATTTATATAACCCCGCCCCGTGGTCTTAGCAACACCAAAATTCTTATATTTGCAGCCGTTTCAACATACCGGGAGGTATTTTCTAACTTAACTACACATGAATAAACACATCAAGCTGGAAATAAACACTACAAAAGGATACCTACCACAGACGAGCATTTGGGAATGAATGTATGGTTGCATCTATCTAACCCGTCTCAGACTCAATCGGGTAGAGCTGGTTAGCAACACCAATATTTTGATATATGCAGCTGTTTCAACTTACTGGGAGGTATTACTCGAACCAACCAGCTCGGCCAGCCGCAGTCATTTAATCAGTCCCTTTCTAGTATAATGATTCAGCAACAATAACAAATTAAATACTCTTCTACTTCATAAGTATAATAACAAATAATCGTGAATAGAGGATGAATGTAACGAAATCTGTAGAACAAAAGGCACTCATTTTAATTAAACAACAATGAAGAGTTGAAACTAAAAGCACTTGAAATGTTCCCAAAACTCAGTTGAATATAATAAATTGCGGCAACTTTATCAGAAACTAAATAAAAACACTCTCCTTCAAAGACAAAAAGGGCCTGCATAAGATAAAAGACAATAAACATGAGTATAGACATAGGTAAGTAGCAAAGAACCCTTACTATTACCAAGAGTTCAGGGAATTGTAAAACATAATATACCTTAGCGCCTGTCGGTTTTCCCTGTCGACCTCTTTCCAGAGAACAGGTGCTTCGGCTTGAGCGAAGGAATGACCCTATCAGCCTCTCCTCTACGAGCATCCTTGTTCCTCTTCTTGCTAGAGCTTTTCGCCAGTTTGATGGCCTTCTTTTTCTGGGCAGTGTCTTTGAACCCATCTCCGGGGACAGCTTCCGCTGGCGCCAGTGACTTGGATCTTGCCCTGGAGGAAGATCTTGATCTGAGCCGAAGCCTCTTATTCGGTTGGTCCCCATCCACTTCCATGGAATCAAAGCCATCGTTGTTTCCTCTTTCAGGAGATCTCTCCCTCTTTCTCCCCCGAGACTTGCTGCGAGCACGGTTAATTGCTAGACTTGGATCAAGGCCCAAGGCTGATAATTGCCTCCCCATTCTTTTTGTTGTATATTTCTTGTCTTTATCAAATTTTCTTGGAACAGTTGGCCGGCTCTCGGCAGTACTCTTTTTGATTCTATGTTGTTGAATAAGCAAACTTTTTTTCTTCCTGATCTCAGCAAGCGCAGCCTGTTGCTCAGGAGGCAGCTCAGCACCATCCATCTCGAAATAATCATCTGCGTCAAGCCCCTGGAGTGCACCTTCTTCGCGCTCCAACTCCTCGAGCCTCAATAAGATATCAGGGTCCATGAAGTCATACACATTGTGCCCGTCAAGAATTTCTGGAATCACATCTTCCTTCCATTCATCATTAGCTAAGATGTAATTCTTCTTCAAGCTAGCCGAGTATACTCCCGCCCCTCCATTCTCATTTTCGAGATCCCTTTCAAGCTTCCTCTTCTCTTTCTCAGCAGTTTCACCAACATTATTAGCTCTCGCCTCCAGAACAGCCTGAGGTATACAAGCTGGACGTTCCTTCTGATCTCGGGGCTTAGGCATGGCCACGTGAAAGCGGTTCAGGCAGTCATTCAATTTTTTCGACTTCATTTTCAATTCAACCCTCTGATTTAACAACCTCTCACAAGCAGCGTTCTTCACAGAAATTACACCATCCTCAGTCAAAGCACTCATAGTCAAGAGTACACTACCATCATCGCTTGCTTCACCCCCTTGACCAATGGCAGTTTTTATGGCTTCAGCCTTCATCTCCATTACCAATTTCATATCATCTTCAGAGATCTCGTCCAGTGGCTGCAAATCAGTCTTATTGCAGACAATAATCAAAGGCTTATTCATAAATAACGACTTGATGCTGTGGAAAAGAGCTGCCTGCTGTGCAATGCTATAACCACAAGAACCTGAAATATCAAGGAAGAATAATACAGCAGCTCTGAGGTGAGCAAGAGCAGTAATGCTGCACATCTCAATAATATTCCGATCCTCAAACGGCCTATCCAAGATACCCGGAGTGTCAATCACTTGATATCGCAAATATTTATAGTCAGTATGACCAACAAACAAGGATTTTGTAGTGAAAGCATATGGCTGCACATCAACATCGGCTCTGGTAATCTTATTGATAAACGAGCTCTTTCCAACATTAGGATAGCCACAGATCAAAATCGTCCTTGTATTTGGATCAATTGAAGGCAGCCTTGCCATATGCTGCCTTATCTGCTCAAGATAAGCCAAACTTGGGCTAATTCGTTTTATCACAGTACACATTCGACCAAGAGCAGCAACCTTGAGTGATTTGCATCGATAAAGTGTATCTCCATACTTCAATAATTTCACATAGTCCTTTGAAATCTTAGCAATCAGGTTCCTTGCAGTATTGATTTGGCCCAGAGCAAGCTTATAGTGATCTTTGTTATAGAGAACATGGAGCAGATCACCGTAGAAAGGATGAATATCATCAAGCCTGGGGAATTCATCAATAATGGTAGAAAGCTTCTCATGGAAATTCTGCTGTGTAAACTTCACCTTGCGCATGTAAAACTGCCGAAGCCGTGAAATGGCATATCCTTTGTGAACTTGGGTAGGCGTTCGCCGCTGTGTGCGAGAGAGAATGATGTCGACAAACTCCTTCCCAGTAGGCACAACAGTTATCTTCTTGAAATTATACTGGACCATGTCTGGTTGGTTGTTTACTATCCCTCTGCGCAAATAGGAATTAAGATCTGAAATTAAACCAAAAGTACTGTTCAAAACCCTTGTACTCAATCTAACCCTTCTAGACTAAAATCCATATCAAATCGCGCCGCTCTTAGCAGAAAATTGAAATAATAATGCAGTCGTACAAGAAATTACAGGTAGAATAAATGAAAAGCGACTGTCCATAGAATTCTTCCCTACGTTTTTCATAAATCAGCCAAATACAAAATCTCAGACGATGCAAAACGGCGGAGCCGGGGGATGTGGGGAAGAGAAAGTCGTTACAAAGAAAAAGAGGAGAATATTTACCAGAAGAAGAAGGCCTGCGTTTCTTTGAGGACGCGGAACCGGAGATATTTCTTCACGACCGGCGGCAGCGGCGGCGACAGCGTAGGTGCAGAAGAAGAAGAGAGAAAAGAAAGGTGAGAGGGGGAGGAGCGGCGGGTTTAGGGTTTACGTTTGATTGTGGTGTATCCTTTTTATATAAATATATAGTATGTAAAAATTACTATATATAATTGATACGTTATTATAATAATATTTAATTAATTAATAATAGTGAATTATAATATTATTTTATTATTTTAATAAATATTTTACCATGTATATATATTTTTATTTTGTTTTGTCTAATTACAAAGTAATCATTTTATTAAATATTTTATTATTTTTTACAAATATTTTTAATTTACATCATATCAATACTTTTATAAAAAAAATAACTGCAAAAATGTCATTACACTGCTTTCATCTAATCCGTAATTAAAATACTATTATTTTTTAAATTTCGTGCCAAAAATAAATGTATACTTTTTGCTTAGACGAAGAGAGTATTATAAAAATTAATAATATTAATAATTTTAAAATAAGTTTAATCTATATGATTTTAAAAAGTTATAATATAAATTTAAATATTATAAAAATTATATCGTAATAAAAATATATATAATATGAATATATTGAAAAAAAATTCTATAATATAAGTAATTAGAGAAATATGTTTATTTATTTATAATTAAAATAAATTAATTTTATAAAAAATGTAAAGTTTTAAAGATAGATACAAATATTTACTTTTTTAAGGAGATACAAAAATATATATATATATATAGACAATATCAGTAAGTGTTGAATAATGTATAATATTATATATTATATAATTAATTATATTGATAAAAATAAAAAGATATCAATTGTTACATACATACTAAAAAAAAATATCAATTAAGTTGGGACAGAATATTTGTTTTTATGTTTATATTATAATAATAACAACAATATATTAATATAAAGTATTTTAAATATTATCAATAACCTTATAATTTAATGCAAAATATTTTCCTCTTATATTATGCAAATTTACCTCCATTTTCAAATTTTGATTGTTAAAATAATATATATTCTCAATATTTTAATAAATAAATATCACAATACTTTAAAACTTTACTTTTTCATAAAATTAGTTTTATTTTAATTATAAATTAATAAATATATTTATTTATATTATTTAAAATTGTATTCTATACAAAATGATATTTATATATTTTATTAAAATATAATATTTATAATATTTAAACACATATTCTACATTTATTTTAATCATATATATTAAAACTATCAATAATATATTACTTATATAAAAATATAATAAAATACTATCATAATTTAATACTCCTTTCATCTAGGTTGTCAATTTTCATTACCTCTAACTTACATTAAATTATCAAATGTCATTACTTTTATATTACACAATACTAATACTAATAGAAATATTTTCGTCTCTTTCACTACAATTTATTATAATACTAATATTAAAAAATTTATACCGGATCAGAGGGAGTATTATTAATTAATTGAACCAAATCAAATGAGTCATTTGATTTGGGTCGAAGGGGGTATTTTTTAACTGCACAATGAAAAATAACAATATAATAAAATTCTTATTCAGCCAAATGAATATATTTTTTTAACTACTTGGACTATATATTTTCAATATATATATATATATATATTTACCTCACAATATCTTATTATATATTATTTTAATACTAGATTTAAACTAAATTTTTAAAAACCAAATCAAAAGATAATAATAATAATAATAATATTTTATTCTCTTTGTCTAATAAAATTAACATATTTAAATCCAAAAAATTTATAAACTCTCTATTTTGATTCAAAATATTATACTATTTTTTTTTCATAATCGTTTGTCTCACCTCACTTCAAAATATAGTTTTTAATTTTTTTATTAAAATAATTATATAATTACTCTTATCTGACTATTCATATTATACGGTAAAAACAGAAAGGAGTAACAGTAAATAGATAAATTCTGCAGCTGAGTTATAACATACTGACAAAAAGAAATAGCTTAAGATATAAGTTTAGCAGTACCAAAATGCCCAAAATTGCTGGCTACTATCTCCTCATCTTAAGTAGCTCCAACTTTCTGAACTTTGTTAGGGCGATTTCCGCCATCGTTCCCCCTTGAACGAGAATGCTTCCCCCCGAAATTCTTACCACCTCTGTTGAACTTCCCTCCCCTGAAACGTCGCGCATCAAGAACCATCAAGATCATTAGTTTTCGATAGAGGTTTGAAGTTCTCTCAATTCTCACATAAAATGAAGACAATGAAAATGCGCGAGTGAAGTTAATACCTTCCCCGGTTGTAGCTGTTCCTGTTGTCACGGTGCTTATCCTGATTACTACGAAGCAAGCTCCAGTATTCCTTCTCTGCATCACCTGAAGATCGAAAAAGAACAACAAAAAAAGATGAGTCGATAAGAATTTCAAATTTGGGGCTATTTTATAATTGTCTAGTAGGAGCTTATATGAAGGAATTCATAAATTAATGGAATTGAATAAGTGACAAATAAGGACAAGGTGGTTACTCACCTGTTACAGGATCTAGAATCGCAATAAAATTTTTCACTGTTATACCGCCGTCTTCAGAAATTGCAGCAGCAGCCCGAGCTTTCTGTGCGGCTTCAGCATCTTCAAATCTTATGTATCCAGACTCGATGCCAATCTTGAAGTCAACAAACTACAATACATAATAGATCAAATGTCAGAAAGGCTGAGTTCAAATGAAAGCTAATTTTCCATGAATGGAAATTGAAGTAGTCAGTACCTTAACAGTGCCGAACTTTCGGAAGATAGCTTTTAGATCCTCCCTTGAAACAACATCCTTGCTGTCCTTGAGTGCTGCAATGTCTGTCTTTCCTTCAGGAGAGGCTTCGGCTTCCTTGTCATCTGGGATGTCTGCAGATTTTTCAGCATCTTCGGTTTCTTGGTCACCAGTTTCATTTGCTTCCTTCTCTTCGTTGTTCTCAGCATCCTCCATCTCTAAAGCATCATCAGAAACTCCTTTTCCCGGCTCTTCTGAAACAGCTTGTGCCGTATTTTCTTCCACATCTTTACTAGTTGCATCTGCATTATTGTTCGTTGCATTGGCATTTTCTTCAGCAGAATCTTTTCCAGATATGCTCTTCAATTTAAATGCAATAATCAAGCCTTTGGGGTAGCTGCCAGAAACATGTAAATTAGAATATGCTTCAATTGGAAGAAATAAAAAAGAGTAGAACAGAATAAATATCGGAGTTCAAAACCCACTCAGGTTTGGCATTGACATTGGCATTGTCTTTGCGGTTTGTACCACCTTGTGGTCGATTCTTGACCACTTCCTCCTCTTCCTTGGCTCTTTCAGCATCAAATTCCTTTCTAGATTAAGGAGGACAATAAATTAAAATTTAGTGAAAAGACAAAAAGTTCAACACGGAAGATTGTCTAAAATATGGAACTCCAAACAACATTAAGTACCAGAAGATATAATTCAAAGAACAGTTTTTCCATTTGACATAAGATAACTATTACAGAATTAAAACAAAATAGAAATTTGATCTTAGAACTGCATTTGCATTCTTACTTTGGCTTCAGTTCCAATTCAATGCCAGCATAGGTCAGGGTTTCCTTCAAAAGTTTTGCAGCTTCTTCCTCACTGGAAAATTCAACCAATGCAGTGCCACAAAGCAATCTGTTGTCGGCCACATGGCGAGGTAGTCTCACACTGTTAACCTAGCACAAATACAAGGTACAGTAATGATCCGAATACCTAACCAAAAGTTTAAGAACATGTAGTGGCAATGCTACCAAATACTTTTTTAAACCTTCAAAACCAGAATGTTAATATCATTATAGCACATGATCCAGAAAATGCTTAATCCAGGGGAAAATAGCCATCCCTATTTTCTCAACCTATGAAGCATTTATTAATTATCCTAGGTTGTTCCATATATGCACTGACATGGTTCTCTTGGTGTTCAAAACGATGTATTAGCCTATTAGACAACCACATTCCATCTAAACTGCTGGATTCCAATTTCCAACCCTTAAATATGTAATACAAACAACAAATGACAAGTTATACCTTAGCATATTGTCCAAAGAATGATTCCACATCCTCTAGCTTAACATCATATTCAAGAGGTGAAGCAGCAATTGTTCGATTATCTAATTGTTCAATGACCTCTTCAGGCTTTGCAAGCTCAGTAACTCTACCAACCTTCATCCCTACAAAGAAGGAAAAAAAAAAAAAAAAAAGAAGAAGAAGCAATTAACCATTATCAAATCAATAATCTTGGGAATGACAACATAATTACACTTCAAAAAATACCATCCTCCGAGACTTTAAGAAAAGAAGAGGTCCTCAGAGTTTCAGCCACAGCCTTAATAGTGTCTTCGGGTATATCTTCTGGTTTGGCATCTCCCAAGCCCAAGTGACCCCTCATCCGAGAAAATGAGGAAATCAATGCCAAACTCACCACTAAATTCTAGTTAAGAAATAAACATCTTCAACAAATCCATAGGAGTTATTATATCCATAAAAATTTAAAAGAAAAACTTTAAACATTTAGCAAAAATTTGGCCCCTTTGACATAGTGATGATAACACATTACATGAAGAAAACATAAAATGTAAATCATCTATCAAATTCAATATTGAAATTTGAAATTAAAATCAACATTATACATCCCATAATGAATCCAACCCATTAACGTAATAGGAGACACCAAATGTCACCAATCATGATACATCTCATCTTATTCGTAGTCTTCTTTTATTTGAAACAGAATGCTTAACAAGCATTAATTGGCTACAACCACCATCAAAGCAACAAAACAAAAGGTATGATACGATAAGCTATAAAACACAATCAGGTAAGCAAAAATCGCGGTTTGAACTCCAAACTTCAACTTGGTAAAGATCGAAAATCAGAAAGCAAGTGGGTTTGTAAAACCCTACATATAAGCAGTCGAATAAATAAGAACATAAAAGAAGGATACTCCCATCATCACTATCGCTGATGGTTTTCTTCAGAAACTTATCTCTTGGGAGGTTACTGTCACTGAAATAGAATTCCACCTGAAATAGACATTAATGACGTGAAAACATCGAACATAAACACAAACCAAAAACAGCAATCTTCATCCTTCTTTTCGTCACAATAAAACAAAAGGGGAAACGTTCGAATGACCTGACGAATGACTTTCTTTGCGGTTTCTTCCTCCAGCGGTGCCATGGCCTTCAATCTTGCAGAGAGCAGCAGAGCAAGGTAGTGCGATCAGTTCGTGAGGGTTGCGGTAGGGTTTTAGAAATTATGGAGGTGATTTAAAGAATTAAAAAGATTTGAAGTACGGTCGTGGTGATCGTGGTAGAGTTGTGAAAAGACCGAAAAATCCTTCTGAGTATTTACAAAATTCCAACTTGCCAAATCGGTTTCGAACCGGCGGTTCGAAGTTCCAACCCGGGGATTTCGTAAGGTCCGGTTTCGTTCGATTTTCGCCGAAACGGCGGTTTGAGTTTTTTTAAAAATCACAGGAGTATTTTTTTTTATTTAAATGTATCATATTCTATGCAAAATAAAATTTATTGAAATATAATTTTTAAATATTTAAATATATTTTTTAATTTTTTTAATAATATATATTAAATTTATTTTAAAACTATTAATCTTATTAATTATAAAAATAAATAATAATATAATATAATTTATTATTATTATTAATTAATTAAATATTATATTTTAAATATTGTAACTAATAAAAAATATCCATTATTCCAGGATAAATAGAATACTATTTTGTATATTTATATTTTAAATTTTATAATTTTTTTATTATATTATAATTTAATTGAAATTATATTGTTATCTAATTTATTAATATTTTTTTATAATTCATTTTTATTCACGGTTTAAGTTAATTATTTATTTAGTTTATTATTTTAACTATCTTTATATTACCAATCAAATAAATTATTATTTATATAATTTTTACATAATATTATATAAAATTGAAATTGAAATAAAATAGTATTTTAAATAGATTAAAATTTAAATAAAAAAGAAAAAAATATTAAAAATAAATATATATATATATATATAGTTAGATTTACGTACAAGTTGGCCACCAATCCGGATTTGAATTATAGCAAAAACAATATTAAATCTATCAAGTTTATAGGATCTATAGAATCTTTTAAAGTAGATTTCGGATCGGTAGTTAAATTTGGATAGACTTGTCAAACTAAATCAATTTTCACCCTTATCTCAATTTTCAGCGGGTAGGGGTGAGTAAAATATCCGAAATTCGAAAATTCAATTCGAACCAAACAGAAATTTAAAATTTGGTTCGGATTTTTCGGATTTTTGGATTGGATCAGATTGAATTTTTAACAAATTTCGAATTTTCGGATCGGATCGGTATACTTAAAATCCGAACCAATTCGAAATCCGAAATATAACATTTTAATATATTTTTTTATTGTACATATTTAATATTTTATTAAAAATATTATATTTTAATATAAAAAACTCAAATGTATTAATTATATTTTAAATATATTTAATTTTTATATATTATATATATTTAATATTATAAAATAATAATAAAATATAAAAGAAATTTAAAAATAATAATAAAAATATTTAGAATTTCGAATTTTTCGATTTGGTTCGCATCTTTTAGTTCGGATTACGAATTTTCGGATTTCGAATTTCGGTTCAATTCGAATAGGTTTTTTAAAAAATTTTGAATTTTCGGATCGGTTCGAATTTGGTAAAATTCGAACCGAAATTCCGAATGCTCACCCCTGTGAGCAGGGCTTCTCTGTCGTACATATTCGACACCTATAGCAATAAATCAACACCTACAACATAAAATCAACAAACTTTTTGATATATTCTTTTAAACAATCATCCCGATGTTCTAATCCGCGTATTCTAGACAACGACTGTCTTCTTACGTCATTTCCAACTCATAACTCCATTTATCCAGTTTTTGCTACAATAATTTTACTCCAATTATAATTCTATTTTTCACTATTATTTTTCAAATATTCAATATTTCCTATTATTTTAAACAACTTTTTATTTTTATAATTTAAATCTTTTAACAAAAATTAGAAAAATAACAAATAATTTAAAAATTAAAATTAAAAAATTTAAATTTTTTTTTTAAAAAAGCAAAAAAAAACAACGCACAACGTAAAAAAGTGGCTCAAAATTAATCGTCTGTTGAAAACAGCCGTAACCGAATCATCCAACCCAGCGCCATTTGGCGCTGGGTTGGAGATGCCCTTAGGCATTAGTTTGTACAAACTAGCCTTCTTAAATATCCTTACATGTAGGTAGAAGAAAAACAAGAGACTTTAGCCTAAAAAACATCTTAATAATATTGCTCCATGTTGTAACATCAAAATAGTATGATATTGTTCGCATTGTACCAAGTTTGAACAAAATTTCTTCTTGAACTTTTCCCACATTCTAAAATACTAAAAGACACCATGCTACTTATTCAAAGAGATTAGGCTAATGCTTGGAAGCAAGTGTCCGGAAACAATCACCCCCAAATACTCAATTACGATCAAATGGGACATCGATGCAACTATGTGACAACCACTAGTTACCTTGTGCTCCATCAAGTTCAGATCGGACATCAAACTTGGCATACTAACCTCAAAATGACCAATTAAACAGGGTGGCACATAAACCCCATAATGGCCTATTGGTTGATGACCGATTAGGTATCAATTGATTGGAGTCCAATCGATCACCCGTATTGCATGGCTCATGATCGAACGATTACAGAAGTTTACCCCATTATCCAACACCTGGAACTCAAAAGTTTCACAAGAAAAAAACTGACCAAATAAATGTGAAAATATAAAGATGAAGTCAATAAGATAAAGGCCACTCTCCCCTATTTTACATTTATATTGAGCACGGGAACTCAGATTCGAGTTTTGTTCCATCAGAAAGTCTGTTTGGTAAGCATGACAAAGGGAAATTAGACAGGCTAATGCTTACTGTTGTTGTATGTATGTACATGGAGCATACACCAAAGCTTCTAGAAAGAATTTTCATAATGCCAGGGGTGAGAAGCAAACCGAGTCCAAAATTGGAACCAGGGACTGAAGTAAGCAGCAAATTCAGACCGCTGTGCTGAATATAGATGAACACTTTGATTTCGACTTGAGTTCATTCATGAGTTTCTTTAACTCCTTCCATTGTTGCTAATAAACAAAAGACAAATGGCATGTTAAGAACAATGTATAGATTAAAAATAAAATAGAGATAGAATGAATATTTTCTAGATTGAGAAGGGCTGTGGATTATTTCACCTCATAAAGCTTCTCCCACCATTTATCGGATTTTGACTGCAACAAGCACCATGCCAATGCCATCTCATATTCGATTGTGTTGTTCTGAGAGTAATGAGAGGTAGACACAGCTTCTTTCTGGCAATGCAATGCAAACAAGAATAAATCAATATTGCAATGGACAAGTCAGAAAACATGACAAAATAATCAAGTGACATGGGGGGGGGGGGGGGGGGGGAGGAGGGGAGAGAGAGAGAGGATGAAAGAGTAGGCACACCAATTCCCTTTGTATTTGACGCCTAGCTTTGTCAATAGCCAAATGACCAACAAATGTAATATGCTTTTCGAACAACTTGGGAAAATATCCGGTGGATGCAACCAATGGCCTGTGAGTTGATTGGTTTGGGAGGCGTTAGTAAAAACTTGATCAAAGAAAATTCAATAAAAGGAATTTGGAACTTTCTTGTTATACCCCTACCCAAGAAAAAGAACAGCTTTCTCCAAACTCTTTAATCCATAACTCAAGAACATTATTAGCCCTAAGCAGTTTTTTATTGCAAACATAATTAACCCTAATCCAATAGGCTTAGTCCCAATACTACATTCTCCCTGACAATCCAATCCTTTTATAAACAGACTTGTGCTCAAAGTGGGTTGCAGAGTCTGGCAATGTGTAGAGGTCATGGTCAATGGTGTCTGGATGGAGCATTCAGAAGCAGCAACGACAACATTCTCCAGCAGCAATAATGTGAGGCAGTGACAGTGTCGCTCCTATTTGGGAGTGGGCTACCAATGCGAGGGGGTCTATCAGGTTGGACTATTATTACAAAATAAAAATCTTATTCAAAGGAAATTCAAAGCAAGAAATAGATGAATTCCTTCTTATCCTAAAGGAATTTTTCCCAACCCTCAAACCAAAAGGTTGATTCCAGAAAACTCTTGAAGATTTGTTAACTCATGATTATATAACATAAAGACTATGTAATCCTTGAAAATAAACAATTACAACATAAAGATTATTTAATCCTTGAAAGCAAAAATAGTCTAAGAGACTTGATCCACACATTGAATCAGGAAAAAAAATAAGCTTGCTCTTAACTATGGCATAAACAGAAACATATACCTCTGGTTTGGTAGCATTAAGCATTCATCATTTAGTTTTCTAACTACTTTGTCCGCAGCATCCCTCAGCTTAAATATGACAAAAGCTTGGCCTGAAACACAATTTGAAGATGGTAGGCAAACGGTGGAAATGTAGACTAGCTCAGATGGTCATATGATGGCAAAGAGCAAGATATGGTGAGTGTGAAATATATCTGCATACCAGAGTGAGGATTAGAAATAGCAGTATGTTGCACCACTTTAGCGGTACAATGTTCCTTAAATGCACTCCAAATAATATCCTGAAGGCAGATTCTCAAAATTATCAGACAGCACAATCTATTTTACTAAAAACTGATGAAAGTATTGTCGGGGGGGGGGGGGGGGGGGGGGGGGGGGGGATTCCAAGAAATTCCATTTGGGAAATCAAATTAAATAAATAAAACCCCAAATAAAAATTTATGACCACATCCTCTAAAACACTGAAAACAAAACAAATCACCAAGCACAAGTTACTAGCAGGCCTTGCTTCAACAGAGTTCTTAAAGGATTAAATAGTTTTCCAGGAAGTGTGGCAGCCATACCTCTATGTCTCCTGAAGTGTATTCTGGATCGAAGTTCTGTAGTAAAATCAATCTTCCTTGATCATGGGCCCTTTTCATTTTTTCCTCCCAAGACTGCACAAGATATAAATAAAAAGTAGTGAGCAAATGTATATTATTGAACAGCACAAGCACAAAACATCACATCCTCTTCATAAAATCAACTGTATGTTAATAGACTTAACCCACTATTTACAACTGTATGTTAATAGACATGTAAAGAGATATCTGCCATAGGACAACACAGTAGATAATGTTCATTTTAAACATCTTCATTAATTGACTTAAATGTGAGAAGAAAGAATAAAGAAGCATCTAAACAACCAGCTCAAGCAGATAGTTGGCATCAAGGAGCATCCATTTCATACAGAAATAAGGATCGCACAAACAAAAACTTGCTATAGTAAATAACAATAAGAATTTTTTCAATTGCAAATGACACTAATGACACAACTATCATCGTAGTTGCTCAACGCAGAAAAGTAAGGGCACCAAAAGTGAAGAATAAATTACGAAAACAAAGAGGAATATAATGTTTAACTTTATCTTTGCTCGCAGACATTAAGGGACATGATGAATAATGATAAAACTCACCAATTTTATCCAATTACTTGTTTCCTGCAAGCAAACCAAAACATAGAATATTAGAATAGAACCACAAGACAAAAAGTATGATACCCAAAATAAAGAGCCATAGCTGTACCGATAAGCAAGCATAGCATGTAATATTGATCCAGAAAAAGTCTACAAAAGAATGTATCTGAGTTTCATTAACCACATATGCTGAAGCAAACACACATTAGATCTTTTATGTACAGCAGTACAGGAGAGACACATGAATCCATTATTAGGCATGCAGTAGTAAAAATGCACTATATTGATTAGCAAAATATATCTTTATTTGTTGCACTCAATTACATGCCAATCATAAAAAGATAAATTGGAAAGGAAGAGATTAAAAACTGAGATGAAGAAAATCTACTCATTTTGGGCAGAGTTCTCTTTATACCTAAGACCAAACATGTGCAGATTAGCAGTTACTCTTCAATTGGTTCAGATTGTAATAAATAAATAAATAAACATTTTCACTCTAAAAGCTTCCAAAATTCTACAAACATATGGCCAATTCACCTGTATGATTCTTATATAGATTGAGCAAAAAATTATGATCTATTTACTTATGTTTTCAAATTTGTTTTCCAACTATTCATAAAGAATTATGTTTCTAAAAAACATCATATCCAAAGTTTACTTTTCATTCAAAATATTACATCAATACCAACTTGGTTTCGTCCCCATCGCAATTGGTGGAAAATTAGCTTAGACAACCCAGTGTTTGGTAAAGAAGGTCCTTCCGGTAGTAGAGCAATAATTCTAGATCATTTCAGACACATCATCTTTGTCGAGAGATTTTCGATATTTAGTTTTAGATTTGTTAGATTTAGATCTAGATTTGGTTATATCTATTAGATTACGTTATCTAGATTTGAGTCTATCGAGTCTGTTTTAAATTGTCTATATATAGACCCCTTATTTTGATAATCAATAATGCAAGTTTTAGAGTTTTTGCAAAATATTTTAACATGGTATCAGAGCCTACTTTTCTAATGCCGTAGATATAGTCTACCCTGCGTTTATAGCCCTTTCTTTTTATAATTTTGATTGTCTTTAATCCTGATTTTGTCTACTTTTTAAGATATATCTGCGCATTGGTCTACGATCCGTCTGCTGCGTTTCTCCAATGCTATTATTTTCGACTCCATCATGAGTGCTGTTATTTCCGACTCCATCGTGAGTGCCGTTATTTTCGACTCCATCGTGAGTGCCGTTATTTTTGACTCCATCGAGAGTTCTGTTACTCCATCGTGAGTGTCGTTATTTTTTACTCCATCGAAAGTCCTAGTACTCCATCGTGAGTGTCGTTATTTTCGACTCCATCGAGAGTCTTGTTACTCCATCATGAGTGCAGTTATTTTCGGCTCCATCAAGAGTCCTGTTATTTCGGACTCCATCGAGAGTCTTGTTGTTTCCGACTTCGTCGAGAATCCCGTTGTTTTTTACTCTAATTCAGTCGAGAGCATTATTTCTGGCATTAATCATCATTGTCACCATCAACCGGATTTTCGTTAGGAACTTCTGGATTCCAATCATATATTGCGGCGGCGGCAACGAAATGAAGCAACTGTTATTTTTATTTGCGTTCATTTCTGCGCTCGAGAACAGAAGCTTAGTTGAGAGCGGCAAATGCGACGTCAGACGAGCAACTATTATGTGCGAGAATAGAAGCTCAGTCGAGAGCGGCGACGCCAACGACGGACCAAGCAACTGTTATCTGCGTTTGCGTCTTTTGGTTTTTGTTTAACTTTCTTATCAAACTCAAGTTGGTTTCTGCGATCCCACTTGAGTTTGAGAGGGTGTCGAGAAATTTTCGATATTTAGTTTTAGATTTGTTAGATTTAGATTTAAATTTGGTTATATCTATTAGATTACGTTATCTAAATTTGAGTCTATCGAGTCTGTTTTAAGTTGTCTATATATAGACCCCTTATTTTGATGATCAATAATGCAAGCTTTAGAGTTTCTGCAAAATATTTTAACAATCTTCATCCTCTTTAAATATGTTAGGATATCAGATTAAATGTGGCAACACTACTGGCTATCTATCACATCCTCGAACATGTTATTGGCCTAGATCTATATTAGTGTGCCTCAAAAAATACTCTAGGTTGGATCCATGGCGGCTTAATTCAAGCATCAATAAGCTCTGCCTCTACATCTCCAAATGTTCTGACATCACTTTTCGCCACATCTCTCATACAGCAAATGAATTGGCTGATTTATTTGCAGAATGCAGAGCATGGGGATTGGATGATCTATCGGTTTGTTTATAACCTTAGTATTCTCACGATTCTACTTTATTTGCTAGCCCATTTTCCTTTTTTTTTATCCAGGTTGGAATCCAACCCTTCTCCTTATATAGATATTTCTTTCCCGAACAAATAAAATAAAGCCATTCAGCCTTCAGCCCGCCAACTACCCAAATAAGCCTATAATTTCTAGCACATTTTGTCCAATAAACCAGCTCAAATCTTTCCAATAGTGCTTCCATGGGGTTAAAAAACATCATGGTACCAAATGATTGATATGCGATGGAAGAAGACAACAATTTTTATGAACGAAAAATCAAAGTGGGTAATACATGTCACATGTTTAATAAGATGACACAAGTACAATCTTAAAGTAAAGTCGCATTCTAAAAAGTTATCATAGAAGTAGGTATGGCCTATCTTCTTTCGTCTCTTTTATCCTCTCGGTTAGAAAGTTGAAACTACCTCTTTTAAATGCGCAATATCCTCCTCCCTTCACAAAATCGTATATGTTTAATATTCTTCATTCATTATTCTTCACTTTCTTCCTTGTGGATTCTTCTCAAACATCTTGGATGGCTCACACTGAACTATGCATTAGGCAATCATTCATTGCAGGTGATATTTGCACACAAAGCAACCCCTGTAGGAATAAAGTACTTTATGTTCTTGTATGTGCTGTGACATAAATATTGTTGTGGCTACCCTATAAAACCAAACTTCCGAGTCTCATCCCACTTCCTGACCAATTAGTTGGTTAAGTCTTTTTGCTCCCATTGAATCACTGCTAATCTTCCATGTTGATGATAATGACTTAATAACAAGAATGACCCCTTCAATGATTCAAGACTAGTTGTTGCAACAAAATCCACATCAGCAACATAAAGAAGAGCAAAACATTCTCCAGCACAGGAGTACTCTGCTCTTGCAAATCATCCTTAATTCAACTATATGCCTTAGCTCCAACAATTTTTACCTACTTCATTCGCAATGTTCCCAAAGACACTACGTGATCTGTTATTCCTACTTAAAAGTCACCTTACACTTACATTCCTTCATATTTTATTTGCATCGTACATAACCACAACCGCTTTATCAGCCACAACAGTTGTATCAGAAAGGTAAAAGGTCATACATACATATCTTATCAATGATGCTCATATAAAGGGTTTCAAATTTCCTTTGAACAGCCTTGAATACCTTCAACTTTAGATGATATAGCCTTCAACTCAGCAAACTCACAATAACAAATCCTCTAACAACAGCCATCACCACCCCACCTTGTTCCACAACAGTGTTAAACAAACTTTATAGTTGTTTTTGGCAGCATCAATCAATCAAAGACATGCTACCTTAAAGCCTTAATGTCTTAATCATTGAATCCAAGTTTTTGAAACAACCAATGAGTTTCACTACCTAATCAAGTTTTTTAAACAAAAGAAAATTAAAGGAACATTACTTCAAAATTTTATATCGAATAGGCCTGATTAACTCATCCACTACTACAGTGCACATAAGGCAATCAAGCTCCTATTTAAACTACATAAGCAGTAAGCACTAACGTAAAAATAATTCATACGACTAAACCACACAAGACAAATAAAGAAAAAGAAAATGTTAATATTCATTTAAATTGCAACACATTTTACTTGACAATATTAGATTTTTATAAATGATTGTTAGTTAGTCAATAGGTGCAATTAACTTCATTGTACATGGTGGATTCATAAACTCTCTCAAAAAAACAAGTTACAACCAATTTCACATATGTGGTCTCATAGATAGTCTAAAAATTATAAGAGAGAATTGGTTTGTTCTTCCAAAAAAATATTTTCAACACGCTTTCCGATTAATTCACCCTCACCATCATCTAGTCACATAACCAAAATAACATATTTTTCATTTTCTTCAAAACATTTTGGTTACGGTGTCAAAATGCCATATTTAAGCACTACTAAAACAAGACCAATCAATTTATAACTTTTCATCATGTGGAAAATATTACATTAGGTTTAAATGGTAAATTTTTGGATTCAATTGTTCTTAAACATAGTCCTACTAGTTAAATCCTATTAGCACTTACGTGATCTCATTCTATAAGAGGAAACAAGAGGGAAAGCATTTTGCAGACAAGCCATTCATTAAAGTAAGGTGTAATACAACACAAATACACCAAATCAAAATCAAACCGAAGACCATGATGAAGAAGATTATCAAACCGAAGACCATGATGAAGAAGATATCCCATGGCAAAGATGAAACATTATATGTTGAAATAGAAGATGTCGGTAGTGAGTATTATTTGAATCTCCCCGGCAACGATTAGGTCTTACTACTATTTACTTGTTTGTGTTGTTGAATCTCTTCATCTAAAACTTTTGAATATCTCTTTTGAAGAAGGAAAAAGGATTTTACAATCTAAGTAAAGAGATAGGCATTGATCCTTATGTTATATAATGACAACATCAAAGATCATACATGAGAATCCTTTCACAAATATATGCTCCGAATTGTCAATCTTATGTGTTACCACATGTGTTGATACCTAATCTTCAAATAGGATGTAGGGCAAAAACACACATTCTCCAAACCATCAAAGAATATAAACACTTTCCAATCTCAAATTTAGTAAGTTAACATTACCATCTAACACTAGTTCAAGAAAATTTTCCATAGGAGAAAAGTTCTAGCTTGAGAATGTTCTTTATCAACTGACAAACAATGCCTATTTGTTGCCATCATCTAGAGTGTTCATCTTTTTCTTTTGTGCTTGATGACAAGTCTATTTAGGTACATTTTCTTGGTCTCTATAGGATATCTTGGGTTTTCCCCTTCATTATGAACCGATCTTATCCCCCAATGCAAGTCTGATGATCAATCTTATAAATTTGAAAAAAAAAAAATGTAATTCCGGTCCTTTAAGTGAGGTATGTACGAGATATCACTTATAGGATCAAAATTACATTCGTCTTTGTTGGTTGACTCCCATATGTATATAAATTAATGAAACATATTCCTAATAGTTTAAACTTTTAGGTGAGGCGGAATGCATCTAACATAGTATCAGAGCCTTAGATCTCGAGTTCGAATCCCACCGTCCCCATCCAACATATATTCACGTGCAAGTCTCGCTTAGATTCCCTTGCACGTAAGGGGGCGTGTTGGTTGACTCCCGTATGTAGATAAATTAATGATACATATCCCTAATAGCTGAAGTTTTTAGGTAAAGCCATCATTACGATCATCTAACAGTCTTATTTTAAAATTTGGAACAACTTTGCGGGAAACATAGGGTTTATTCACGTAGTGTTTTTCTCGATATTTTACTATAGAACCTTTCGATTTCTCTTAAGAAAAGATCTCATCTAACATCCTTTTTATATGCAAAGCATCATATCCAACAATTATTTCACCTCAAAAATATCAAAATTAAAAAAAATAATAAGTAAACTAACCGTTGAAAATCTCCTAATGGTGTTATTTTCAATGGCGAAGAATATTCAATAGATACAAGGATCTTTTTAATCCTCCTAAAACATATTGGCACCGTTGACTCCAATGAAGCCAAAATCCTAATCATCACACACTCTTGATTACATCAACTAGACTCAACTTGCCCGGCACATGCATTTTGTGGCCATTTAGTTACGAATTGGATTTATGAATCAAGCATATCGCACAAAAGATTTTGTAAGTTGGAGATTTATTAAGGTAGAAACAACATAACTCCTTTAGCTATAGCTATATTCCTAAACAAATGTGTGTTTGGTTGTGAGGTTTGGTTTAAGTTTTGAATAATAAAACTTTGAATCGAATAGGTATTGAAATAATGCTCTGAATGCAAAATTGTTAGTGTAATATAAAAATAAAAAATAAGTGTTCAATTGGATTTTTTGAAGGAAAAAGTTATGAATAGTAAAAAACTTTGAAAACCCACAACCAAACAAACCCTTGAGAATTAGCACATAAACTAGTGAAAATTAAAGAAAATATAACTATTACAAAAGGCTTAGCAAACACAAGCACAAAGTAAAAGTTAATCTCCAATAAAGTTATCATAAAATCTTTAAAATTAATTAAAAGAAAAAAAGCACATAGTTTCAATCTATATATATTGTGAATATAAATATACCACTAAACCTTAAGGGTGTATTTCTTTTAGTTGAGCTTGGGAAAAATTGGTTTGGGTTTGATATTAAAATCATTTTTGATTGGATATTTTGTGAGGAAAAAAAGTGTATTTTTTTTTTAGAAACGCAGAGTCCAAATAGTAAAATTTGAGAAAATTTACTTAAAGAAATAAACCCTAAATGCCGAAAGTTCCTTGCATGTAAGGCCATTTACATAAGTTTATCACATGTGATGTTAGAATGCCCAAAATTGCCTAAGATAATTAGTTTATAACAAATTGAACATCCTTTCTATAAGAAACCTATACAAAAACCATTTGTCTCATGAAAGAACTACATGAGCTAATGGTTCCTTTTTAGCCTTCGTGACATGCTCATCCATAGCATGATACTCAAAATATCTTCTCTTTAATATAAAGACTATCTTTAAATCTATAAGAGTGGAACTATGTTTTGCAATGTCTAATTGTCTATTTTCACATCATGAAATCTACGGGTGTGTTCAGTTTTGATTTGAAATTGAGATTTTGATTTGAGATTTGATTTAATAGTATTTTGATATAATATTTTATTAGAGTAAATAGTATATTTTATGAGGAACCATGCAGAGTGAATAGTGTAGAAAATGGTTATAAATCAAAGACAAACAAACCCTAATGAAATCAAACTTACATGGATTTTATCATGTCAAAAGATCAATATCAACTTGTGTATTAAGTAACTTATATAAAGTCCTTTAATCTTCTCAACATCATATTCATAGGGCAATTGATAATTGATGATGCTTAGAGCAGATACTAATATGCAACTCTCTTGTTATATCGCAGGTCTTTGCATATAATCTATTTAGCTCATAAATCTTGCCTATTTGGGAGCATAGAACTTCATATTTGCACCCAAAATGAATTATTCATTTTCTAAATAAAAACTATTAAAATCAAGCAATGTTTCAAAAGAACAAAGTAATGCACGCACGAGGTTCAACTTACGGCAATTGGCCTTCGAGTGACTTCAAATGTTTTGTATCCAACCTTTTTGTCACCATCCCCCAATGCCGCACTAGTCAACCTATCATTAGAAAGCTTCCCCACCTTCTCGTAACGACATTCAATCAAATCCTCCTTGCCAACTGTGGGTTTTTCCTTATTTTCGTAAGGAATCCCAAATGATGACAACTTTTTCATTTTACCGGCATATGCTTTTTCTTTCAAGTTTTTGTCATCCCCATCATCTTTTGTTATTTGGGAAGAATCTTCGACTTTTGCTTTCTTCTGAGGAAACCCATCCATTGGATTTGCATCCTTAGCTAATGATTTATCTTTGGCCACATCAAATCCAGATTTTGACTTTTCCTTGGATAGGTCATTGTCAGTCTTCAATTCTTTCTTTGCGGCATAAGAACTTTTGCCTATTTTTTCGACTTTATCAGATCTCTCGAATTCTGATTTTGGTTTTTCACTAGGTGAAAGTTTGGCTTTCAATGACCTCATTGTTTCATGAGGTGAAACAAGATTAGCCGCCGTAGGTGTTTCTGCACAAACACTAAGATTTTTACGCTTAGAGCCAGAATCTTTTGATTGTGCAGATTCTGAATTTTCAATCATGTTTGATTCTGGTGATTTTCCAGCCAAAACACTCGAAACTTCTTTCAATTTAGTATCCCTTTCTAGCCTAACAGCTTCCACAGTCTGCCCAGATCTTGTTGTCTCTTTGGTCGTCTTCTCTTCGTACAAACTTGCAGTTTCAGAAGGCTTCATGTCTTTCCCAGACTCCACAGAATATTGTAGACGTTCAAACTTCAGTTTAGCATTTGACAGAGGGGCACCAGCAACCAGATTACCATGGACACTGTTTGTATCTTCACCTGTAGATGACAAAATTGCATTGTCAAATCTTTTTCTCTTTGATTGATTATTATCTACAGTAGCTGATCTTCTTGCAGATTTGACTCTTTCTTCAACTTGAGCTTGACTAATAGGAAAAATTCCTGTTTCACCTGTGCTCATTTCACATTCATATCTTCTGCTATCATACAATTGTAATATTCATCAGGTTGCACAGCGTTAAATTCCTCAGATAAGTACTTACCCAAAAGCTTTGTTGTCTCCTCACAAGTAATGGGAGTTCTTGCCTCACCCTTCATGCTTGAAACATTTTTAGACATGTCGACGCTACAGATGCTCTCTCTTCGATTAAAAACAAATTTAACTACGACAACAATAGAGAGACAAATGTATAAGCAACTGAAAGAATCACAAGATACTGCAGCAATAATGGGAATCCTGCATCATTGGTTTTCATATAAAATGATAAAAAAATAAAAAAAAAAATGTAAGGATGCAAAACAGCATACCTTCAAGCCCACCAACTGTGTCCCCCATCTGATCAGATATTGTACAGCTTTTAACATCAAAGGTGCGGTAAAAGACATAATGTGCCATTTTAAGTTCTTCAGCTGAAGGTTGTCGGTTTCTAGGATCGTCTGAAGTGCAAACAACATTGCACTTCCCAGCAATAGCTTCCTGATTTTAACAAATAAAAAGCAAGACAAATTACCATCTCAATTCACATGAAGCACAATTACAGCAGCAGTGCTATTAATTAACGGGAACAAAAGAAGTAAAACTTCATTAAATGGGCAACAATGATATATTTGAAAATCGTCCCGAACAATTACCTTCTATAATTCTGTTAGAAGTAAATTAGTTTCACCAGGACAATTTCCTACTACCCTTGTCATGTTACAATATATTTTTCTGCTTTTGAAGGTTAAAATGACCTATTATGTTCAAGACATATATTTGCAATGTAAGAAGTTCTTCCATTAAGACCTATTGACACAATTAAATCTCATCCACAACTCATTAATCCTCTGTTTGGATTGTGGAAATAAAGAGTAGAAAGGATTGAAGTATAATTTTCAATAGCATGCTAATAGTGGTGTTGCAGAGCGGAGCGGTAGTTTGCAGCTACCGCCGCTCAGAATTTAATCAATAGCATCCGTAGCTTAGTGCAAGTTGGCGTTAGTGAGATGTAGAGCGCTAGAAGCTCTATGTTTGCATTTACATATAAGACTGCATATTTAGATGCTATTTTAGTTCTATTAATGTAGTTTTATATATATATATATATATTAACATTTGTAGGTATTTGGTGCAAATCATATAATATAATATTTATAAAGCTGTTTACTATCTACACAAGGAAGCAAACATTAATGAGAAAGAAAGTTATAGCTACTTTTAACTGTAGAAAGGAAATAGGCATTGTGTAAGGTTATGAACATACAATGAAAGTAATGAATGAAGATAACACAATCTAGTGACATTAATAATTTTTGCAAACACCATGGCACTTTACAGCACCATGATCGCTTATTTATCCCAATTAGTATGCAGTCTTCTTATGCTGCATGGAGGGCGTTGAAAATGACGGGGAAAGTTTCTGATAAAAAGCCGTAGCTTGTTATTTCAAGTTTCAGCTTTGATGGAGGTGAAGAAACAAGGATCCAAGCAAGAGCATTCTCAATTCGCATTCAACAGCTTTTTTTAAGAGGAGCGTGTTGGTTCTCAAGGACTGGATCAAGGGTTGCAACAATTGCCAGAATTTCTACAGCATTCGAATGCCATTATGCTTAGAGAGGATAAAGAACATGTGATTGTGATGATACCAATGACTGCTCCAATTCTAGCTGATCCTGATTTACCAAAAGTTGAGTCATTTATGTTGATTTTCCACCAAGAATGATCTAAAGAGTTCCACAAAATAAGTGGTTTGGATGTCAGAGATTTACGGTCACCCTATGTATACTATCTTGATGATTGTTCACCAAGAAAGAAAAGGAGAAGGTCCATATCTAGGAAATGGGCTTTGTACCATTCCCCAACCATGAGACTATGTGGAGAATGACCCAATCCAAGGAGAAATCCTCATTTTTAAAGACTATGTTATTGTGAGATTCCCAAAACCCCTCTCGTTGACTTGTTTTTAATCACTTTTGGTGTGTTTGGTTACCGGTTCAAATCTAAATTGGAAATTGGGTTGAAGATTAGTTATTTAACTAATATTTGATTTATGACGAAATACATATAGGATCAAAGAAATTTAAAATATGTATTTAAATGTTTTAAAAACTATATCTCAATAAAAATATATATTATTTGTAAATCATTTTTTACAGAATAAAATATCATATAATACAAATAAATAAAAATATATGGGTTTGTTTCCCCACAAACTTCTTTTCCGAGACAATTCCCAATATATATATTTTATCCTCTTACAATAGTCAACATTCAACATAAAATATTATTTTTTATATTACCGACACAATTTCTTAGACCTCATATAAATTAATTAACATATGCTCTCTCCGTCTGCCTCTAAAAGTTATATTTACCTTTTACGTCATTGTACTTAATATTAAAAATATTCTTATATTTGTATAATTTTTTGTATAAATGTCATTATATTAGTATTATAAGATACTAATTGAAGTATATTTGCTCTTTTTCCCTTGATTTGTACTATGTTTTGATATAATACTTAAAATTCAAAGATCAACACGAGAAGGAAAAAAGGTAATAAAAAAGAAACAATATGATGACGAAAATATTATCATATCTGAATGAGTAAATTAAGGGCTATTTACTTGCGATTTCTTTCCCTATTTTTCACTATTTAATCTCTCAGTTACACTCCAAAAACATCATGTTCAAAACATCATATCTAGCTATTATTTTACCTCAAATATATATATATATAAAGACTTTAAAAAAAGTAAACAGTACTTTAAGTTGTAAAATGATAAAAAAATAAAATAAAATTCGCTCTTAATAGTAAAGGTGTGTTTGTTTGAGGGATTTGTTTGGATTTCCACTATTCATCCTATTTTTCCCCCAAAAAACATCAAATCAAACACCTATTTTTCATTTTTTATATTATACTAAAAATCAATTTTACATTCAAAACATCACATCAACACCTATTTATATCACATCATACAACTATTCAAATTCAAAATTTTTACTATTTAAATCCCAACTCAAAATCCAAACCCTCAACCAAACACACCCTAACTTGAAAAGTGCAAAAAGCAAAAGGAAACAAGTACAATAACCAAAATATCATAATATGTAAAAGATTTCAAGCCATCGCCATTTTATTTAAACAACGACATATGGCAATTCAAAATGCTTTAGTTTCCTGTGCCATTTACTTCTATACCACATTAGGATTAGTCATGCTACATAGACAATGACATGATATAATCCAACCTCCCTATACATCTTATATAAGATTCTATTAGATGCACCTATATTTAGCATGTCATTTGTCATATGCAACTCTACACCCTTCTATGTTACAAACTAGAACCACATATAATGCATTTGTTGCAAAACTAATGCATTATGCACATATGCTACAATTTTTTATCACTCATTGAAATCATTTGTAAGTGGTGTAAAAGATAAAAACATAGCAGTTATATGTCACATAAACACACAAAGCACACTTGAGTAATCGATCACACTGGTCCACTTTGTGCCCATACGATTAACAAACCAACAAAATATTTCCACATTAGTTCAAAGCATTTTACGTATCAATATACCCAAAAATTAGTATTGCCCCATTTCAACATTTTATATTTTCAAGGCATTCTCTGTTTTGTGCTCATGAGATCATCCCCACCATAATATTACAAACTCTTACATGGATACTTACACTAACACCATTGTTTGTGAGTTGTGATATCTGGACAACCTTTATGGATCTAAGAAGATTTGTGTGAGTTGTACTTTGACAAGGAATGTAAGTGGATTCAAGAACACATATAAAACAGTATTAGAAACCTTTAAGGTGTGTTTTAGGGTGCTTTGGATTTGCATGTTTTAGTAATGAGAGTCGGAAGATAGTTTTTTATTTTATTTTACTATTATTATTATTTTTTTTTTACGTTGTAAGTGAAACTAGTTATTTGATGTGATGTTCTTGAAAGAAAATCGGTATATTAAATAGTTAAATTTTGGATATAAAAAAACAAATGAGCACACATGGCTTTTGAATATGATATTTTGATGGAAGATAGATTTTAGATGTGATGTTTTGAACAAGATATTATGGGCTTGCTTACTTGTGAATTCATTCCCTAATTTTTACTATTCAATCTCTCCATCTTCCTTAAAAAAACATTGCATCAAACAACTATCTCACCTCAAGAAGAACAAAACCAAAAACCTAAAGCATATAAAAAATAAAAAAATAAAAAACAAACAAACAAAACAAAAACAAGTAAACAAATCATATATTTCACTATAACTGCAAGGTGCAAAAATGGTGTCCAAAACTCAAACAAACACAACCTTAAAAGTCCCAAAGCCTGAAGAGGTTGACACCATAATTTTTGTAAGAGAACTTTGGAAAGTTCAAATCCCGATCCTCACAGTTCAAATGCCTCAATGCAATGCAATGCTTGCCAACTAAAGGCACCAAGGCCAATCATCTTGAAGTTTGTAGATTCACAAAACACAACGACCAAAAGGTGCAAATATGTCCAGGATCATTCCAAATGTATCGGATCTTCAAATAATCAGCAATACATGAATAAAAGATTGAAACAAAGACTGGACAGGGATCTGAAAGACATTGGGCAACTCCAACCAATGACTCCAAACTTTGAACGTTTTTCCATTCACAAAAATAAAAAACAATTCTTACTTACGACAAAAAGACAATCATTATGGGTGTGTTCTTTTGAGGGTTTGGCTTTTGTGTTTAGGATTTCAATTGTAAAAATTTTGAATTGGAATAATTATATGATATGATATAAATAGGTGTTGATATCACGTTTTGAATGAAAAATTGATTTTTAGTATAATATAGAAAGTAAAAAATTAAGTGTTTGATTTGATTTTTTTTTAGGGAAATAATTGGTGAATAGTAAAATTCGGGGTAGAAATCCACAAAACAACACACCCTATAAGTTATTGTTTGCAGCTTTCACAGCCTATATTCGTAAAACTTTTATTTCAAATCCTTGAATTATTTGGTTCATCCATATCCTTAGTAAGTGTAAATGTAAATATATATATCCTTAACAAAATAAATAAATTGTCCTACATTACCATTAATTTTATTTCACTTTTGGGTAATATTGCCAATAAATTCACCATAAACTACGCTGCTAAAGAATATGGGTCGATAATGTCAAAGTTGAACGAAATTCCCCCCATATTCTATTAACTTTATCTATCATATACTTTTGTTAAGAACTAACAACATTACATTTAGGTCACACGCTAAACAACCTCTAAAAAATTTTCAAGGAATACATAGCTTTGTAATAAACCAGAGAACCAAGAATTTCATACTTCCTAGTTCCTATATTAATCTAAAAAAAAAAAAAAACCCAAAGTTCAATTGAAACGTGAGAAATAGAATGATCATTTTTGTTTTTGGTCTTGTTTTTGTTGGACTGTGTAATTTGAATAAAAATATTTTTCCCTTAAAAGATAGCACATTCAACACCTATTTTTCATTCAAAACTTCAAATCAAAAGGCTACTTTCCAATTAAAAATTTTCAAATCCAAAAATATCAAAAAACACTACTAAACACAAAAACACAATGTAATCTAACCTAATGCACACAAATAAAACCATCAAGATGAAACACCCAAACACTAAAAATAAAGAAATATAACCATTGAAGAGCAGTTGTTTGATCTTTGGGGTTGGCCAGCCCTCATGGTAACTGTTGTGGAACTAAGGGGGTAGTTAGACTGTAGCTTGGTAAGCTATGATTGCCTAAAACATCATCGAATGAGACAAGTTCAAGGTGAATATAACAAATTACATAGTTGAGAGACATTACATAGTTCAGCTTAAATGACTGTAGCATTTTATCCTGCCTCACTATTTCTTAGAATTTCAAATCCTTACAAAAGTATTTAACCAGATGGGCAAAAACTAATGCGGAAACTTATTACCATTTGATAGTAAATCAACACATACAAAAAATTAAAAAGACAACTTTTAAACATGAAAATTAAAAACTAAATCACATATAGAGAGAGAATTCATAGAAGAAAGATACCCTAATTTAATTAGAAATTACCAGGGGATTGAGATTCACCACACCAATGCCATCACCCGAAGCAAGAAATAACTCATTCACCAAAACATCAGCATCTTTGAGATAATAAGCAATTTCCGATGGTCGAAAGAACCATTGAACTTTTATCTTTTTAGACTTGTCAGAAGTTTCCCAAATCTTAACAAGTTTTCCAATATAAGGCTCGGGTTCACCTTCCTTATGCATATATACACAATCATATAATGCATAATCCACCCCATCATAAGTAAATGACTCATAGAACCGTACATCTTTCTTTTTCCCACCAATCCCTCTTTTCTTAAGCCACTTGAACTCAAGATTATCGTCTCTTTCCCCTTCTTTCCTATAAGACATGACTTCGACTGTATGCCAGAATCTGAAATTTCACAAAAACACAACAGATTAAAACCCATATAACATAAAAAGTTGTTTGTATTGGGTTCGACTGTTTCATCACATGCTAGGAAATGGCCACAAGTAGGAGTTAAGACATTCAGGGTATACCATTACAGTTCTATTAAAAGACCATATGACATTTCACAGAAGCCCATGGTTCAGAAAACTCATCAATACGAAATTCCCATTTAAAAGAGCCCCGTCTCTAACTCCAAACCCTAAGAAAAATAATAACAATAAATAAAAATGCTGCTGCTGAGCGTGACAACCGATGTTAATCCAAGAAAAATAAAAATAAAATATCCCCTTGGAACACACGGAGAAGCAAAGATGAACAAGACTTCCAGGGAAGAAATTAAAGCAACGTGAAGCAAAAAATAAAAAGAAGGCACAGCACCTCTGTACCTCGCCCAGACGATAACTTGAAAACAATGGCAGGGACCGTAAACCCTAGTGTTGGGCACTCCAAGTGAGTGTCCCACAACCTGCAATTCGTCGAATCGAACCCTCGATCACCTAATAGCTCTCGTCTCTCGCAGAAGTTGGATAAAATTGAATTCCGCAGGCGACTGTTCCTTTTCCTTCAGCTTAGGCTTCTCCGTCCGCCCTAAAGCTAAAGCCCCGCTTGTTTTTGCACTCATTTTTAAATATACTAATTTATTATTGTGTTAACAGTTAAGTAACAAAATATAGTACTAATTTGAAAAAATTTTGTTTGAATTTAATATTAAAATAATATATAATTGAAATGTTATTAAAAATTATAAAAAAAAAAGGTTTTTTTTTAAAGAATATAAAATTTAAATAGTAAAATTTTAAAATTTGATAACTAAAGAAACATATATTTTGTGTAGTTTTCTTTATTTGTTCTAAATTTTGTTTGGATACAGCAATACTGTATGAGTTTCAAATTTTTTTAAATGAAATTGTAAGATTTGATTTTTTTTAAATAGTATTTTAAATTAATAATATAGGAAATAATATTTATTTTAAAATTATAAAAGAACAAATTCATAAATTTAATTATGATGCTCTACTAGAAATAAGGTGGAGATTTAAACAAATTTCACCCAAATCGTTCGAACTTATTCCTCCGGTTCTCTCTCCATCGGTTCCGAAGTCGACAGGTGAGTTTTTCTTTTCTTTGGCTTAAATTCAAACTTGGTTGTTCCTACCGGTAGCCTCTGCATCAAGTAAGTTTGGCTTTGTCTATATTGGAATGGTTTATCCAATATTTTCCTACCTATAAATATAGGGTTGCAAGGTGTGTTGAAAAGAGAGTAAAAAACAGAGAGTGAAATCGATAGCTGTGGGTTCTCTTTTAGAAGTTATGTTCGATAGAATTATCTAAGTGACGTGATGTTCCATTGTTCACTATCCTACCTTCTATTCATTCGACTTTCATCCATCGATTCGAGAAGTGAAGTACAAACATTCACCATTCAACATCTCAGTGAAGTGAAGTGAAGTACAAACATGCAACATTGGACTGACTTGGGGTGATGAAGGGAGTGGTTGTGATCTCAACCTACATTGATTATCTATTTTTCTTATTTATCTTATTTACTTTCTGAGTTTACTTAATATATATTGTTATTTCTTAATAATATGTTTCTGTGTGAGCTTTCTTGTGTTTACGGGTTAACCACGAAGTCCAATTCGATCAAAAGAAACCCAACATTTACAGTGAATAATATTTTTGTTTAGATAAATGACATTTTATTCTTTTGTCATTATATTTTTAGAAAAATATAATAACAAATACTATCTTAGTCCGGCTTCAAGGGTCCTATTTACTTTTTTGGGTGTTGATATTTGAATATTAATTATTATATTAAAACATAGTACAAATTAATGGAAATAAAAATACAAAAATATTTCTATAATGACATTTGTGCAAAAAAAAAATTATACAAATATAATGATATTTTTAATGTTAAATACAACGACGCAAAATGTAAATGAGATCTTTAGAGCCGGACGGAGGGAGTACAATATATATATATATTTTTTTTTTTTCACAAAACAACAAAGGTTTGTTTGTTTGATATTTTGGTTTGAAATATATTTTTTAAAATGTAGCATATAAAATTTTGTAACTAATATAGAAATACTATTTTATATTGGATGTTGATTTTTTGAAAAGACAAAATATACTTCATTATTTTACTTAACATTACAAATACATTTATAACTTATAATATATGATATAAATGTAATTACATTGATGTCATACAATAGTAGTAAGATTATTTTAATTATTTATACTTTATTCTTATTATATATCAATATAATATTAATATAGATAAAACTATATGCCAAAAGTAAATAGATATGTAGTTAAGGGACGAAGGGTATATATTCGGAATATAAAAAAAAAAAAGAAGAAGAAAAACCTCAAATTAACTACTAATTTTTTATTTTTTTCAAACTTGCAAAATTTATAAAATCTCTAAAAATCTTTATCTAAATGGATGTGTGTTCGACTTTGTTTTTTCTATAATATTTCTTACACATTTTTTCAAAAAGAATAATATATCCACTTCCATTATTTTTATATTTCATACACAAATTTCTATATTTCATATAAAAAAATTTATTTCTAACAATTTTACAAAATAAATATACCCTTCGTTGCTTTACAGAATAATAATAATAGTTTAGTTTATATATTCATCCTTTGTGCGAAAGTCTATGGGTATATTTCTTTTAATTTAGTTTTGAAATGTTTTAATTTAATTTTAATATTAAAATAATATTCGATTGAATATTGTGAGATATATATATATATATATTTGAAATACAAATTTTAAATAATAAAATTTTGAGGTTTGATATAAAAGAAATGGAGAAACATATCCATCACAGGTAAAGTATATAAGTAGCATATATCTTTATTACATATTATTTGTAATAAAAATATATTATTTGTTGATAATTACAATATATATTGAATAATATGTGTTGTATGAAATTATGTATGTCTTGTTAGTTCATATGGTATCGACTAATAGTTTAGATGAATATAACCTTTTAATGCGATTTTTATAAAATTAAAATAATATAATTTTAAAAATTATAAAAAATAAATAGTACAAAAAAAAAATAATGTTCCAATATTTAATTTTCTCAATTTATCTTAATATGAAAGAAAAAAATATTTAAAATAAAAATATTTTTATTTGTTTACTGTCAATTTTTTACACCAAACATACCATAAATATAATGTATGTGAAATATATTCATTTAAATTTTTATTTTTTTTTTGAAAATGATGGAAAATCGCGCACCTAATTAGATAATGTTAATTAAAAAGTAGTGAAAATCGAAGACGGGGCAAAGTAGCTAATTATAAGAGATTTGTGCCAAAATTGGAAATTTTGTTTCTCACAGGGCTTATTACGGAAAATAAGTCACATCACACCGTTAAATTTTAGTATTTGAATTTCTTGCTTTTGCCTAGCCTACACAAGACGCTCCCCCCCCCCCCCCCCCCCCCCAGGAGGCGGAGCACAGCAGGTTGTCCTTCGAAAATTCGATCGGCGTCAACCTACGCAGGAGTTCGGCCATGGCGCCTGACTCTCCTCGCGGCCGAATCGATCAGGTTATCATTATTCTGTAACTTCTTGTTCGAAAATCTCATTTCTTGCTTTACTTTGAGTTTCCATTCTTTCTTTATTTTCTGTGCCACGAACAATTTCGCGTGACGCCGTGTAAATCTGGGCTTGTTTCCTATGAAAAGGATTTAGGTTTTAGTAGAGTAGATATTTTGCGCCACGAACGATTTCGCGTGACGCCGTGTACTTGAGGAAGCTTGAATTAAGAGTTGGATTTTTTCTTGATGTTCTTATTTCTTGTTTTTATTGAATTTCTTGTTAGTTTCTTAATTATTTATTTATTTATTTCTGGGGTTGGGGATGAAAGTTGGAAGTTGGAACTGAGCTAATTATTGGATTCTATGGATCTATGCAGTTCTTTCCTTTGAAAAAGAAGAGGAAGGTCCTGTCACAGGACGCGAAATCTGGGAGGCCAGAAAAAGAAGCAAGATGCCAAATTGAAGGTTCTCCTAGCACCAAAGCTTCTCTAGAAAGCTATTTGGAGGTTTCAAAGAATGATTACTCATCAGCCAAGTGTTTGAGCTCTATTTTGGATCAAATTTCCAGAGAGGTTCTCAATTTGGAGGGTACGACATTGGATTCTGGTGTATTGCCGAGAAATGAAAATGAAGATGCCCACACCCAGCAATCGGAAATCCCAGGTGCTTCTGGTTGTGCTCAGGAAGTAAAATGTGACCCGTTGTCTGATATTTGTAGTGCTGGAACAAATAATATTCTGAAGGAATCTTTAGAAACTGCAAATACTCAACGGAACTCTGAGCTGAAGGAGTTTGCTACTGGCTTCTTGTCAATTTACTGCAGGTAATGTATCTCCTCTTCTCACCCATGGATGTTCTAACTTGTATTACAAAAATGATTTAATCCCCAATGTTTGATTGGTGTGCCACGATGTTTTTATTCTTCTTGTTCCTTGATTGTCATCGGTCTCTCATTTGTGCATCCCTTTCTAACATTTGAACCTTGTGCGCAGTGAGGTGCAAAATAGTGTTAAGTTGATTTCAGAATTAAAGGAATCTGCAGATGGAGGGCACACTAATTCAACCAACCTTCAGCTAGAGGAGAGGCCAATGAAAAGAAGGCATTTTGAAAATGATGGGAATCAATCCAACATTCAAAATGAATCCATTTCCTCTCCAAACCCTTCTAAAGTTTTCAAGGAACCTCAAGATACAAATTCAAATTGTTTGCATAAGGTGAATGTTCATGTAAAAGCTTTGATATTTTCAGTGGAATCTATCTATTCTAATGAAGTTATGAACATACATATTCACAGGGTGTAATGTGTACTAATTCCTTTGCAACTGAAGCAACTATGAGGAAATGCAGTTTCACAGATGCTCCTTGTGTCGCTGAATGTGTAACCCCTGGCACTTTCACTATCAGACCTGAAGCTCAAGAAACTCCTAAGTCCAGACGTCGAAGCTCCTTTTTTTCTCCTGGAGAAGAATTTTGGAATGAAGCAATTTTAGTAGCTGATGGATTTGTTGCTCCAAATGATGTCACTTCTTTGCATATTACTGAAAAAAGTGAAAACGTGAAGCATGATCATAAGATTCACAATTCAAGCATCGTGGACTGCGAGAGCAGCAGAGTCGATGGAGGGTTTATAGAGATGGCCTGTGATGTTGGGTCTGCTGCTTGCTCTTTGGACACTGATCGCGAAAATCGGCACAAAGAAGTATCACCGTTACCTGTGAAGCACATTGACTTTGGTTTTGAGGCAAAACAGTTTGGCAAGGACTCAGTCGCTAATAGCACCAGACCAGATAATTTCGCTACCAAACCAGATAATTTCGCAACCAAACACAATACAGTTTCCTCCACCCATCATCGCAATCCACAAAGTGAAAAGCATATGCGGATTCATCCCAAGGATCAAATGGATGAAGTTGGGTCTGATATCCAAGGAATAAACTCCGCATGCATTGTTCCCAAAAGAGACAATGCACAGTCGAACAATGTTATGGTTAATACACCAGATAGACAGTATAATAATATTATTGCTGGTGATGAATCCAAAAGTGTTTGTACTCCAGCAAGTGTTTCCTCAACAAAGAATTCTTTGGATCTCAGTAGATGGCTCCCACCTGAAATATGTGACATATACAACAAGAAGGGGATTTCAAAATTGTATTCTTGGCAGGTATTTAATAAATTTTCCTATGTTCTTTCGTCTTGGTCAGCTTTCTCCAAATTAGAAGTGAGCTTCTTATCTATTGGTCAAACTTATTTATTTCTCCATAATGCTATGTTAGACTAAACCTTGGCGACTAAATGCCTTTCATGAGTGTGTTGTTTCATCAAAATTCAAAACTTTAGACATTTGCTTTTGGTGACAAGCATTTCCGTTTCCTTTCGCTCTCAAAACCTTTCGCTCTCCTTTGTTAATATATTTCAATGAAACCAATTTTCAGTTTAATAGCATGCTCTAGGACAGATTGGGTAAGGGCAATCCAAGAAATAACCCATTCAGTGAGATGGATAAATGTTAAGTTTGAAAATAGTTGAAGATAAATATAAATAGACTCTGAGAGCTGAAAATTGCATTTGTGATGAAGGGCTTCTCATTCTTCCACATGCATCATCAAATATTGCTTCTGCTTTACTTCTACACTATAAAAAAAAAAAAAAGAAGATATTGCATCTGCCATATAACCTGATTTGGATGACTTGGACCACTCTCCCTTCCCCTTAAGGTTCATTGTTGTGTGCTTCTTTGTCACATGTTTTCAGTATCTATTATTACACTCATTTATTTTTTAAATGTCTTCGATGTCTCTAGAATTTTTATATGATTGATTGGATTCCTGATTTGGTAGCTGGTTGGAATTTGTATGGTGATGTGTAGTTTGATTTTATGATTATGTGATATTTGTAACTCATTATTCCTTCAGATTCCCCGTGCTATTAGTAATTAGCAGATCATTCTTCTTCTATTGTAGTTTTCCTATTATATTGAGAAATTCTTAGCTGTTCATTTGGCTTGGGAAAATTGATTCCATGAAGCAGTATAAGTTTCATTGGGCAATGTGAAGGCATTCTCGCAATTCATGAACTTTCTCAATCCTGCTTGCGCTTGTAGTGCGTTTTGTTGAGTTTTGATGAACTGATATCAGTATAAACCATGGGATCCATAAACACTAACACTGATGAAACAATAGGTGGAAGGGAAGCAGTCAAAGCACTAGACATAATATGTGACTAAGGTCTATTGGGTAGCACCTTAAGCTTTTTTGATGTGTCTTGTTCGTTTCCCTTTCTTCAGGTTGACTGTCTTCAAGTGGATGGTGTTTTGCAGAATCGGAATCTTGTTTACTGTGCATCTACAAGGTGATATAAATATGATTGGAGTTTTAAGGCATGTTTAGTTTTTGTTTTCAAAATTATATGGCGTGCATGATTCCTGCTGCAATCTATGGTCATTCTAATCACTTCTAATGATTATTGACTTTTTTTATTATAGTGCCGGTAAAAGTTTTGTTGCTGAAATATTAATGCTACGAAGAGTTCTATCAACTGGAAAGATAGCACTTCTTGTGCTTCCATATGTATCTATCTGTGCAGAAAAGGTGCAGTATTTATCTTTGCTTTTCAAGGAAAATTGAACATCATCGGGCACATGCTTTATGCTTCAAATGTTGTTGGAAACATGCAGGCAGAGCACCTTGAAGTTCTCTTAGAACCTGTAGGTAAACATGTTAGGAGTTTTTATGGAAATCAAGGTGGTGGTACTCTTCCCAAGGATACATCTGTGGCTGTGTGCACTATTGAGAAAGCAAATTCTTTGATTAATAGGTTACTAGAAGAGAGCCGTTTATCGGAGCTTGGTACCATTGTGATTGATGAACTACACATGGTACCAGTCTTGCTTTAGTATTTCTGAGTACCTTTTGTTTGCAGGTTTAAATATTTTTCTCTCTCTAGTGATCGAGATGTCATTATGGATGTTGATAGGTTGGTGATCAGAGTAGAGGTTATCTTTTGGAACTCCTGTTGACAAAGCTTCGCTATGCAGCTGGTGAAGGAAGCATAGACTCGTCTAGTGGAGAAAGTACAGACACTAGCAGTGGTAAATTTGATCCTGCCCGTGGCCTTCAAATTGTTGGCATGAGTGCAACATTATCAAATGTGGCTGCAGTTGCTAACTGGCTTCAGGTAAGTGTTTTGCGACTAATATAGCTGCTTTGTTTAAATGGTATGATGATTTGTTTATTTATCAAGTAAGATAGGAAACAGTTCATTTGGGGCATAAATTCCTAATTGTCTTATGCTAAACATAGTATTGAATGGCTTGTGCAGTTGCGTTGCTGACAGTAAAATGATACAACAATAATAGTGATGAGTTTTTGTTTTCATGTTTGTTCTCTGAAATATCTATGTAAAACATATTCTCTTCAATTTACTTTACTAGATGTTTTGTAAACTCCCTGTTAACTGATTGATGCAATGAGAATGGGTTAACTTCGGCTATTCTATTCTATTTTCATGGATGAACTTGAACAGTCACTTGAAATTTCTTTCTTGTAGGCTGCCTTATATGAGACAGACTTCCGTCCAGTTCCATTAGAGGAATACGTTAAAGTTGGTAGTACAATTTATAACAAAGATATGAAAATCATTAGGACGATCCCAAAAGTGGCAGATCTTGGTGGTAAGGATCCAGATCATATAGTTGAACTGTGTAATGAGGTATGCTCTTCTATTTGCTTTTCCCGGCATTATGATCTCTTGGTTTTGGGTTGAATCTGAACTCTGAATTATCACAGGTTGTTCAAGAAGGTCACTCAGTACTGATATTTTGTTCTAGTCGAAAAGGGTGTGAATCAACTGCAAAGCATATTGCAAAGTATCTCTTAAAATTCTCTGCAAGCCCTCGCAGTGACCAAGGCGAGCCATTTGATATTGCTTCTGCTATTGATTCATTGAGAAGATCCCCTGCTGGGTTGGATCCCATACTAGAAGAAACCCTTCCTTCTGGTGTTGCATATCATCATGCTGGGCTCACAGTACGTCAGTTACATCATTTAGTTTATGCTCTAGGTTCATTCACCCAACACTTACACAGTTCCTGAATTCTAGAATAGGTTGAGGAGAGGGAGACTGTTGAAACATGTTACCGCAAAGGACTTGTCCGTGTCTTGACAGCTACATCAACTCTAGCGGCTGGAGTTAATTTGCCTGCCCGAAGGGTTATATTTAGGCAACCACGCATTGGTCGTGATTTTATTGATGGGACAAGGTATAGGCAGATGGCTGGACGGGCAGGTCGGACTGGCATAGACACACAGGGAGAAAGTGTAAACCTAAGCTCTCTTATTTACATGATACCCTTTTCACCCCCTTTATCCTGATATATGGATAGTACTATTGAGTTATCTACTCGTTCTTCTACACTAACAGTTACTGCTACCAAATTAACTTCTACTTTTTACTTTGAAAGATGTTAATTATTTTCTTCATTTCCATTAATGGTTCACAATTGCGAACAAATTGCCCAACAGGTGCTGATTTGCAAGCCAGAGGAAACCAAGAAGATACTAGCACTCCTTAATGATAGTTGCCCTCCACTTCATTCTTGCCTGTCAGAAGATAGAAATGGGATGACCCATGCAATACTTGAGGTTGTTGCAGGAGGAATTGTTCAAACTGCTAGTGATATTCATCGATATGTAAGGTGTACACTTCTCAATTCAACAAAACCATTTGAAGATGTTGTGAAGTCGGCACAAGATTCCCTTCGGTGGTTATGTCATAAAAAATTCCTTGAATGGAGCGAAGAGACTAAACTATACACCACTACTCCCCTTGGCTGGGCATCCTTTGGTAGTTCTCTATGCCCGGAGGAATCACTTGTAAATATCTCTAACTCTTATTTCTTGTCATTTGCAGTGTGTGCTTTCACTAGTTTGTACCTATGAGCTGTGGACCGCTTACATGAGTTGGTCCTTATACATAATTTTGTCAAAGCAGTTACGAAATCTAGCCAAGTTAAATTAGAGCATTACTTGGTCATTGAACTTTGACATCTCATGTAGATTGTGCTGGATGATCTCGTAAGGGCGAGAGAGGGCTTTGTCCTTGCATCAGATTTACATATGGTGTACTTAGTTACTCCCATTAATGTTGATGTGGAACCAGACTGGGAGCTCTATTATGAGAGATTCATGCAGTTATCCCTTTTGGACAAGGTACTTATATCTCTTCTTTCATTTGATTCTTGTATCTCATTATATAAAGATATATTTAGGGTGTGTTTGTTTGGGGTTTTGGATTTTGAATTGAGATTTGAATAGTATTGTATGATGTGATATAAATAGGTGTTGATGCGATGTTTTGAATGTAAAATTAATTTTTAGTATAATATAGAAAATAAAAATAGGTATTTGATTTGATGTTTTTTAGGGGAAAAATTTTGATGAATAGTAAGATTTTGGCAAAATCCTACAAACGAACACACCTTAGTTTCTGAATGTTGGCTATGGACAAATGCAACATTTTGCTGCTCTTTCATATTTGCAGCAATTGTTTTTATACTTGCATCAGGTTTAGGCTGTGCACTCTTATCATATAGTAATTCAAGTGTTGAAAATTACTCTCTTGGTTACATGAGGAATGAAGATATGTACTTACATGAGTATATTGGGTGTGTATAATGCACAAAAATGAGTCTCAATTAAAGTGTATATTCCAGTATGTCTTGTTTTGGCTAATTCCCAGCCTAGACTATTATACTAAGTCTGTACATAGCATAATATATGTCATACAAGGTTGTGTAGAAATCTTTCAATGTGTCATTTAAACCCAGTCTAGACTATTATACTAACGCTGTACATAGCATAATATGTCATACAAGGGTGTAGAAATCTTTCAATATGTCATTTAAACCCAGAAGAACTTCCAATTTATAAATAGTGAAATTCCCTATTCACATCATTTGGAAACTGAGCATCACTAATTGCAGAATATTTTTTCTTTACTGAATTATATATATAAAGTCAAGTTAAAATACCACATGTATATGGCTCCTGAAAGAACTGTATTAGCAAAAATGCCAAATTTTGGGGGACTGTAAGTTAACATCAATTTGCATTCTTAAGATTGTGGTATCCTTGAAATCTCATAATTTCTGAAAGGATTTTAACATTTTGATTCCAAATGACGTTGCAAGATTGCGAATAACAATCTTTTGTGAATGAACAACATGTTGGAAGGATCTTTATAATAGGTTCCTCTAATTGTCTTCAAGGTTCATGCTGCAAAAATGTAAAATCTGCATTAATAGTAGAATAATTTTTCCTTGCTTTGCGAGTATTTAGACCTGGAGATGCTTTGATTGAAGCCAGTGATTGCATTGCAGGGATGGACATAGGTTTCCTGTTTTATGGCTAATTATTATTGTATATGTAGATCTTCTAATTATGCCATGTTTTATACTGTTCTTATCTATTGAGATTTGGTATTTAAATTATATAAGATGGATTGTACATCATTATCAGGGCAAACATGAATTGTATATGCATGTCGATATCATTCTTACCTCTGTTGTGAGTGCAGTCTGTTGGTAATCGGGTTGGAGTACAAGAACCCTTTCTAATGCGAATGGCTCATGGTGCACCTCTTCGAACATCACACAAATCACGAGAAAAAGCCAAAGGTTTTCAAGGTGGGAGTGATCAGAGAGTACAGATGTCAAACCATGGCATACTTTCTGATGATCAAATGCTTAGAGTCTGTAAACGCTTCTATGTTGCTCTTATTTTATCACGGCTTGTGCAGGTACTTTATGTAATTTGTTGTGATGCTATCAACTCTCTCTCCTATTATTTGAATCAGAGATTCTCTGGAAATTCTGTTATAATCTAGTACGTGATGCATGAATTTTCATTTATCTACATGGTCAGCCCACTTCTGCAGTGTGGAATATTGTGATTACTTCCTCAGATTTGCCTGATCTCTCTTCAGTCATTCTCTACTTAAATTTCCTTGAGTTGCCTGTATACTTTTTGCGTTAGCTTCTTTTTTTCCCTATCTATAAGCACACATTCTTGTCAGAAAATTGCTTTCTTCTACGATTTTCTTAAGAGGCATTTAATATAATTCTTAATGGGGTAATATTGCAATGCTGGTATTAGGAAGCTCCTGTTGGTGAAGTTTGTGACGGTTTTAAAGTGGCTAGAGGCATGGTTCAAGCATTACAAGAAAATGCTGGAAGGTTTGCATCGATGGTTGCAGTATTCTGTGAGAGGCTTGGTTGGAATGATCTTGAAAGCTTAGTTGCCAAATTTCAGAATCGTGTGTCATTTGGAGTTAGAGCGGAGATTGTAGAGCTTACTGCCATTCCTTATATTAAGGTTTGAATAGCTGCAACTTTTGTGTTGTTAGGAATCTAGAATATGTATCTGAATAACTATTGAAATGTATAGGGTTCACGAGCTAGAGCGCTTTATAAGGCTGGTTTACGAACGCCTCAAGCTATTGCTGAAGCATCAATTCCTGAGATTACAAAAGCGCTTTTTGAATCTTCTTCATGGAGTTCACACAGTAATCTCTTTTTCCTTTAGTTCATGGAGATACCTCCTATGTAAAGAGAATTGATTTCCGCATAAGTTGATCTATTTGATAATTTTCTAATTTAGATGAATTTTCATTCATAACCATTGCAGGCACAGCCCAAAGGAAAATGCAAATGGGAATTGCCAAAAAGATAAAGAATGGTGCTCGTAAAATTGTTCTTGATAAAGCTGAAGAGGCAAGACTTGCTGCTTTCTCAGCCTTCAAATCTCTTGGGCTTGACATGCCACATCTGTCTCGTCCCATATCATTCACTGCTACAGGGAATGATTGCCAAAAAGACCTCGCAACATCGTCTGGGGATGAGTCCACAAGTAGTTATGCCATTATTAAGCATAACAGTAATTCTTTGGATGTGCCAATGTCCGGGAACAAATGCAAGATCAATAGAGTTATTTCAGAAGCTGAAGAAGAAGGGGGCTTGGCATCCTCCATGAAAGAAAACGCATCAGGGTTTACACAGTGCGAAGTTCCCATTGAAAAGCCAATTGAAAGGCGCACTTTGCTCGAGGAGTATACTAAAGACCTTAATAATAAAGTAAATAGCTTCAGTTACAAGGAAGCAATCACCTCTCATCCATCACTTATTCCTGGCTGTCCAAACAATCAGTCTGATGAGTGTCGTGATCTTGTTAGGCAAAAGCAGCCTACAAGTGAAAACATATGCATGGGAAGGAAAGAAAGTGCATTGGAAATGGGTCCTGCAAATGCTGCTAGTATTCCTGGTGGAGTTGATTCCTTCTTGAATCTTTGGGATTCATCCACAGAGTTTTTTTTTGATATACACTATACTAAAAAATCTGAAATGAACTCTATTGCTCCATTTGAAATCCATGGCATAGCCATTTGTTGGGAAGCTTCTTCTGTTTATTATTTAAATATTCCCAAGGATTTATTCCGCTCTTACAATAAAGGAGATCATCAGGCAGCCGGTAGCAAGGATGTAGTACCAAAGATGGAGACTGAAATGGCCACAAACCGATGGGGCAGAATTGGTGTTATAATGGGGAAAGAAAATGTTAGAAAGTTTAGTTGGAACTTAAAAGTTCAGATTCAAGTGCTTCGGAGTCCTGCTATAGCTACTCAGAAAGTAAGCAGCCTTGCAGGTGGAGTGAAAAATTTGGGTCTAGAACTGATTGAAAACACTTACATTATGTTCCCCCCTGTCCATGTGAGGGCTGCAATTGATATGTGTATTGTAGCATGGATCCTTTCGCCTGACGAGGAGAAAAATTTCAATCTCAATCTGGAAAAGGTAATCTGTATGGCTTCTTATTTATTTATTTTTTTGGGAAGTAAATTTATTTAGAAAAGAAAAGGTGCACAATGGCAGACAGAAAACTAGGTAGATGAGAGAGGAAAAACTGCAGTTAGACAGATAAGTCAACATTGCCTCTATGGCTTTGGTTCTATTTCTGAGAATGTAATAAAATGCTAGAGGAAAATGTGTGGAAATAGTTCTTCGACTACTGTATGTGTTGTAGATTTGGCTTTAAGTTCCATGACTATTATCCATGAACTTGTTATATCCAACGATATAAAGTTTGAAAATGGTGATTTTGAATTTTATAGATTCGCAAGTATAATAAAGAATCCTAGGAATGATTTACAAACTCATTTATGTACACTTGGATCTTGATTCATCATCCCCCAAAACAACTTGTAAGTTCCTGTGTTCTGATCAATTTAGTTTCAGTCTTCTTCATACGGTATAGCTTCCGTCAAAATGCACTCTGAATGATACTTGCCATTACTATTCTGGAAAAATACAAAAAGGAACTAGTCCTGTAGACTACTCAGGGATCTAAAATAATTTCCCCTGGAAATTTTTGGCACAAAATTGCTTCTTATATCCATTCATCTTTATGTTTGAATATTTGAAAATTGTTTCACTAGCTGCAGTCTTGACAGGAAGTTAAAAGGAGGTTATCTAGTGAGGCTGCTGCATCTGCTAATCGAAGCGGAAGATGGAAGGATCAGATGCGAAGAGTTGCACATAATGGTTGCTGCCGCAGAGTTGCACAAACTCGTGCTTTGTTTTCAGTTCTATGGAAGTTATTAGAATCTGAAGAACTGGTTGAACCCTTGATGAATATTGAAGTCCAGCTGGTAAGGATTCATATCTAATCCTTGAAGGACCGTGGGAAAACATTCTATTGGAGTTCTATAAAGGACTTCTTTTTTTTAGAAAAAAAAAAGAAGAAGAAACTGAAATTAAAATTTATCCATAATTTACTCAGTTCAATAGTTTGTTCATATCAGTCAATGTGATAGCTAGACTTAAAAGGAAAAATCTCACGAGATCTGTGCAGTTGATACTTTTCCTAAGATACCACTCATCCGTACCCATGGGAACGGGACTTGGAATTCCTCTTAAGAAACACAGCTCCTCTTTATAGCAGGCAGAGAAAAAATCCCTGCCCCTAGCTCCTTGTTTAGCAAGGAAATTCTTTGTGCTTATAGGGATATGCTGGAAAACTCAGTTAAGGGGCTTGTTGGTACAACATAAATATGCAGCACTGTCTCTGTATGCTCCAAAACTCAGTTAAATATATAAATCACTTGGGACAGCGACTTTGCATCATCCTTTTGAATTAGCATTCAATTGTATAATCAGACTGGTGACATATATTTGGAATTAGAACATTTTCATTGGATATATTTATTAGGTTGACAAACATATAGTTTGATTTAGGCTTTTCGGTGAATGGAAACTATTCTCTATTAATATAGCTATCTATAGGGAAAAATGTAATTTTGGTCTTTGTGACACATGAGTCCTTTAAGTTACCATATATGGAAATGGTTTGTATTTCACCCGTTGTCACTCTAATGGTTCTGTATCTGCCCGTGACACTCCCACATGAATTATGGGCCCTTCATGTATCACTTTTTGTATGCATGCATGTTTCTTGAACATATATACAATACCATTAAAGTGATGACGACTGAGATACATGACTGTTTTTATATGGCTCACTTCAAGTGCCAAAATGATGATCACTTGCAGGAGCACAATTATGTTCTTCTTCCCAGTATAACTAATCTTATTATTTAGTTACATTCATTATTTTTCTTTTTTCCTTGTTAGATCATGCTGATATATCATTTTTACATATCGATATTAAAAATTATATTTCAATGGAAGTGCTAAAACTTATTTGCTTTTGTAGACTAAGGTTCTTGCGGATATGGAATTCTGGGGAATAGGTGTTGACATGGAAGGGTGCCTTAGAGCACGTCATATCCTTGGAAGAAAACTCAAGTTGCTGGAGAAGGAAGCTTACAAACTAGCTGGCAAGACATTTTCATTGTCAATGCCAGCAGACATAGCAAATATTCTCTACGAACACTTGAAGCTGCCCATGCCAGAAGGCTATAGAGGGAAACAGCACCATAGTACTGACAAGCATTGTCTGGATATACTCAGGTATAAAATGACTTCCTAAATGGTTAATTTACTTGTGTTTTCAATCCTATTTTTGCACTTGTCAATAAACTATTTTCCCTCCAAAGTTATTACAACAACTACTATTTTCACCTCAAAAACATCAAACCAAAACACCAAACTAAAACTAAAACAAGTGGACTGTTGTGCTTTATACATCTGATTCATTCTATCCTAGTTTGATTCAATTTTGTGAAATACAGTTTTATTTGCAAAATATATTAAGAAGCTCCATCTTGTGTCCAGTTTGTAATGGATTCATTTGCAATATACTTCTATTTCCTATTCTCTCTGTCTCTGTCTCTGTCTCTTGCTTTTGTTTTTGTTTTTCTCTCAGAGAAAATATACTCAATTTAAGCCAAAAATTTAAAAATTGAAAGCTGGACTGTTCAATAGTTGTTTAGATCAGCTGGTCATTCCCTAGTTGACAAAAAACTTCACTCAACATCCAAGTCCTTTCCAAGTCTATGACCCTGCTACCTTTTTCTACTCTACTCAAAGATAATTGTAGTATGTTTGGTAGTTGTCCAAGTATGATATTTATAATGTGTTTTGTTCAGAAAAAGCCTTATGACTATAATGATTTTGAAGTGCATTTCCTTGTCAGTAGCTTAAAATGTCCTCATAAAGATTTGTTGGCCATTATCAATGTTCTATGAACATTTTCCTGTTTCTATACTTCTCTATAAAAAAAAACATAGGGTTTGTTTACTTTGTGTTTTTCTCAAAATTTTTATTATCAATCTCTCACTTTTCCTCCAAAATCATCACATCCACCACCCATTTTGTATAAAAACCATCCCCTCTAACAATATTTTACCTAAAAGCCATTAAATTAAAAACACAGTACAAAAAACTCGTATTTTCTTTTATTTCTTACTTGTTCACCCCCCTTCTGTTTTTCATTTGGCATACAATAATATATATTTTCCCCCATTATCTTTATTTCAAGGGCGATATTCACATTGGTGTATAATTATTTGTTTCAAGAACATCTATGAAAGTGAGAAGCCATGCAACTATAAATGTTTGTTGATTGTATTAAGCTGTTGGAATAACAGTGTTACTGTTTTTCAGGAATGAGCATCCTATCGTACCAGTAATTAAGGAGCATCGTACACTGGCTAAACTCTTGAATTGTACTTTAGGATCAATTTGTTCACTTGCAAAGCTTTCTAATAGAGCCCAGAAGTATACCCTCCATGGTCATTGGCTCCAGACATCTACTGCAACTGGCCGACTTTCAATGGAGGACCCTAACCTCCAGGTCTTCTTCCCGTGAAAATTTGGGATTCCTTATTCATATTGGTCTACTTGATTGCAGAGAGTTTTCATTTTTTGTTTTCCTTTGACATTTTGTACCTGATTAGTATTCTTTTATCTGTTGAGGTGGCAATAGAATGTTGAACATATGGTTGAGTTCAGAATGGACAAGGATGAAGGCACATCAGGTGTTGATGACTATAAAATCAATGCACGTGATTACTTTGTCCCTACTCAGGTGAAGATATTTATATCTTTGGAAAGTATGTTTCTTTGTAATTAACTTGAAAAGGATTGTCTTTTTGTGGTCCAGGTGACCTGTTGATGCCTCATTTGCGTCTTTTTAATCTTTTTCAGGATGATTGGTTGCTTCTAACTGCGGATTATTCTCAAATAGAACTAAGACTCATGGCTCATTTCTCAAAAGATAATACATTGATTAAACTCCTGAGTAGTGCTCAGGCTGATGTCTTTACCATGATTGCTGCAAAATGGAGTGAGAAAGATGAGACCATTGTGAGTTTGCAAGAGCGAGAGCAAACAAAGAAACTGGTTTATGGACTTCTTTATGGAATGGGACCCAACACACTGTCAGAACAGTTGCAATGCAGTCCTGATGAAGCTTCAGAAAAAATACAAAACTTCAAGAGATCTTTCCCTGGGGTTGCTTCCTGGCTTCAGGAAGTAGTTACATCTTGCCGTAACAAGGGGTAAGGCCACTAATTCAAATTGCTAAGGGTAGAAATAATGCTGAGGTGTAGATCTTTATTTTTATTTGTGCAGTCAGTAATTTCACTCAATTTGTTTGTCACTCAAGTATTGAGGACTCAAATGTGAGCTTCTAGATGTGCTCCTCATGGAATAAGTGTTTGATTTCACCAATTTTCTTTAAATGGACAACTCTTTATCAATATATTACAAATAAAGTACAAATTAAAGCTAATTATCTTAGAGGTTCCCGTGTTTCTTTTACGAGTATAGTTTGTCGTTTTTCAGTTCTTATAACCTGTCCAGTTAGTGTAATTACTGGCTATGATGTTATTGTATAGTTATATGCTAACTAACTAACTGCCTAGTAATGTCATGCTTATTAAAGCACATATGTGAAATAGCTGTGAAGTTTTGCTCACCTTGTTATGTATGTTCAAGACATTAGCTCACATGCCAAATATTTTTTTATTTGTCTGTAGAATTTACTCAACATTTTGCTAAGTTACAAGAGATGGATTCATGACTGATTGAAAACTGTATATTGGTTCACTTAGCGGGAACCCAGGATGAACCTGGATATATAATATTTTTATATTGTTTACGTTTTATTTTTCTTGCAAATAATGATGCCATAACCGATTCTGCAGTTATGTGAAAACCCTTAAGGGAAGAAAACGCTTCTTGACAAAAATTAAATTTGGTAATAGTAAGGAAAAATCCAAAGCTCAGAGGCAGGCAGTCAATTCTATATGTCAGGTATTCTTTCTTCTGTCTGCATGAACACTTGTGCCTTTTCTTATAGGTCTGTGCCGAAGTTTTCCTTTTTCCAACTGAGATGAATTTTGTGTTTTTAGGGATCTGCTGCTGACATAATAAAAGTTGCAATGATACGTTTGCATGGTGTGCTTTGTGAGGATAATGAGACATGTGATCCAAGCTTTACAGCTGTTCAAAACTTTCAAATGCTTAAGGGTCGGTGTCGAATTCTTTTACAGGTAAATAGATCTGAAATGCTCAGAGGTTTTTTCATGGTTATGTTCAGCTAAGTTCATGCTAAATTCCCTGTTTGCTTTACGTAATAAATTTGACATAGAAGGGGCATATCCTTAAATTCTTGCACTTATTGTAGGAAGTAAAACACTTCATTCCTGAAGTTCGTTACGGAAAATAGGTTTTTTTAAAATCATAAGCTTGATACATTTTGTACATATAAGACTATGTGTTATTTTGTGGTGGCTTCTTCCATTTATGAATTTTTTTTTTTTTGATACTGCAATTTATTTTTCTGATTAACGTACTGTACTGCAATTTACCATGGGTTAGTTTTCTAATCCTTCCATTGCAGTTAAGTAAGATGTAATGTTCTGTAGTCAGATATGTTATTAAAGCTTTGCTGGTTAGGTACATGATGAACTGGTATTGGAAGCTGATCCTTCTGTTATAAAGGAAGCCGGATTGTTGCTGAAAACATGCATGGAAAGTGCTGTGTCACTTCTTGGTACGGAGTTCAGAATATAATGTTTACATTCACATATCTTCAACTTCAAGCAAGCTTTCAAGCCTGACTCCATTTTCATTATTTTATTTGTCTTTTCATCACTTTAATATTGATCCAACTTCATCAGCATTGGAACATTTACCTAAAACGAAATTGTAATGCTTCCCTTCATCCTTCCATCTATGTCCTAGAATCCATTTTCACTCTTTCATTGAATGATTTTTGTTTTGCATGGTTGCCTTATCAATAATTAATATTTTATGCCGGTAGATCACTACAATTAAGATCAGTTGCCATGAGTCATGACTAAAGTTCAGTTCTCACACTCAATTCATATTAAACTGTGCATGTGATATCGGGACATAGGTTTCAACTTTCAGGATCACCTTTTCATGAATTTCTCTCGCAGTTCCTTTGCCTGTCAAATCGAAAATCGGGAGAACTTGGGGATCTCTGGAACCATTTGAACCTAATTAGTATGTATGTATCTGTGGGCTACATTCAAAGAGCATATGTAATGAAATGTTGCATCTGGGCAATGAGTTTATTCACCAGGTAATGCATCAAAAGTGTACATTAAAGCAATACCCACATATACTAGAATTGCATCTGAGATGTTACACTTCAAGACATATTAATGTATTTTTGTATTTCTTTCACAGATTTGGGGACATTGAACCACAAAGAAATGTATAAAAGAAGTACGCCACTTTTCTACATCAGCTTTTTAGGTGTGTCAATAAGTAACAAATGATAACATATATTAATTTCCTTAATGAGAAGGCTATCATTATGTTAAGACATTTTATGACTATTATGTAACTAAGCATTCAATTTGCAGGGAAGGAGTACCTTGATTTGCTTGGTAGATCGCCATAAAATGTTATACAAAGGATCTTTTTGTTGTACAAGAAACATTGCTAATCATGGTGTCTGGAGTCCTGTAGAAGCTGGGTAAGCTGTTTATTAATATTTTAAGAACACTACCCACATTTTTTTTTTCTCAATTGTCATACATGAGATACATGTACATAGATTTGGTATAAAGAGGCATTACCTTTCCTTTGCAAATTTCCTTTGGTGTTTTCTAATGGTATATATGTACATTTATATTAATTTAACTTTATTATCATTGTATTGTGAGGTACATTGAGCTCAATACTTTTCCAAAAACTATGCGAGAATTCATATAGTGTATTCCTTTATATTACACATTTTTCTTGCAATCATGCTAGTTTCTTGCTCTGCATAACATTCCCCATAAAGTGGAATAGATATGGACCATGCTTAATATGTGTTTCAATATAGTCAGTCAGTTTTAAGTATCCCTGAGCATTTTTACTAACACAACTAGCCAGGAGGAATTTTTGCATAGTTGTCGCATTTTTTGCTCCTTGGAATGTTTTTTATTCTATTTTTAGTGACTTGGATGATGCATATATACACATAAACAAACGTTTCAGGACATTGGAAATAAACGTTTCAAATATTTCAAATCCCTTGCTCCTTTGGTATTGATTGGTATTCAGTAGGCAATAACAATCCTTCATGTGGAAGGAGTGGTTGTCTCTCTGGAGTACTACAAAAGTTTTATGTGTTTGAATGACTGATAAACAATTCATTTGCCACTAAGATTCACTTTCAAGGGGAAATTGCGTAGTTATACATTACAATGACCAAGTATTTGCAAGCTTGTGGATTAACATGGCTTGTAACAATAATGTTGTCTTCCCTATAAATGTCAATCCAACATTCCATGATAGTATTGGAATTGTCTCTAATTTGAAAATCTCATCTCTCGATCCTCCACTTGCAATCTTTCAAAATAAGTAGCAATGGTTTAATGATTTGACATTCGAATGGAAGGGATATGTGTATGTTTTGCAAAAAGATTCTACTCTGTTTTGCCATTTCAGATGTATATTTGAGTTTGCATTTTTACTTATTTGAACTCTAGATTCCATACATTTGAGGTTTCTAGTAAAGTAACAACGGTTATCATAACGTCAAAATATTTTTTTATTTTTATTTTTTAAATAGAACTCAGTTCTTTCTTGAAAGCATTATTTCTGGGCAGATTGATGATCCTGTGATGATCCATACTTGATCGACTTGATGTCATATTTAAATTAATTGTGGTACATACAATTATCGAAAACCAAAGGCATTCAAATGTATTGATGACCATTAAGAGTTGTTGTTTGGTATAGTTCAGCAGAGTAGCTGAATACATGAGTACAGTTTGAATGTTGCTTATAGAGAGCCTAACTATCGGTGTATTCGCTGAATTTGATTACTACATTGCTTCTGTGTTTCGTCTCAATATTTCTTTGCCGGTTAATTGCTTTGTTACAACTACTACATAACCTTGATGATTTGTCTTTTCACCCTATTGAAAATTGTACCGATATCTTTTGAATCCTAGTGCAACCTCTTTCATTAGCTCTCCATCATCCTTAGTCTTCACCACCAAAGGAGTTGATGAGTGGCACACAGTTATGTCTATTTTTTATTTTTTTTTAGTTCCGGGGTTTCTCTGTGTTGGATATTCGATTGGTCCCAAAAGAAGTCCAACGCTTCCGAGTTTTATGCGCAACGGAAATATAAAACCGTCGGTGGTTAGCATAACTTTGAATGTTGTTGTCGTGTGGTTGAACTGCACTGTGTGTATGTGTAAGAATCTATTATTGCATTTGTGCAATAAAGAAAAATAATACATAATTTGTTAACCCAGTTCAGTGTTAAAATTTACATTTGAGGGATACCAATATACAAGTCTTTAACTAAACCAAACACTTGTTTACATAATTCAAGACACCAAACAAATCTATTCAATCTATCATCTATCCAAACTTTTTTTTGTTTTACAAACACAGACGTACTGGTTGTTACAATACGGTAACAACTCTAACAAATTTGCAGTCAAGCTAAGACTAAGGTGACACACTGGTTGGTTATTTCCTTAGATTTCGATTCCATGGACTCCTTTTCTTCGACTTCAAAGTTCTATGAATGAACATCTCAACGCTCTGTAAAATGGAGAGAACAAAAAATTCAAGAAGTGTTGTGAATCACACCAATTCAAACACTTACATAAAACTAAGATATACACTCTGCACAGATTTGTACAACTTTAAGGTAGCGTGTTCAAGACAATTAATGTCATATAGAATGGGAGAGACACACTGTTGACTTGTTTTTGCATGTCTTCTTCACGAGACAAGTTTATCTTATTCCAACGTGTATACAACCAAAGTGACCAACTCGGTCAACTTTCTGTTTTGCCTTTAGATTTCTCAAAATAGTGTCAACCGGCCGCTACAACAAGAGTTTTATCATTTTTCTAACACGTTGAATTTGAAAGTTATTTATTAGTAGGCTTTCATTCTATGGCTTAATTCAATTAAGTCCGTAGTGTCTTACATCCAGCCGAGAACCGGAGATGTTATCTACTTGGGGATGTATACTTTGATGCTAATTGTTGGGTATAAAACAACTATGAACAATTTAACAACAAAGTACTCGTATGGTATACACTTGTTTAAAAAAGTAAAGATGACATATCCAAAATCGAAGATTCAAACTCATACAAAACATAGGATTACCTAACACTAGGCACCACCAACTTCACAAGCATCTTTCCGATGCCATTTCAAGCCAAAACATACATGTCGTTTGAATTAAAGGGGTTTTAAACGAATCTGTCAAATTCATTTGTTTTGTTTGGCAATATTACGATTTTCAAGTTTACCAAGTCCACCAAATTTTCAAACGTAGATTTGATTCACACTCTGTGTTCTAGAAAATATTTACCATTCAATTACAGTGGAGAAAACGGAGTCTTTGCTTAAAGAAATGCATTGAGAAAGGACATATGATGTTGTGAATATATAGGAAATGATCGACAACTACATCAAACTCATGGTTTCACTTATTCACTGTATCAAATCAACATTAAAACCATCGCATTAATCGAAAGACACACATGAAGTAGTAGACATCGATACAACTATAACACATAGAAGCGACAAATACATACATACATACATATATATATATGTGCGCGCGTGTGTAGTGTAGTATGCGAACTATGAGCTCACTTTCTAGTTCTTATGTGTCCAGACAACGTGATCGGCAGGAAGAAAATGGCAGATGGGAACACTCCCCGGCTTCACCTTGAGAACCCGAAAAGCCAAATGCTTAGGATTCCACGCCGCCGTGTCGCGGTGGCACACAGCCACAGCCTCCGCCCTCGACATGTCTGCAGCCGCCAAAGACACCTTGTAGACAGCAGTCTTGCTCGTCTCGTGGCAATAAAACACGGCGTAAGGATACTTCTGCTTGTGGCAAACCACGGCCGGTTTCCCACTAGACATACTCTTCACTCCCACGACGCTGTACTTCTTCATCTCAGCCGTGTCTGCAGCTGTCGACATAACCTCGACATCCTTCCCTAACCTGGAGGTGCTGAAGTCGACCATTGACTCCAAAGAAGTCGCGCAGAGTTTCTCCTCGCCGTTCACGGCTGTGTCCTCGCACTCTTTGATGGTTTTCTTGATCACCACTGCTTCGTCAGAGCTGGGATCAACCGAAAACTTGTGGAGAATCTCGGGCAACTTGTTCGATGAAAAGGGTATGGATTCAGAAACTTTCCGGGGCAGGAATTTGGCCTCTGTTGTGTATTGGTCTGAGTCTGAAAAGTGCAGGTTCATTGTTTTGCCTGGATGCAGGTCCTTTTCGACGAAGAAAAGCGCGACGTTGGGGTCGTCGCGCAGCTGAGTCTCGGTTGCGGCGTAATAGTAATTGAATGGACTATATCCTGGATGAACACCAACATAAACTGGTTTACCTCTTTTGGTTCGTGTCCCGACGGTTACGCCCCCTTTCCGGACGCCTACATTCGTCCGGTGGCCCGGCTTGCCGGTGTAGACTCCGACTCCGCCGTGGCCGACGTTCACAGCTGTGCCTTTGTTTTCTTGCCACTCTGCAAAGGAAACCAGGTTCAGGTAGAAGAAAAGCCTTAGCTTATTAGATTGCGTCAATACTTTATATCACATTAAACAATTATTTAAATTTAAATTTTTTTACTTTTTCCTGTCACTTAATAAATTTACATTTATTTATACTTAATATTAAAAATATCTTTATATTTATATATTAAAACTAAAAAATCAACAATATTTAAGATAGACATAAGGAGTATTATTGAAAATTCAAACTCAAAATCCAAACTTCTAGACATACGGTATCCTAAAATTTTTCTTGTATTAGCATAAATAATATATAGATTAAATGGTGTTTATTATGCTGTAACTAATATAACATTCTATTAATGGAGTTAAATAAAATAGATAATGGCAACAGCTGAATTTTCTAATTTTGTTTTAAGAACTTAGATTTTTAGAAATCAAAACCTTTTAATTCAGAAGATCTTGTATTGTATTATATATATACATATATATGTTTATAGGCTCCCATGAAGTCCTCTTTTTCCATTTCCAACCTTAATTAAGGTGAAACTTGAGCTTTGACATATATGTGCTATGATGTAGTAAATATATATATATATATATATTGTCTCAATAATAGTTTGAATGTAATATTTTGTGAGAAGAAAGAACGACGGAGACGACAGGATGAAGATTTACCCGTTGAAGGATGTAAGAGATGATTGAGAGATTTAGGGATTGGAGTATTTGGCAGCACAGATTTCCAATAAGCTTCTGAGGCCAGACTATCTGCTTCGGCTTCGACTTGGCTTCCAACAACTATTAACACCACCTGATAATTAATTAAACAAATTAAATTTAATTATTACCCAAAACAAATAATTATACAAAACCACCCAATAATTAAATTTAATTTATGATTGTGGTAATATTTAAAATCTTTCTTTAATTTGTACTTACAGGAAGAAGTGCAAGAATGCAGGGAAAGTACTTGAACTCCATAGCTGCTGCTGCTGCTGAGAATGTTTCAAGAAGTGATGATGAAGAAAAAACAACCAAAGGGATTTTTTTTTATCTTTAATATAAATAAGACTACACATGGTTTGAATGAAGTGAGCAAATATTTATAGGGTTTTTTTTTTTTTTTTTTTTTTTTTTGTGTAAATTAATATTAATACATAGATAGATATACATAGACATGTACATATACATATGCATACATACATAGTAAGTGTTGATTGCTTGAGAAAAGCAACACATACCTAAATTTATGACTAGTTAATTACTCCAACTGCATTTGCTGCCCCTTACACATTTATTGTGTTGTAAGAATAATTATATATATACCGACCAGATAAAATCAACACCGTATTGATTAACTTGTGCTTGTTAATTTTAAGTTGGTATCGACGATATTGTGATGAGATATAAAATTCAGCATAATGCTGCAACGCGTAATATAATGATCGCCAATAGACGATATATATAAATAAGTAATGCATAATTATATTAACATAACACAAAAATGATATAAATTAATAGCACCTATGACATAGCCTCACTATAATTAATTTCGACACAAAGAAGTATATCAATGCAACATATCTGTATATTTATTTTTATATAACAAAAAAATATCATATATATTTGTATAATATAAATACAACACATGAACTAATAGCACGATAGTTGTCCGTATAAACGACACTACAATTGATTTCAAATAGAACTATCAATACATAATTTAACTAAACACATCATGTGTTGGTGTTGATTGAAATGATTTCTTCCTGACCAATTTATGATGTGCTCACCAGAGATATCAACTTTTTTCGGTTCTCAATATTTATTTTATTCTTATTATTTATCGTCCAAATACAAAATATTTATTTATTTTTAATAAATATAAATCCCACAATGTACATATTACCAATACTTAAAATTTACAATTATTTACATTAATACAGTTACACCTTACTATTAAAATAGGAAGCCATTTAAAATATGTATAAATAAAAAAAAAAAAAAGTATATTCAACCTTATTGAACTAAATAAAACAACAGTGTTGGAAATTAAAATAGTATCAACATCCCAAGTCATAACTATATGTTTTCAATGAGGTGGCCAAATGTAGGTGCATGAATGAATATCTCTCTCTCTCTCTCTCTCTCTATATATATATATATGTATATATTATACATAAATGGGAAAGGGACAATCAAGAAGTAGACCATGCAAGAGGGACATGGGCTAAGATGTTCTTATATTAATTGATATGAACTAATTTTTGAATTCTATCTACTTTGTAGTCTCAAATTTAGGTTAAATTTAAATTAGAAATGTGCATGCAATGCAATAAATGGGATGGATGGATTTATGGGATCAGCAAAGTGAGTAAACCCTAAACCAACAACTACCAAGAATTTATGAGATACCATCATCATGGGTTTGTTGACAGTTGGATCCATCATTATCATACAACAATAATTTACTTTAGTTCTCTGATCAATTTCTTGCTCTTGATATTTAATTTTAATTAGCAATGTTAGAGGAGTTTGGACTCTTTAACACTATTTAAGGGACTTATCCATCACACCAAAGAATTTGATCAAGACACCACACAAAAATACATTGTTCCAAATGGCAAATTTTGAGTATATGTACATACATATATATATATATAGAGAGAGAGAGAGAGAGAGAGAGACTCAATTATTACCTTGTTACTCAACTAAGAACAATTAAGAAGGTGTCGACAAAATTTGAACCGGGACTTTGCACTCACCGGTTATCATACTACATCAAATTGGCCATCACAAACATGTTTCTTTTTTTATTTTTAAAGAAAAAAATTTCGATGTGAGTTTGAGGTTGGAAACCCACTATATATATATTGTATAAAAATATATCATTTTTATATTTTTATAATATATTTTTTATTGCACTGAATAAATATTTATTCGAAACTAATAACTTGCAAATTACTCTAGCAAGGAAAGTTATACCAGACAAGTATAATCACATGCAAATTCACCCCACACAATTAGGTCATTCTTATCTAATATTAAATTATCTATTGTTGATCTCGAAATGGATGACCTAGTGGTACGAGATAGACTCATGATCGCGAGCTTATGGTTCAAATTTTTTTTATAGTATTGCATATCTGCGGTTCCACGTAATAAAAAGAAAAAATAAAATTACTTATTGTTGGATAAATTACACGGATTGAAACGAAAACTTTGTTTAAATGTACATATTAGTTTTTCTTATTATTTATAAAATAATTAAGGCAAAATTGCCCATAACTCCCTTGTGGTTTCGAAACTCAGCGTAAATTCCCCATCTACTTTAAAAATTGCATAACGTCCTCTTATACTTTAAAAAATGTTGCATAAACTCAGCGTAAATCCTCATTTTACTTTAAAAAATTGCATAACGCTCACTTATACTTTAAAAAATATTGCATAAAACCCCATACCATGCAAAACATATAGATAGGAAATCATCTTCTTATCACACAATGAAAGTTTCATGGTGGTAGGGTTTCATGCAACGTTTTTTAAAGTATAAGGGGTACTATGAAATTTTTAAAATACAGGGAGATTTCACGCTAAATTTCAAAACCACATGAAAGTTATAAGCAATTTTACCAATAATTAAATAAAAAAATGAGTCAATTTTTATAATATACCCTAGAAACAATATAATTTTAATTAATATATACATAGTATTAATTACATATATAATAACGTAACACAATAAGTTAGGGTTTTTTCTAAAAAAAATAAATAAATTATTATTTTTCTAATAAAATTTATACAATTATTCTAGAAAAAAGAATAACATAGTAAAAACATATAATTTACAGGAATATTTACCTAAAGTGTACTTGACGAGTAACGACTGCGAATTTCAATATTATAAAAAATATATATAAGTAATGGCATATCAAAATATATATATATATATATAAGTAATGGCAAAAAATAAGAATAAAATAGTAAAGCACATTTATCAAATTTATATTATTTAAAAAACCATATCAAAACTAAACAAATCAAAGTAACGGGACAAAGAAATCTACTATGTACTAAAGTATAGACCTCACTTTATATTACTATAAACATTTTAAATTTAAATTTATTTATATTAAAACTAATGTAAAAATAAAATAATTTATGCACAAAATAACATGCATGAACTGCTATTCTCTCTTCTCTAACTCAAAATATATTTTTTTTATTATTTTTTGTATATTTTATTAAAAAATATTATGTAAAAGTAATCACACATTAATAATAAAATTTCTTTAACTTTTACATAATTTAAAAACATATCAATATATCATTGCTCATACAATAAATTTATATATAATACAAAAAATAAAATATTAAAATCATCGCTACATACTCCTACTAATTATTAATATAATATTATTATTTTTTAATGTACTCTAAAAATTCAAAATATTTCCTCCGTCCCATAAAAAAATATTCATTTGCTTTTTGCATGTAGTTTTAGAAATATTAGTATTATGTTGGGATATAGTAGGAATAAAGTAGAAATGACTAAAATAACCTTATTAGTATGTGTGATATAAAGGTAATGACATTTGTATAATATATTGTAAATTGTAAGGGTATTTGTAATGTTAAGTAGATAGTACAATTACTAAAAAAAAAGAAAAAAAAAAATGAATACTATGAGACATACTAAAATGAAAAAATGGATATTTTGTTATGGGACGGAGGGAGTATTACTTCAGATAGGGACAGAGGAAGTATTAAAATGTACTCTTTCTCTCCTACTTAATTTGTCAAACTATTTTTATTTTCGTTCATTCCACGTTATTTATCTTTTTTTTTTAGAAATTCAAGCATACACTTTAAATCACATTTTAAAATTAATTTTTTATTTTAATTAAATTTTAATTTAAAATTATTTTTATTAAATCATAATTATTTTTACTAATACATTTCTTAATTATTCACTAATTACGGTACCTGAAATTCCGTGTCTAATCTAAATGAGACAAATTAGCCGAGACAAAGGGAGTAATATTCAGTATATTTTGAAATACTACTCCCTCCGTCCCATAACAAACTATCCATTTTTGTATGTCTCATAACAAATATTCATTTCTTTTTTGAGTTATTGTGTACTATCTAGCTAACATTACAAATATCATTACAATTTACCATTACTTTTATATCACACAATTATAATAAAGTTATTTGGGTCATTTTTACTTTATTCCTACTACATCACAATATAATATTAATATTTTAAAACCCCGTACAAAAAGCAAATGAATATATAGTTATGAGACGGATGGAGTATTATTTTATACACAATAATAATAATAATAATAATAATAATAATAACGACGACTTACGTATTAGTGCAATGGGTCATTAATTAATTAGTGATGATTACTTGTTAGATGTTCAACCGCAAAAAAGATAGAAATAAAATTAAATAAAAATGGTACATTTAATTAATTAATTAATTAATTAATTAATACTGGATGATGAGCAGTAAACATCATCTAGATTGAATTAAATTAAATCAAATATAATATTATTGAAGATTGAGTGTGTGATTTGTGTGTTAGTGAGGTGGACCAATGAATACAGTTTAATTTATAACTACAACAAAAGAGTGTTATGACCTGTTTGACTAATTTTACAAATTTGTGTCAACCTGCCCAAACAATAAATAAATTAAATTAAATAAAATATAGAAATAAGGCTGTCCACATTTTTATGATACGAGTGATCTTGTGGTTCAAAATTATATAACTTCGTGTTTGTTTGGAGGTTTGGATTTTGAGTTGGGATTTGAATAGTAAAAATTTTGAATTTAAATAGTTGTATAATGTGATATAAATAGGTTTTGATGTGATGTTTTGAATGTAAAATTGATTTTTAGTATAATATAAAAAATGAAAAATAGATGTTTGATTTGATGTTTTTTTTTTTTAAAAAAATGAGATGAACAGTGAGATTAAAATCCAATCCCCCAAACAAACACACCAGTATAGTTGTGTTTTCTTGTTTTATGGTTCAAATAAAAATATTTATTTAGTTTATTTACCTGTTTTTCGATTTCGATTTGGATCCT